GAATTTAATCCGCGATGGTTGAAAGCTGAAGAGCTTGAGCTGTGTCTTGTCAAAACTTGGTGAATGTAGGATCAATCATGATTGATTTACCACATTGTGAGGATGAGTTTTGTTAGTTGACAAATACTTCATGAGGTATTGTCCTACCTGCTTTGAAAAAATTGGTCATCGTCCATAGGCAGATATACGGACTTCAACCATCAAATTATCGGAGATGTGTGAGCATCTCCTGACCAAAGAATCAGGGGAACATTCAAAACAATGTGAAATCAATCGTGATTGAGCAATTCGATCAGGCAGCAACGCTGCCAGGAGAGCTAAAAGTCGAGAGGTGGGTGCGGTCGATTATCGAGATCTCGGACCAACGCTGCGCGCTAATGGCTTTACACATTCCCGAAAACACTAAAATCACTGTCTAGTACAATAGATCTATTGTGTCTTAAACGAGCGTTGCATGTGACCACTTATTGAGAGAATACATCGAATCTTTAGTGATGAGTGTGCATCGATTCTGTCAAGATATCCAATTATACGATGAAGTGAGTAAATATGCCAGACTATAGAAGACAATGGGTGGCTTATTTTCCTTCATAAGGTAGGTCTATTTTATCGGGAATTTGACATCGATATCGGGTCTATTATCACCTCAAGTACCTCACTAACCGTGGGAATATAGGTACAAGTATATCAGGTTACACAACAGTATTTAGGTTTCGATTAGTGCTAAACAAATATATCAACCGTTACACAAACAGTACATCTACAAATCAAACAACATCAGCCTTGACAAGACGATTCTCAAATCAGCAGCAAAATTACCATGCATACCTAATATTGAACCAATGAAATGTGTTTGTGTTCAATGTGCCTTCAAAGTGACATTTCCAAAGATGTCTTTTCATATAGCTCTATATCACAAGATAAACAAAATCACAAATGACAACTTTGCTCTGCAATGTTGCAAGAAACCTTTGTGTCAAAGGCTCGTCCAAGAGCCGCAATAACTCGTATTACCGCACCAACACCACGCCTTCTGTCTGATCAGGCGACCGACATACTCGATCTGCCTTCTCCTCCTGTGGCCGTCAGAGCCACTAACGAACATCTCACGTTTACTCACCCCTGCACTCAGTGCCGACCTTCCGTGCCGCACGGTTCTACCATCGCGTCACGGTTAAATGGGCTGCTGGCACGATCACATGACCCCTGCAGCCCCCTGACCTGAGGCGATCTAAGGCAGCGTTCTTTGATCACCGGGAATCCCAAAGAAAACAGCATGGTCATCGAACAATCATCTAAGTCGTTAAAGGAAGGAGCAAGCATTACTGCAGGTGAAACAGCGGCAAACCAGTCCAGAACCATGCCTTCCTATCTGTTGCCATATTTTTAAATATACTTGTTTTAAATGAGACTTGAAACTTCACTTCCTAAATGCTGAACAAAAAAGGTCCTCGCATCGAACCTTGAACAATGCCATTTCTGACTGACTATAAGTCAGTCTGACTGATAGTGACTAGTGACTGACTATAGTGACTACTGCACCAGCTAGGCGCATCCCGTGAATTTCCACCCCGGTCGGTCCAACTGACCTCGCAAAGCATGCTCTCGGTGCAGCTCCGGTCAGCTCTGTGAGTTTGGCTCGGTGCCAAGCTTTCCTGACAGCTCCTCTCCTGGCGCCCGGCTACCTACCACAGGGTGGGTCTGCAGCGCGCCGGTTTTCCCTCCGCACCGCACTGAACGGTGCACAGCCAGCACCCAAACAGTGGTCTCATTTGATGAATGTGCGATGATTATGTCCGATGACAGAGCGGCTTGGCTTAAAACGTTCATGCTCGGTGCTGCTTAAAACGTGTTACAGGATCAAAATGAAACAAGCAATGCTCGTCTCGCTCTCATTAAAAAAGAAATCCTTGCAACTTTCAGTCGCCACTGACCATCCTGATTGGGTAGGGAAAGACATCATACTGGCAACAGTCTCTTATCTTGCATGCAATCAGCAATCGATATAGGAAGATATAATGTCTGGCCACATCTTATCCAGACAGTTTTTGCGGCATTGCAGCACAAAAAGTGAGCCACACACACCCGATAGTAATGGTGAACGCTGCAGAGTTTTGATTGCACTTGGCAACAATGGAGACCGCTGTTTGTTTTCTGCCGCCTTCTAGAGTGCTTAGCTTTCCTATATCGATCATCTATTGAGTGCCGCCGAGTGCAAGCACGTGAATGACGATCCCACGATTTTGAGACACCACACGTGGTGGCATCCCGATAGGGACACCATTGGCAGATAGGTGTTGTAATAGGTGAGCCACCACAAACGAATTCGAAGATACGGGCTCAAGAGTCAACACTGTCCGACGGCATCTCTCTTGAATTTTCTCCGTCCTCTCGTTTTGTCAGTTGTCTGTTTTGTAAATTATTCCCTCTGACGTAATGTCGGTTTACTTTACATGATATAACTTTCTGGTTGAGACTTTATCTCTCAGCCATCTCCCCTCTGTTCCCTGTGGCTTCAGCCAATCTCCCTCCATCCCTCCCGCAGCATCGGGAATCCCGTCCATTTGGCCCGTGCCACGCTCCCGGCCACAGTCAGTTCTCGGAATGCAAATAGCCAATCCGCTACCTGGTTTTACTGTCTGTCTGCTGGTGCGGAGCTGTGCGGTCGGCTCTGATTGGGCGGGAAGGTTCGGTCGGGTCGTTCGGTACGGTTGCTTCGGTTGGTTCGGTCGGTTCGGTTGATTTGGTTCGTTCGGTCGGACCATGCAGACCGGTAGATAGTAGGGTGGTCGGCTGATGCTATGATGCATACTGTGTGAGCCACTGATCGACAATGACGGAGCAACTACAGTCAAAGTGGCTGACAGTCATGACGGTATAAAGGGGGTGGAAGGACAGAGCCAATTCGTCACTGACGTCGCGTTAAGGGGGAGCTTACAGCAACGGCACGTTACTGTAGGCAGACGGAACGGAAGGGCGGGACAGCCGTTATCCAACACGGCGGACGGGGAAGAGAGGGTTTCAAAAGAGAAGACGCGGATGAAGACGGGAAAGAAGAGTTACCGGACATTCATTTGCGATAAATATTCCGTCAGGTTGACAGATGCCACGCTGCTCTGACGCCGCCCGTATGTCGGGAGGTGAGAAGACGGCTTCTCTGTTGACACAACAAACAATTGTCAGGAGAGAACAACGAAGTGAGAAGCATACTTGATGCAACAGGGGTCAACAGATCCTCAAAGCGGCGAAGATGTTGCATGATAATTTGCCGGATGGTATTTTGTTTCAGGAAGAAGAGCTGCCCATTCATCTTCCTTGTGGAATGACATCTCCTACTGTGAGGCAGGCCGAAGTAGCATTGCTCAACGCTGCCGTGGCTGTATCAGTATTTTGTCACACCTCAGGTGGGCCGGGTACCTGTCCGCTATCGCATCGCTCGGAAAGATAATCCACAAACCTTGCAAGCTGTTTAAGAGCGGCTCCGGCATCATCGGACATTCTTGGATCAAATTCCGTGAATGCCCTTCGTGTGGAAGGGCGCGAAGGGCAGCCCGCTTGCGGCAATCGTATACAACATAGAGGCCACAATTAGCCCACAAAAACAGCCGCAAAGCCACGCACTCCACTGGAAAATACCCGCTTGCAAATCGCTGATTCAGCGCCAGTCAAGCCTAGACTGCATGACGTCGGGGCCTGCAAGAATAATAGCATCTAAGCGGCCCACAGATCTCACCGCGTGAACGCGAAATGGACGTCTTAGAAGCGGGCTACCGGCACTTTCGCGGAACGGTGTGAGTGATTGGACGGCGCCGCGCGGCGTGGCCGGGGGCCGGGCAGCGGTCAGCGCAGTAGCTGGTCATCAGAGAGGTCGAGCCACGGCCAGATCGCGTGGCTGTGGTGCAGGGCAGCCCACCGCTGCCACCAGGTCACCTGCACAGCCAGCCGGCGAAAGTAGTGTCATTCACCTTGCCGGAGCGGAGCGCGCGGAGGTCTCGCGGATCATCCCAGCTCGCCCTCATTCGGGCTTTTTTTTTCCTTATAAGAGTTTCACTATGGTGGTTTGTTTTGTCAATTTTTATTTGACGCGTCAGTCAATATGCATACAATATTTCAACACCAAGAACGAATGAAGCTATTTTCCACTGGATTTGATTTCGTGAGTCGATCAGCGACAAGAAGTGCGCTTATTGTTTTTAGTAACGAGCGACGTACCAAATACTGAATGTGGAGATAAACTAGGCGGGAATTCACCGAGACCCGGCCCTAGTTGCCAATAAATTGGTTTCAGAATATATGCCGTCTACTTAAATGTGCAGGTTTTCTGAATACAAAAGTTTCAACCACTCTTCAATCTATCCACTAAAGCAACTTTTGCACCGAAGGACACAAATACCTTTTCATCTAGCAGGTCGGTCAATCGCTTACACCTGGCCCAACTATGTAGTCATTACGTCTACATGGGCGACATCTTCAGAATCGCCGTACAGAAACCCGTCACAACCATCCTGTTATGAGTTTTATCGTCTCGGCGAGGCCCGGCGTGCCTTTGTTCTTATAACACGCAGGATCTTGGGTCCGGGAAAGTTCCTCAGGGAACGTGTCGATGCATACCGATAAATACAACAATGACGCTATATGGAATAGCTAACCGTGCCAATGAGCGTCAACTTCTTTAATTTGGTATTCATATTGACACTTGGCACGAGCTGAAAGCAGCATGTAACGCAATAATATGGAAGTTCCAGCATTGACAACATTTATGCATTATGTTAAATAAAAAAATTGGCTGGGCTTGGCACTGGGCAGTGGGCACTGGGTACTGGGATGTGCCCAGTCTTGTATCGATACACCCATTTCATGAGAAAAGGCCTGATGCTAAATAATTCTCTCGAGGAAAATGCGCATATTTTCGCACGTGATCTCACGTTGCCAGGCGCGACCTGACGTCCTTTCACACAAGTCAAATGAAACGCGACTGATCTAACTCTGTTTGTCCGCAGTTCCCGTGACTCCGTACCAGGATGAGGAAGATAGCAGTTCGGCGGGAGATTCCAACATCTCAGACTTCCAGAAGATCAAACTCTGGGCATCGGTAAGTGGATCAACTGATCAAGGAGCGTACACTGCGCTATCTGTGCGCAATTGTGCGCAATAATTTCCCTGCTTAGTGCTTATCCACCTATTAATTCGATTAGAAGTAAGATGGGATTACCATTTACGTGAAAGTAAAACAAGTGCATCCTGCTCTTATTGAATTTGCAATGATTGAAATCAAATACGCACAATACGTGTACACGTTTTCATTTTCCCGTGTCAAATGTCGTTTTTATGTTACACTTCGACGAAAACATGCGTGGAAGGAATTTCTACCAATCTACACCACCCATCAGTATTGCGTTACACACAACACGCACGCATCTGATTCACACCTGATCGCCGTCCCACAGGCGCGTGCCAGTGATGTGTTCACCAAGGACACGCTCTACAGCACGCTACCGATTCTGAGCTGGGCACCGCGCTACAACCGTCAGGACCTGGTGGGGGATGTGATTGCTGGACTGACCGTCGGACTGACCGTGATACCGCAGGCCATCGCCTACGCCACCCTGGCTGGACTGCCACCCAACGTGAGTGCTCGGGAAGGGGGGAAGGAAGGGTAAGATTTGTCCAACACAGACTTGATATGATTTGCTTATTTTGATCCAGGGGTTTGTAAATTGAGGATGCTGAGGCTGTTCACACATGTCATATTTCATGGATGTCTGTCGAACCTCATAGTAGATAATTATTTGTTAATATTCTGTTATTTGTTGTTCATATTAGAATTAATATTCCTTCGTCTCAAGTAATTATATTATACATCATCTTACACCACCTCATGCACGACATAGTAAATTAGCACGAGGAGTCGAATTATCATGCCTCAGTGAATTAAATCCACTGACACATGCACAAGTGGACGTTAATCGTCGAAGTTTAGCGCCTGTCCTTCAATATTTCCCCAAACACGACGCCGGGAAGCACCAGAGCATAAAATCGTCTCCAGTCTCCGACCAGATAACGGTGGCGGAGCTGACCGCCGGTTCCCAGGCTCTCCGTCTGTGGCTTTTTATCGCTGTCTGAAGGACCACGCCCCTATCCGTGGTCGCTAAGCCTCCGGCGCTGTTTGACGCCCTTCTGCACCGTCTTTCGGTGTGGCTTCGCACTGTCTCTTGGAGCCCTTCCGCACCACTTTCGGCGTCTTTTCACAGTCTTTTGGCGCCCTTTCGTACGCTTTCGGGGCCTATTCACACCGTCTCTGAGCACCTCTTCCGCACTGTCTTTCGGCGCCCTTCCACCGTCTCTTAGCGCCCTTCCACCGTCTCTTAGCGCCCTTCCGAACCGTCTCCAGTCGCCCTTCCGGACCGCCTCACGGGGCCCGGAAGTACCCGAGTCTCCTCGGGTCGTGAGCCGAGCCCATCCGTCGCTCGGATGTATCCGTCGTCTGAACTCGACCCCTCATCTGTTACCGAACCCTCTCGGGCCGCCGGCCACCCGCTGACACCACGCAGAGTGTCGGTGGCAAGGTCGCACGCGCATGCGGGCCGCTTCCGCTCGGAGAATGAAAAGGTGGAGCAATGATGCTACCCTGAGCACAACCCACTCGCCCGTGGTGAGAACAGCACACAGTCACGCCCATCAACGCTGATAGTGTTCACAGGGCGGTGAATAGTAACGGCTGCTTGACGACTTCTTTGTGCTCTGCCGCCCGGCTAAGGCACGGCACTGCCATAATCGGACCGAGTTCAAGGTAGTTTTTGTGCGGACGCCCTGGAATTGGTGTGAGTCGCCCGACGACCACAGGCTGCATGCTGATGCATCAGTCAGTTGTGTGCGTGCTGGAAGGCGATGAGAACACTTGGGGGCGTTCCACGGCGCTCGCAATGTTTTGTTTTGGCCCCGAGGTGGCCGACTGGACGCATTGAATACCTCCACACAGGTGAAGGTGTGGCCTGTCAGTCACTGTGGCTGACCCGGCGCCTCTAACTGGCGACCCCCGACCGACAACTGCCGACAGAGCCCGTCGGGGGCAATGCGCGGTGACGTAGGCACGCTAGCGTGAAGACGCTATTGTGTGCACAATGGAACAGTTTCAGAATGCGCTCGACGTCACGATGACGCAACTGGAAGTCGTTTGACGTGGGTGGCTCGAGGTGTCGAAACAATATGCGCTCGAGTGGAGTAGTCAAGATATCAGTTTTATTTTTGGAAACAGTGATAATGGCCAACAACCAAACCATACGATACGAGGGCGACTTAGCCAGGCTTAAATTCTTAGAGGGGGCTTAACTATAGGATCAGGGCATATATTTTGTACACTTAAACAATGTTCTTATCTAAACTTGACATTGTTTGACTGACCGGGCACGGTGACCACGTAACTACGGACTTCTTAAAACCTTCTTGCGCACAGAAAAACAAAAATATCTGGTATCTATTTGCTGAACACTACACATAGTTCTAAATGATTCGATTGACCTAACTAGTATTGGTTGGAATAATATCTCATTGTGTTTGCTTTCGTTTTAGTTCAAAACAGCACTAGTTTTTCCGATTAGTGTGCTCCTAGCAACGCATAGGCAAATCCGCAATCATCTACCCGGTCCCCGCTGATGTGGCCATGCGACTGGGTTTGAGTGCATCGTAAAGGTTAAATCGTAAAGGTTACTTGCATAACGCAAATGAGGACGCTTAGCCTAGAAATTCATGGTCGCCCATTCATATGCTATATGCGGCCTCATCCATCCAAATTGTCACGGAGCTGTGTCCACGTCCAGTCCTAGGACACCTAACCTTCCCATCAGACAGACGTCGACCAGCTGGGGTCCAGACCGCTGCCTTCACAGCAGGAGAGGATATGACGGTTACCTAGGGGAGAGTGGGGCAAAGCGGCCACCCTAACGCTTCTCACGATGCCAACGCTTGATTTTTAAACTTGGAAAGATTCTTTCTATACCAATGTGATCCCTATTAAGTTGCCTTTTATTTTAACTGCGTTTTATTTCCAAAGGCGTTCACATATGAAAGATATTGACAAAACTTTAAACCTATGCATATTGGCCACTTTGCCCCATACCCTGGGGCAAAGCGGCCACCGGCGTCTTCTCAAGTCCCGATATGAGAAACAAAATAGTTGCCTCGTGTACGATTAGGGTATTTGATGATGACAAAGTCAAGCGAGGATGGATGTTTACTTTATCATCTTCCACCTGTAGATAAACAAAGAAAGGATTTTCATGAAAATAAACATTTAATTGCATTATTTGGTAACTCATGCAAATGAAAAGTGGCCAAGATGAATGCATGACGAAACATTTGAATATAAATAATGTTTTTATCCAGATGGAAGGAACTTATAGCCAATTGGGGGGTGGCCACTTTGCCCCGGCCACTTTGCCCCGCGCATACCGTCCGAGACAAAAATATTCCAGCTTAGCTATAAGTGGGGTAAAAAACATTAAAATTGGTAGAATACATGTACGATAACCATGCAATGCATGGACAAGAACGCTTATAAAAATTCCAAACGGTTATGGAATAACATAACATTTAAAAATTGTAAACATAGTTGGTAACCTGGCAAGAAATGTTTTTCCGTGTTTCACAGAACAATGGTGATGGGCCTGAAACCCCGGTCTGGCTCATTCGAACGACCGTGAAAAGAAGTATAATTGGAAACCATAAATTGGAACTGACGCCAGCTATGAAGGGCTAAAACGATGGGTGGCCGCTTTGCCCCGGGTGGCCGCTTTGCCCCACTCTCCCCTACATATGTATCCCTATATGAATATTCTGACCACTTGAATTAAATAATGACTGCATGCATACGTGATGTGCTAAGACATGGCAAACGCTTATGAAGAGGTTTGTTTGCAGCCTTATTTATGTTTGTCATGTGCAATGTGCATAAAGCTAAATTTGACAAACCTAAATATAGCCTCACAAAAACGTGATGCTATGGGAACTGAGAGCTAGGTTTGATGGCAACGACCGCTACCTTCATCTTTTCCTTGGAACTTTTGAAGGTGCTGGTTTTCGGCCAAATTAATTTGCGTTTCCAATTCAAGTATATCTCCGAAAGGCATATTCTGTTTGATAGTGTCTGCCGTCTTCAGTTCAGTTCGGTGGTGTTTGGGTAACTCTGCAGGTTTACCAAGTAAGAGGACGTCTCGTGTTTCGCTGCGTCCTTTCGATCCCCGGCATCCGGAAGCGCCGCGCACCTGCGTGACCCCGCGTCCACCCCCGCTGTGCAGAGCCGGGTTCACTCCTGTCCCGGCGTCGCGGTCGATCCATTTCCCGTCTCTCGGGGCTGTCTGGGTCATGGTCACCGGTCGAGCTGATAGGACCCCGGCCACCCGATCCTACCGCTAGGCGGAGATGGATGCGGTGCGGCGCGCACCGGGCAGTCACTCTCACTCTCACTCACTCACTCACGCGCACTCACACGCACTCACTCGCACACGCACGTATACACCCGCTCTCCACAGGGGTAAGCATCAGTTGTGTGCACAAACCACTCTCAATTCACTCAGGGTCGTCAGCGAAGCAGCACATCCCAATAGAGCCGGCTGGGTTCCCGTGTTTATAGGAAGCACCACCCCAGCAGGTTTACATGACGAGCAGAGAGCGCGTGGGCTAGCCATGAGTAGGCCAGCAGGGGTGAGACCCTCGCCGTGAGGATGAATGAGGAATTAGCCAGTCATAGGATGAGAAGGGCGGATGAGTGCTTGTCGGAAGGTCGTTCTCTTCAGAGCTGGCTCTGGCAGTAGGACACGGAGCCACTGGAGGTCAACAGAACTTTGGGACTGTTTGGAGGATGACGGAGGTCAACAGACGCTTTTGTGAGAGGCTCGGGGTCCGGTGGAGGTCAGCGCGACGATGCGGTCTGATGGGCGGAAATGGAACGAGCTGAAGCGAGAGGCATGGAGAGCAGAGTGACAAAACAGCTTGGTTCTCTTATGGGGACGATTGATAAATAACGGCACTGAAGTAAGTCATCAAATGGAGATGTTTTCAGAGTGCAGTGATGCATTTTTGACAAATAAAACGAAGGGAAGCTGTAATTTCTGATCATTTTTTGCCTCAATGTAAGGTTTCTGTTAACCCTCGCATGTGTAGGGGGGGGGGGTCGGATGGACCCCCCCCCATGGTTTTTCGCGAATAACTCGCGTAAAAAGCGGCCGATCGCGACGAAACTTTCAGTACCCTCGCATTTATCAATTTTACACCTACCCTGAAAATTTCATGACCCTGACCCAAATGACCTTTGACCTGTGACCTCTTTTCCGAGACCATGTTTGGCCGGAATCGCGATTTCGCGTATGTCGGCTCGCACTAGCCGCGTGTTTGCAAGCTTTTCGTGGTTTCAAACGTTCAAACATGTGATTTGATGTTACTCCAGTGTGTGTCAAGGTCACCTGAAGGTCAGGTCAGGTCATTGACCTTTGGTGACCTCGGGTGACCTCGGTTCACTTTTTCGAGTTTTACATGTTTCTGGGCTAGTTTTTGGAGCTGAATTCGAATTTAACAACCATTTGAACATTTACGAAGTAGTTTTGGTGACTTCGTAACATGTTACGAAGCTGTCAGAGGCGGTTGACACGTACTACGAATACCCGTCACGACGCCTACTGGTTGACCTGACCTGACCTGACCCGAGCTGGTCTAAATGCTTCAAGACATCATCTGTGATCAAAACTAACACGATATTCGTGATCAGCACCCCGAAAAACCCCTTAGCAGCCACACTTTACGACTTTCTAACAGGTCCCGATTTTCCCGACTTTGGGTCATTGACCTGACCTGGAAGGTCAACCAATGACCTAGGACCTTAAAATTGGGTATCATCGGCTTCCTCTCGTCACGGGCAACACGCTCGTTTTTTCCGCGAAGCTCTAGCTCGATCAGGGGCCAAACGGCAAGGGGGGGTCCAACCGACCCCCCCCCCCCCCCTACACATTAGAAGCTGGCAAACGCCGCACACATGCGAGGGTTAAATGTTTATTCCGCAAATATACGGCAAAAAGTCATCAAAAGATGCTGGAACAGTTCAAAAAGTTCAGAGGCGAGAGACTTCCTGCTGACCTGCGGGCTCCCGGCGGACCGCCGCGATTGACATCTCTGGCGTATTCCCGAGGGTGCGGGCGGTGGCTGGAAGGGTAGAGGCGGGGGAGGATAGAGGTCGACCAGCAGCGGCGGGGGAGGGTAGAGGTCGGCCAGCAGCGGGGAGGGGGAGGGGTAGAGGTCACAGAAGATCAGCCGGCCGTTAAATCGGCGTCGGCTCGACTCGGTGTGAAGGCCGAGCATGCAACGGCGCCGTGAAAACAGATTGGCCCGCCCCTGCACCGGCACACAGGGTCGGGCGGTAGACGGCACGGAGACACGACATGGAGACAATGCACGGAGACGGGGCACGGAGACAAGAGACATGACACGGAGACACGGTATGAAAATGACGGCCCAAGTGTCGTAGGCAGTTTTAGGCCTTTATGGACAAACGTCTCTTTCCACACAATCCTGTGACTTTTTTTTGCTAGGAAGAATTGTGACGGATTAACATCGTATACGGATATTCTCGACATCGAGACATAGCGTAGCAACACTATACGGAGACATGGCACAGATGCAAACTGTACGGAGACATGGCACAGATACAAGACACGGATATACGTCACGGAGATGCAACACACCAACACACTACACTGTGGAATGGCAATCGGCACGAATACGAGTACACAAGGAAACACCGCTCACCCTAAGAGACACGACACGAATACACAACACGGTAACCTGCCACGAATTCACAACACGGTGGCACGCTACGAATACACAACACGATGACACGGTGAAGCCCCACAGCACAGACACAGCCAGTGTTCGCTCACAAATGAGCAGTGTCCAGATTCAGGCTGTCCAACCCGCAGCACGCACGTCGCACATGAGAACACAAGCGAGAGAAATCGCAAACAGCGCCGGAGACTGAGCACTCGGACCGTGACCGTACAGACAGCCGACGTCCAGTCGAGTGTCAACAGAAGCTCACTCACAATACGCCCACTGGGAGAGAAGACAGGGTATTCAGGAGGCTCTTCAGGAGTCGCGTGGCACATTCCACGCAGGGGCGGGACGAGGTCAGCCTGAGGAGAGGACTGGGGAGTGGGGACGGGAAGATTTGGTGATGTTATGACATTGGAACAATGGCATAATTTGGTATGAATTGAGCATGTTTATTGTTTATGCTATATATTAATCGATATGTGCCCCGTGCGTGAATCCACTTCCACACGTTATCTTTGTATGAAACCGTACCCCGCAGTTCAGCCATTAGTTGGTTTTTGAAGTCTTGGCCTGCTGACCTCTCCCTCCCCTTCCAGTACGGCCTGTACAGCTCCTTCGTGGGCTGCTTCGTCTACTGCATCTTCGGCTCGTCACGTGCTGTGACGATCGGCCCCACCGCCATCATGGCGATGATGACGAGCGAGTACGGCGAGGGAGGTAACCCCGACATCGCCACCCTGCTGGCTTTCTTCACTGGCATCATCATCCTGTTCGCAGGCATCTTCCAGCTCGGTGAGATTTCGATGACAAGATGGAAAGTTCACACTTCATAGCATTTCGCTTAGTTTAGTACCTTATTTGGGTATTGCTTTACAGATATTTACGATTGCTTTGTTATGGATTCTTCAACTGATGTACGTTTAATTACTTTCTTTCACAGTATCAGTTATAAATGTTGATAAGTGATATCAAAGTTATTTTTAATCAAATGAACTATAAATTGAATTGCTTCTCAATATTTTATACCAGAACGTATAAACTTGTTGACATTGCCGTGTCTTCCCCGGCCAGGTTTTCTGATTGACTTCATGTCGGGCCCTGTGATCGCCGGCTTCACCTCGGCGGCCGCCATCACCATCACCGTCTCCCAGCTGAAGGGCATCTTCGGCATCCAGGTGGGTCGGCCATTCCAGCCCCAATGTATCCCAGAACTTGGTAACTCTTATCTACAATGTTTGGTAACAATCCTATCTCATTGCGGCATTGCCCATTGCGTTTTATTGGAGCAGCGAACTACGACTGGCTTATGAAGGGATGATATAGAATCTTTCAGAGAAGATTTGCTTAGTAAAGCCAAAGCGACCATTAGATAGTGAATCACTGTATTTTCTTTCCAGTAACAACCCATAAACAAAACCACCGCATTCGATAGCAACTGCTGGGATCTCGGATAACCGTTCCAGCTGTTGCATAAAAGCAAATTTCTCGTAACTGTCCAGTTTATTATGGAGAACTTCGATGCATAGTACGGCAAATACTGAGCAAAGAGAATAGATTATGAACCCCGCTTTATACTGATATGCATTTCGGTAGCCTCTGCATGATCCTGGAAACTAGGAAAGACTCTAATGCGGTATCAAAATCACAAAATCATAGTTATTTTTATATTTACGATGAAAATGAGGCCTGCTGGTGATCGAACACTGAACCGAGATGACCATACAAGCCGATCCATAAAATAACCGTAAATTACCGCAACAAATACGTCATGTGCCGCTTGCGATCCGAGGCAAGAGCCTGGCCTTCTGACGTCATTAGGGGCTGTTACGTCACCAGAGGGTTATCGGACCTAATCGGATTCATTTGATGGGAGTTTGAATGTTGTTTGCCTGGTATGTAGCGGCCGGTCAGCAGCAAACCTGCAGCGAACAGCTGGCTGAAGAAGTGTGCCATAGCAACTACATGGTTGGTTTTTGTTGGTATGCCAGCTGGAAATTGGTATGCTCATGGTTCAGTGTTATTTGATCATAAATGGCTTCTGTGACGAGCCGCAAGAGATGTACTCATAAATGAGTATGTACGAATAAATGAGTTTAAATGTAACATAGCAACAACAGTCAGCAGATTGACCATTTTAATGTGATAAGAAGAGCGTCATTTTAGTATTACCGACCTGAACAATGAACATGTTCTTAAAAACGCAACAAGTTGGATTGATGACCATTTGGACAGTCCAGTGTCCTCTGTCCATGACGCAAAGCGCGGATATTTGAAACATTCCATCGTCTTTAAAAGACTCGCGTCATGTGACTTCAAGCAAGAGCTGGGAGTGCATCGAACGGAATGCTACTTGAACTCTTGTGTAACATAATGTAACCTTTGACAACACCTATCGGACAATGGCAATGACTGACGGGTGCTATTTGTACGCACATATCATTTTGAGAGCTCTGATAATCGTCACATGATAGCACAACAATACCTTGTGTCAGTGAGTGAGTGGCCTTGAGGCTGCATTTGCGCGATCAGTTTATTGTTTAGCAAATATCTTAAATCAAAACACAGGAACAGACAGAGAAGTTGGTTCAAAGCTGGTGACACGTTGCAACTTTGCTCGCATTTTAAGTTACTTTGACAACATTTTGACGCATCAAACATACGCTTACGCATATTTACGTTTTGTACACGGCACTAATCGACACCAAATGTCTACCCGGCTTACCAACAGGTGGATGATGATTCGTTTATCGGCACCATCGAGGAACTCATCTCTAAGATCTCAGAGACCAACATCGCCGACCTGATCATGGGCATCATCTGCGTGGCCATACTCATCTGCATGAGGGTAAGTGATACGTTTTATGTTGTGTTTTTTTTTTTCAAAATCGTTCATGAAAGTACGGGCTATCCCACTCTCCTCTCTAAGCAAGTCACGTTGGCACACAATCCTGGCAGAATCATGACAATGCACACTATGACACAACTGACATAGTGACCTAGTGCATATTCCTGACACCCATCACTACCACGGCTATTCAACAGGCAACACACAATGCACTACACACCCAATACCAAACAAACAACACGCCACCGATGCTGCCGCCGATCACTTGTTCTGACGACCGCTCCTGATTCCCGCAACATGATTGGTCGGTGGTGTGTCTCGGCTACCGGTGAGGCGGTCAGCGGTCGGATCTGCTGGGTCACTCTCCCAACTTGGCGAGTTCACATAGCGGAAATGTCAGCTCACGAGATACATACCTCTTCCCACAGTGTATATGGGTAGCGGTATAAATACCTCTCTCTATATGCCTCTGCCGCTACCCAGAATACTAGGACAGCCGAGAAGAAACGAAGCGAAATATCGACCCTCATAAATGCTAGTGAATAAGCTATAGAACGGACCAAACCGCTTATTTCAGCAGCTAACGTTCGATCCTTTTTCACTCACGCATTTATTGTTAACGTTCACCGGATTCACATATTATAACGGCGATAAGCAATCATTTTGATCGAAGATGGTTATTAGAAACTCTTTTGTCGAAGGAACAGGTGTCGCGGTGTCAGTTTGCATACAATCCCCACCACCTCCATTATGCAATGTAGCGGGGACGGTAGCGATGATACCAGCTTGCAATGCTACCAGCTGACCGGGGGCTATTCCATCAGCTGGCAGTCAGCCATTCGATTCTCAGCCACCTCCCTACATCCTCCCTACATTTCTCCTGGAGCCGGTTACGGCTGACCGCCCGTCCCAGCCTGTTCTCACATCCCTCTATCTTTGTCTGAGTCATCCCCCATCTTCCCAGTCATCTGCAGTTAGATGCAGGCTCTCCGAGGTACCGTTCGGTCACGGTTATGTCTGAGCGTGGCCCGGTACATCCGCGTTATGTAACTGTTCGTACTCTGATAACGAGATTGTTTTGATAACAGTTAGCCACAGACAGATGCAACAGTGCTGTTAACGCAAAATAGTTGTTTCAGCTTGGCTCGACTTGAAGACTACAAAACTTGAATAATCAGTGTGATATCAGCTTAATTGATGTTCCCAAGATGCGCTAGTCAACAATTTAAAGATAATAAAAACGTGTTCATTTAGTGTATGATAAACTCACAAAAAGTCCTTACCGGCTATTGTTAATACATGGAATACGACGGACCAACTCACACTCGTACATTTGAGCGGAAGCTTTGTCAAAGCCGTCACTCCACTCTAAACATTTTAGCAAATTGCGCAGTATCCTCCTAACCCCTCGTCTGTCATGTCGCTAGGAGATGCGTCGGATCCCGATTGTGAAGGACGGACAGGAGCCGACGCGCGGCCGTCGCTTCCTGGCCACGTTCGTCAGGTTCAGCTCCATCGCCAGGAACGCCATCCTCGTCATGATCGCCGGCCTTCTGGTGGGAATCCTGAGCTCGTGCGGCATCGACGACCTCTTCACACCCACTCGTGAGTGTTACGATTAAGAGAGTTCACGAAAGTCACGGAGGGCTCACGAAGCTAGTCACAGAGGGAGAATGAGGCCTGGTCACGAAGCACAGTCCGAGGGGTTACCGAAGACACACGGGATTCAGCCACAGAGCATGGTGAAGCCAGGTTATGGAGCAGGTTACACCGCGGTCACGGAACACGTTTTGGAGGAGGGCGTAGCCCGGTCAAGGAGTACGTAACACACCGGTCACGGGAGAAGATTAGGGAGGGTGCAAGGAGCAAGATCTATCAGAAGGTGATGCACTTGCTAGGCGCTATTGGTGAGAATAATCGAATAGGAAAAATAATTGCAAGAGATAAAATCATTGTGTTTTGCGTCCAAGTGCGACCACGCTAGTGACATGATGCCGTTTTCAAACTGATTATAAGTTATCAAAGGTCCGGTCAACAAATCATGATTCAAACATCATATGACCTGCTCCCGGTTGGCGAGGGATGATATCACAGTAATTACATCCCCTTTCGACATACATGGCTAGTATTTAAAGTGATGTGACTGTCTAGCAGACAGGCAAATCGCATGAGTCAGCGATGAAAACGGAACTCCTGTTCAGCAGAACGCCGGATTAAGGCACGTGCCCGTTTAGTCCCCGCGCGTAATTCATGTTTGCTATGGGCTAAGGCTACTTTTAGAGCCGGCGTAATCGGATTGGGTCTGGCACGAACGTGATCGGAGTATCTGAAGAAATTAATCAAGCTTTTGGGAGTTAGGTGCATTCCACCGAAGGCTTACAAGAGAATGCTTGTAGGCAGGCTCACTAAATTAAACCGGGTAGTCGCTTCACGGCATAAAATTCTCATAACAGGTCTATTTGTGGATATTCGGCGCGATGTGGTGTTATAAGTCGATGACAAGGCAAACGACAATGCTGTAAGAAAGCCCGAACGACGCGGACGACCCTGCATAGATGCATGCGACCCCTGAACTTCTGCTTGTTAGGAGGGTGTCATACTCGTATGGTCCGATTTGCCGCTACTGAAGGCATCCATTGAGCAAATATAAAATATGCGAATATGCAAATATCCCCCGATCGTATACTGTGGACTGTGACTGACATGACTTAGCGTCAACTGACCGAATACCTCGCCCTGCGTCTTCTCAGAGAGCGTCGATGCCGGTCTGCCGACTCCCCGGCCGCCTCCGTTCTCCACCAATGCGACGGGCATCCCTCTCGACTTCAGCGACATGACCTCTGAGATCGGCGCCGGCTTCGCCATCGTCCCGCTACTGGCCGTTATTGAGAACGTGGCCATCGCCAAGGCTTTCTGTGAGTGGACGTAACGTGGTGATGGAGGCTGGGCTTGGTTACTCGTCTGTAAGGGAAAATGTCACTGATCTGTGTGAGACGAGGATCCAAAACTGTTGCCTCAAACCACAACTTTTATTGGCAGTGGCGATGATAATTAGCCCCCACCCCCTTGGAAACAGGCTATTTTTGAACAGTGATTTTGAGCATATTTAACCCTCGCCGGACCTATTGGTTTTCTACATACGCGCCGGCCGAGGGGGGGGGGGGCGGGTACGACCCCCCCTCGCCGTTTCGCCCCTGGTGGAGCTAGCGCGTCGCGGAAAAAACGAGCGTGTGCGCCGTTACGAGACGCAGAGATTGGTACCCGATTTTAAGGTCCTAGGTCAACCGGTGACCTCTGAGAGGTCAGGTCAAGTGCCCCAGGGTACGGTTCAGTTTTTGGTGAATAACTTCGCAAAAAACGGCCGCAGAGCGCCGATTTTGGCAGCATCGTGTTCGTCTCGCTCAGGCGCGTCGAATGATATACTTTTTGTCCGGGTCAGGTCAACTTGGGGTGTTGACCTCAGGTCAAGGTCAGGTCAGCACCCCCAGGTCACGAAGTTGGTCGAAAGAGGTCATGTCGCATATCATTCGATTCGGCAGGCCTTCCTGAGTCCATTGGTGCCTTTCCCGACTCGCTAGCTCAATTTGATCAAGAGTTATTAACGAAAAACTAATTTGACCTTGATGACGTCATAAATGACGTCACGCAAGGTCAACATTGCAAAAGTGACGCATCTAACCTTGCAAGGAGTGCATCAAATCACGATTCTGTGTGCTTGAGATAGTTGGAGATCGTTCCCGGCGCCAGAATAGCAGTTTGAATTTTTCCCCATTGACTTATAATGGTGAGGTCACGAAAATGACCTGACCTCATATGACCTTTAGGAAAAATCCGAGATATACAAGTTGTGGGACTCATAATGGATACTAGATCCTGCAAGTTTCATTTCCCTGTGACATCTCCTCTGGCAGTGAGGGCGTTGCGAAGTTGCGACATCTGAAGACCGTGCAGAGGTTCACTTATGACGTCATAGGTCAGTGACCTGACCTGACCCAAAAATGCGGTTGGTGTCAAAAGATCCGGCTTGGATCAAAGGTCAGGTATGCCAAGTTTCAGCTCTCTATCGCCAGCGTGTTCGGAGCTATCGCGAAAAAAACCTATGGGGGGGGGCGGCCCCCCCCCCCCCCTCGGCCGGCGAGGGTTAAATTAAAAGCGACAATAAACAGCGCTAAGCCGTCAGGGTAATCGCTTTATATAATGCTCTAGTATCCACTGCCCATTTCACCTAGCGAAGCAAACTATCGCACAATGCAGAGCAAACGTTAACCTCTGACGATCGGCCTCGTTTTCAGCCGAGGGTAAGCGTCTGGACACCACCCAGGAGATGATCGCTCTCGGCCTGAGTAACATCTGCGGATCATTCTTCTCGGCCATGCCAGTGACGGGATCGTTCAGCAGGACGGCCGTCAACTACAGCTCCGGAGTCAGGACGCCGTTTGGAGGAGTGTTCACAGGTCAGTGAAACAGGAAGGGAGACAGGAAGTTACAGATCAGGGACCTATAGCAGATATAGATAAATAGCAGACAGACAACTTTAGCTCAGGAGTCAGGACTCCGTTTGGGGGAGTTTTCATAGGTCAGTGAGGCAGGTAAGCAGGTGAGAAAGCAGTCGGACAGTGAGGCAAACAGGCAGGCAGAGATTCAGATCAGTTTGCTACCTCACTTGTCAGTTACAAAGACTTTACTTTTGCCTGGGAATTCGAACTGCGGCTTATCAAAAGGAATATGTCGCCTAATGTTAAGCAAATTCATTTAAATACCACACAAGAGAAATAACTACTGAAAAATCGGCAAAGCAAAATTGCTCGCACCAAAGGGCTCGATGTTTCAACTGTTAACCGTAACGGCAGGTCTTTCCACTGCGGATAATAATCTCAGTTGGTCGTACCCTATACCGACTTACCCAACTTTGATTGGACAATGGAGTGTTTATATGCCTCATGTGACACAAAGCTTTGGTCAATAGGCTTTTGATGTTCAATCTCAACATCTGGAATGGAATGTGAATTGAGTACCTGGGTATATCGTCAAAACAATATACTTAAGACCTTGGCCGGGCTGCTGCATCAAGGCGACAGCCAAACATCTGAACAATCTCAGCTGGCCTCTGGATCGTTTATCGTTTTACCGGAAGCTTTTGAGACCTGACTCACCTGAGTAGGTAATGACTAATGAGCAATGCTCGCGTACCCAGCTTGGCGTGCTGGAACTATTCCTCCGAGCTATTGCTTGGCGACAGGCTGCATTAAAATGTGACACGGTGCGTAAAAAGTGTCAGGCCATTGACAACGACCGCCATTTTCGTGGACTTCCCAACACTTTGTTGCCTCGTCGCGATCGGTCTATTTCGTTGTTGTTTGGTTGATTTATGTAGTACTAAAAAACTTTATTTTAGAAAAGCCCAACAATTTACGATGGATTTCAGTATTCTTCTTCACACCGGATCCCAGTTTATGAAGGGATTTGGCTGGATGCCTTCTTCCCATATAAGTATAAAACCAGATCAATGCCATTCCAAGAAAACAAATAACTCGTGGTCTTATTTAGAATTACATAGGTATGTAACCTCTCGTCATCCTTCACTTCGTCCTATGGTAAGACCACATACAAACCACATGCAACATGGTTTGTGGCAAGTACTACGAATAGTGAATACGCATCTGAGCGTTACACGACTTCCTACTACATAGTAATTTGGAAAACGCTCGTGTCAAACAACTGTGGTAAGCCCACGGCACCACTGTCTCCGGCCCAGCCGTGCGGACCAAATCGCCACACCTGTGACCGTATGATTCAGCGGTCACACGCGTGGAGTTATCGGTCACTGGACCGCACCACGTGCTGACCACAGATAACCTTGTGCTGCCCCGCACGCGACAAACCGTTCCGGTCAACACTGCCGGAAGTCGAGAGGCAACGCGACGCTGCCATTATGTTAAACACACTGCGTGAGCACTTGGGAACACATTGCCGGCATTGCTTCCGGGTAGTAAATCAGTCAGCTCGGGTAATACATGAATTAGACGAGATTTGTAGGCGTTATCAAGTCACCAAACTATGTGATTCTGCCAAGGTAACGGTAAACGACCCACTAACCTCGCCTAAGAATGCAGTAACAAGAAAACATAAATAATGAGATGAAATTTACCTAAGATATTAGCCATTACTTATCATTAGAGGTCATCACTCGAGGTCATCACTCGACTGAAACGGCTATGATTGACACTATAAACTTTCTTTCATCTGCAATGGAAAATGGTCATGTCTCCACTTTGATAGCAGCCGACACATCTCGTGCCTTTGATAGTATAGAACATGTAACACTGTTAGATAAATTAGGTTGGTACGGTGTAGACAAACATTGGTTCGAGGACTGGCTGAGGAACAGGACTCAGAGCATTCAGGGTAGCCGCGCCGGGACACTGCCAGTGACGCACGGTGTAATACAGGGCTCACTAATCGGCCCAAAGCTGTATTTACTATTTACTAACGATCTGACGGCTCATTTACCTTTTGGCAAGCAGGTGACATACGCAGATGACGTACAGTTTTTAGATTGCGACTCAGTTGAAAATTTAGCATGTCTCAAAGAGCGCGTTGAAGGCACACTTGATGTGGCACTTCTTTGGTTTACGCAAAACCGGCTTAAAGTAAATCCAAGCAAAACTGAACTTTTGATAGTCAAACCAAAGAAGAAGAACTGTACTTCCTTTAGCATAAGATTTGGCGATGCAGATCTAAGTCCTTCACCATTTGCAAAAATCCTCGGTTTATTTGTTGACTCTGAATTATCATGGGAAAAACAAGTATCTCAGGTTGTTCGCCGCTGTTTCTTCGTTCTCGTTGGTCTCTCTAAGATAAGACACAGGTTGCCCTTTGAAACAAAAAAGTTACTGATCGAGGCACTCGTGTTTCCCCATCTGCATTACTGCTTAACGGTATGGGGCAGCTGTTCTGTTACTCTCCGCCAGCGAGTGCAAAAGGCTATAAATTTTGGAGCCCGTATAGTTACTGGCTTGTCCCGGCGTGAGCACGTCACTCCCGCCCTGGAGTCGTTGGGGTGGCGGCGTCTTGACGGTATGTTAGAGGAGAGGGACGCGGCCATGCTGCGCAGGCTGATGTCGTCCGGGGCGCCTCCGGCGTTGGCCGATCTAGTGCGCAGTCGCTCTGAGGTGTCAGTCAGGGCCACTCGCGGTGTGTGCGCTGGTCAATTGAAGCTCCCTAGAGTAAGGACCGAGCGTGGAAAACGTACTTTTCCGTACAGAGCCGTGTCTGTTTGGAATGCTGGGTGCATGAATCGTCTGTGACTCGTGTACACGTTTGATGAGCGCTATTTTAGGACATATTTTTAGATAGTTTATGTGTTCGTCTTTTTTACAACTTGTATTGACGAGAGGGCAGAAAAGCCATGTTTTATGGAGCTCTTAATAAACCTGACTATGACTATGACTATGACTATGACTATGACATTAAGTGTAATCAAAGCACACTGCAAAACAATAGATTCATTTATTACTTGAATATGATTTATAATGGAACACCGGCACTTTTCTTAATTTCGCCTTATCGTACAACAGACATGCCCGAATCGTTGGTTTGAAATATTGTGTTTCGCATGCCAATCTTGACATGAAGGACCCTGTGTCTGATCCTTTTGCCAGGACCCGTGTCTGACCGTTTTGTCTTTCCCGCAGGACTTCTGGTGATCTGCGCTCTGCAGTTCCTGACACCCTACTTCAGCTACATTCCCAAGGCTGCCCTGTCTGCCATCATCATCGCCGCTGTCATCTACATGATTGAGCTCAGCGTGGCGCGGCCAATGTGGCGCAGCAGAAGTGAGTCAACGGGGAAGGGAATGGGGTAACACACGGTAGAAGTGAGTAAAGAGGGAAAGAGAAGGGATAATGCACAGCAGAAAAAAAAGTAAACAGGGAAAGGGTATAACATGACAGCAGTGAGTAAAGGGGAAGGAGAAAGGGCAAAACAGCAAATTTGCGCTGGAAGGGAAGAGCCGAGGGAACACACGATAAGAGCAAGGACGGTGACGAGGGAGGGAATAGCACGCAGCAACAGCGAGCATTTCCACCGGAGTGAAGAGATTGGCAATGTGAGGGTGAGAAAAACAATAAAGGTACTGAATAAATTGGTCTATAGGTAATAAGTTTCTTGCCTCCTAAACCAGTCAACTGGGTTCAATTCGTGGGCGACGCGCGGAGCCTCGTTGCTTCCTGGTCAGTTCCAAACAGCGTGAGAGTTCCGGTTAGCACTTGATCCGCGGGCTATGGCGTCCAAACCACAATTGACCAGCTAACAGCACCATTACGGTGCTGCGGGAAGGGAGCCAGGGGAGGGTTACACGCTAGGTATAACGAGCATATGCCGGGGGAAGGAGTAACACGCAGTACAGTCTGATAAAGGGCTTATACGCAGACCGGTAAGCGTACTAGTTATTCGACCGATGACGATGTGCAAGATTGGCACGTTTATGTCCGTGACACGACCTTGACAGTAAGAAAGTGATATAACACGAAACTAGCACGGCTCGAAATGAATGTTGGAATATTTAATGGCGCAAGGAGGTAGTAGCGATGGGTGCATAGCCCTTTAACTGATTTGTGTTCAGATAAATGGACTCGAGAGTAGTCGTGACCTTGCATGTATAGTGGTAACTAGTAGACATTAACATCTAGAAAATAGTATTTTCTTCTGTTTGCACGTTTTTTTCGATTCTTGGCAAAGGTTTTGAAGAAAACGTGATCATAATAGCTCGTCAATAATTGAAAATAATGAAGCTTTTCAAGCACTTAGCTATAAGAATGCCTGTTGCATTTCTTACACCACTCACCACCCCGCTGACAAACGGCTCCATTTCACAGAGGTGGACCTGCTGCCATTCCTGGCCACCTTCTTCACCGGCGTCTTCTGGGGCCTCGAGTACGGCATCGGCATCGGCACGGCCATCAGCCTGGGCATGATCCTCTTCAAGGCCGCCCGTCCCAAGGTCGTCATCCAGAGCCGGGTCGTGGTGAGTAGTGTCTTCAGAGTTCGGCGGCGAAACCGTGCCAATGCACTGCAGGTTTACCCCTAATGCAACCGATTAAATACTCGGAAGACTTATTTTAAAGTTGATCGTTATTAGCATTCAAGAGCTCGTTATGTAATAAAATTAAGAGTGGTTAGCTGTGGTGTTGCGACCAAGCAATCTTTTAATGTTACATATTTTAATCCAGCTCGTCATAACCAGGGCTGCGGAGTCGATGGATTTTCGGCGACTCCGACTCCGACTCCGACTCCGGCTTTCAAAAACCAGCTCCGACTCCGACTCCGACTCCGGGCAGAATTGTCGACTCCGACCGACTCCAACTCCCGACTCCGACTCCGCAGAAGTAGCAGGGCTGCGGAGTCGACAGATTTTCGGTGACTCCGACTCCGACTCCGGCTCGGGTTTCTAAAATCGACTCCGACTCCGACTCCGACTCCGGTCACAACTGTCGACTCCGACCGACTCCGACTCCGACTCCGACTCCGCAGCCCTGGTCATAACCAATGATTATCGTTCCGAATCTGGCACAAAATTTCTGACTTCTCCTTCTCTCCGCAGCCCAACACCTCCCAGGAGTACATCTACGTATACCCGGACTCTGGCCTGACCTACCCGGCCGCCGAGCACGTGCGAGCCGTGGTCACCGATGCTGCCATTCTGCACGGCCGAGGCACTGAGCCTGTGGTTGTCGACTGCAGTCACATCCGCTATTCGGACTTCACTTCGGCTGAGGTAGGTGGCGCTAGAGAATGTGTAGGAGTGTAGGTGGCGATAGTGTGGGTACCGGTGGAGGTGGATGCACGAATTTGCACGTTGCAGGTGGCTCAGGGTACAATGGCTGCACCTCTTGCGTAATTTGTTACCAAATATGAAATATAAATGCCTTAGAAGAGACAATAAAAATAAGAAATGGGAGATGAACGAAGACATGGGCAGTGGCCAGTGGGCACCTGCATATTTATACCTAAATTATAGGCCTAATAGGTATAAGCGACAGACAACTTGCACTGGCATGCGCCGAGATGACTGCAGGAGTAAAATGCATTTCGAGAGAAACTAAGGAGGAGGGGGATAAAACATATTTCCACAATCAGCATGCACATTTCTTCAGCTCTGTGTAGTAAGCTAATTGGGTACGTCACCGGTGAAGAGCCGGCATCCGTCTTCAGGTTACTTCGTCCTCCGTTCTTCAAATTTATGTTCCGTAAAGCCAATGCCATTTTCGTACCTCCCTCTGTGTCTTTCTTACACTGAAAGTTCCATGAATAGAGCTCGTAGTTGCAACTATGCACTGTCCACAAATCACTATCCTCCATCACTCAACGACACAGCAAACACGAACTCTCCTCTTCACTCACCAGTCGCTGCGCCCGACTGCCCGGCTGCCATGCCGGTTGCCAAAGCCCGAGGGCATAGTCTCGCTCTCGGCAGAAATTCGAGTGGCCACATGAGCCTCGCGCCATCTTGGCGGTCATTGGCTGAAACTCGACCCCCGGCTGTTGACACCCGATCGCCTCGAGCATGGACTTGTCTGACTGCTGGCGACCTGAGGGCTGTTCACGGGCCCTGTGTGCGGTCGGACCGCACACAGCCTCGAAGCTCCGCCCACTGCGTCCCTACGTCAGCCTTCCGTCACCGCACACAGCGATCGCTGTGGCCGGTCGGGACTGGCCACAGCGGACCGTCCACCGCACGCAGCCGTGACGTCAGAACCGCCTACCCATCCCCTACCCCCACGGCTGCTGGACGCACCGCACACACCGCACGCAGCAGCGTGCGGTGCCCGTGAACACCCCTCAGGGCCTGTAGTCGGAAGGGGGGGACGGCGGGGCAGAGCACGGGACAGGGAAAATCGTAACCGTCTTCCGTTTCAAGCATAGGCGACGGAACGGGGAGGGCACCGGGGCACCGTGCCCCCCTTTGATTTTGGCATTTTAACATTAGCTCTGTGGGCGTTGCATGGAAAGAATGGGACCAGAAGTCGGCAGTGTCCCCCCCCCCCACCCCCCTAATTGAGGGTGTTCCGCCGCTACTGGTTTCAACACTGATCTACTGTTGTTTTTTTTTTTTGTTATTGAACCAGCTCTTTTCCCAATCCAACCCCACCACTATGAGACAGTTTTATGACCCGAAACTCCTATTTCCAGAGTATGAACGAGCTGTTTGTCCCCGGACTATTCCCGCCCAGTCAGGTGTCTGACCCAGAACTCCTGTTCTCAGTGTATGACAAGCCGTTTGTCCAGGTGTCTGACCCGAAACTCCTGTTCTCAGTGTATGAACCAGCCGTTTGCCCAGGTGTCTGACTCACAACTCCCGTTCTCAGTGTATGAACCAGCTGGTGAAGGAGTTCCACGAGCGGGATCAGATGCTGGTGTTCGCTGCGATGAAGGGCAGTATTCTGCGCTGCTGGAACGGCGCTGGACACGGCGACGCGCGCGTTACCGTGGCAACCGTGGCGGACGCCGAGCGACTCGTCGCAGGTAAATATAACAGCGGCTGATAGATACGATACCGGCTAAATCGGTACATATAAATATACAATATGATAAGATTTTGTGTACAACGGGGGGGGGGGGGGCAGAAGGAACGCTTGCAACCAGCACCAGCATTCAGAAAGGAAGAATAATATCATCTCAAGTAGGTATAACGTTTGCAAAGAAGTCTATGTACATTGTCCGCACTACTTACCTTCTGTGTTGACCTGATGTTTATTCCTATTTCAGAGAGGACACAAGCGTCAACAGTGAAGGTGGAAGTAAGCTCATGAGCTGGGTGCCGATCGCCACTGGATCCATATCTGCTGACTAAATCAGCAGACAAGGTGCTCGCTGTCGGCAACTATGCAACATCAGCTGCACACTGATATAAAGCGCAATTCACACACTGTCTAGTGGTGCTACGCGGAGACTCAGAGCGAACGTGTGAGCGAATGAATGTGAAATGTTGTGAACCGCGCAACTCGACAGCATTTTCGTGCCAGATGTGTGCTTTGAACGGTTCAGTCAGAGAGTTCTAAGGCGCCTGAGTTGGCCTCGCCTGTCATGTGTTGTGTTCCTCCACGGGCGTCCTGTGGTTGCTTTTGGGAGTGGCGTGTATTTGAGGACGGTTTTATGAATGTTTTGTTGTGAAAACTACCAGCAGGATGCTAATGTCTGGTGGATTATGTAAAGTGTCGCCATCATGGCGCTGGCCATTTATAACGATAGGCCAGTTGGAAAGGCTTCGTTGGTCTGACAGTGTGTGTACCTATATTGTAACAATATTTTGAGATAGCCGAGATCAGGAAAGGTTAAGATAAGCGGGCGCGTAGCATTGTTTTCGTCTATGTAGTAATCAGGTTGTCAGTATTGATAATGTGGTCTAATCCTCACAGCCGATTCCAACTTCATGAGCAGATCTCAGGCTGTAATTATCGTAACTTTAATGCCCTAATTTTGTAACATTTTATTGGCAGAAGTGCGTTAAAATCCCATCAGTTTTCAATTAGGAACAGCATTGATGAGATTCTATTTCCATGTTCTTTTTTGCCCGAACAATGTCTTTAATAGGCTCGATCAATGTGTCGCGGCCACGCGCCGGCCTGTGCTCGACGGGACGCCGCGCCGCGCGGCGCCCGACTCTCCTCTGGTGGAGCGGACTGTAGACACTCCTTTCTGGGGCTAATCAGACCGGCGGGTCCACGGCATTTGGGTGAAATAAAACTCGTGCCACCCTATTCAACACAAGTAGGCGAAGGGCTTTAGGCAGATCGATCGGATATGAAGGTTGGCCACAATTCAGCAGCCAGGAGCCACGGCAATTCAGCGTGACACAGGTGAGAGATAGAAGTCACAATTCAAGCGACAAGGAGGCCCACAATTCAGCAGACCAGGAAGGGTAAAATGGGAAGGTTAAGTGAGTAGAGATAGAAGTCACAATTCAAGCGACAAGGAGGCCCACAATTCAGCAGACCAGGAAGGGTAAAATGGGAAGGTTTAAGTGAGTAGAGATAGAAGTCACAATTCAAGCGACAAGGAGGCCCACAATTCAGCAGACCAGGAAAGGTAGAGGAGTGAAGGTAAGGTAACTTGTGTAGAATGAAGAGTTGCGCACGCGCCGCACACGCCCGATTCTAACTCCGCCCGCTCACTGCTGCTCAAGCTGTGTCTCGTTGCTTCTGCACTTCCCGACACAGCACTGAAGAGGTATTTCTATATTGCGGTGTCCAACGAACGGTGCGACGGCTACGACAGGACAGAGGCACGTCCGCACGCTGCGGAGGCCAGAACAGAACAGGGCGAGAAACATGTTTACATCAGTTTAAATATGGCGAGAAATGGGGTCACGAAGAATAGCACAGATGAGGAGCTGAAAGAATCCGGAAACTAGGGAGAAGAAAAACATGACCACGGCGGTCCCAAAATAGCCGCACCTGGCCGGTCCGCGCGCCTACCTGGGACGGGGACGCCGGCGTGAACAATGCATTCCACGCCGGGGACGTCGAAAACAGGGGCCGGACTCGGCCCTCCCAAGCGGCGGCGGAAGGGTCAGGCGGACCGGGCCCGGTCAGGCCGGGCCCGGGTGGCCGGCGCGCTCGCGCCCGGCCGGTCCCGGCGGTCTGCCTCGCCGGCGACGGGCTACAGCCGGCGAATACACATGCATACATACATGCGGCGGTCACACAATGTTTGTATTTAATGTTGTTGAAGATAGAAAGTTCATCATATTTTGTAAATTGTACACATTTTACGAATCAATAATAGAAACACGATTTCGCTGCGGCATGAAGTGTTGCTGTGAGAGATTTATAATTCATCGTCATGCCATACTATCTTTTCTCTTATGGGCAGCAGTTGTAACAAGCCAGATATTTGCCCTATGTTTGACATAACTAATGATTCGTAGTTAGTGTGAATATGAACAACGTAGAAACCTTTAGAGCTCAAAATGAGTGCATTTGCATTGTATATTTATCGAATAAAAGAGGTTCGTTTTAACTCTTCTTTCTTCCGCATTATTTCATTATTTCTCACTCAGTGTGCTAGTACTGCTTTACTTAGTGGCTAAAAGGTGAAGCATTCGAAGATAGCTGGGCTGCGACTAGCAGCTTCAGGGTTATTCTGGCACCAGTAAGGTGTGAGCAATGATCATATGGAAACTCAGACACGACGGGTCACACGTTTGTTTACTAATCACTCACATACATACATGAGATAAAGTCATTTCTCACCCAATATGTGTTCACACAGCCCCACAAGAAACTGCGCACGCTCCTTCCCTAATGCTCCTCACGTTGGTCCAGGCGTCGCTGCGGCTCCATTTATGCCATTTGCGTCGGCACCATTTTGACCGGGTGTGGCTATGTCTTGTAGCTCCAACGAGACAGGTGAGACTCCTGAAAGGATCCCATAAAGAATAGGGCGATTAGCACAACTTGCGGACTTAGCAATGAGACCTTTAGTGAGTAGCTACAGCTGGTCATACTGCGAACTAATTGGGTTGTGACTTGTGAGTCTGTTAGTCTGGCAGCTAATTAGAATTTCACAAATCACAATCATGCATCATGCTATCTTCAGTACCAAAGCGTCCGTGCTACCGTTAGAAAGAAGCATACACATGCACAAAAAACAATGCCTCAAACCTTGGTCTAGAAATACCTACCTGCGTGAGATATCTTATCTACGTGTTAGGGCTCGGTATAATAGTTAAGGCATTTCGAGTTACGAATGATATCCAAAGTTTTGTGCAATAGTATCTTCCCGTCTCTACCGAGCTCGCTCCTCACCCCACTGGTCGATCAGCTGGGCGGCGGCAGCCTCTGATTGGCTGACCAGGAACGCCGCGGGGTCTGTACCGCTCCAGATGGCCAGTACTGACGGCTTTATTTCCAGAAGCACCAGCGGCCTGCCGCCGTCACGCTGAAGGGATTTGGCCGCCGCGGCCAGGCCCTGTGATACGGGAAGGAGGGAAGAGTAAGGCAGTAGGCACTGGGTCTTGTCAAGAAAATACATTTAAAGCATTAATAATTTTAGTTGACGGACCTCAGACTTATTTTAAGGTAATATTGACCTTCTGATTTATAATTTTATGTGCATTAACTTTGAAGCTTTCGAGAGAAAGCCAACTGGCAACTGCGGATGTTTTATTTATATTTCCCACCACTGAGCACTGAGTGAGGTGAGCAGTATTACACATCAGATTAAATGACGGACAGGTACCGTAAAGTGGGGCTATTTGAAACGGATTTTACGGTTTTTGGCCTCTCTCTTTAAGACGGTTCATATTTCTTATAGCATGTAAATTGCAAAAATGTAGTGCTCCGTAAGCTCTTTCATATAGGTGCATTTTGGTTCAGCTAGTAATAATGATTAAGGATATCTTTTTAGTTAAAGCCTGTCTCAAATAGCCCCATAGGGTGGGGCTATTTGAGACAGTTTTAGTTACGAAGAAATTGGAGAAAATCGGTCACGCTCGAGATAATTTTTTAAATGCCATGCGATTGGAAATTAAATTTTGATCATTCTGGCAAAAATTGTTTTTGCAGAGACAGTTATATTTCCTTTATATTCAATTTTTTCCTTTTTCGTAGGATGCTTCATTTCGGTAGGTTATAAAATTGCATCACTATATGCTAAGGCTATCATAATATGATGTTACCCTAAACTTTCAAATTTGCAGAATGATCATCAAGGACTATTTTAAAGTCAACAACAGTAAAATTTTGAAAGAAAGTTTTTGTATATAGCCCTGGTGGCGTGAAAACAGACATACTGAAAGTCGGTGGGGCTATTTGAGACAGGCTCGCTACCTACTATGGACGTCAAACCCCTTGAGACCCCACTTTTTTGCGATAATTTTTAAATGCGTCAACTCCCGTTGACAATATTCTGACAATGTGTGTTTCAGAACCTGCCGAAACTTTTATTACTAAGGTATTTTGACGCCAAACGATTATGAAAGGTACTTCTCATTCACTCGTAATGTTGAATTTTACGGAACGTATCTGCTGTTTGGGTAGAGGCTACGCCCTCATGGGGCGGAGCCACGTAATGACGTCAGCGCTAAGCTCCACCCTACCCCTCCGGCGCTCCTTTCCCGGCGACCGGTCACTCGCGACTCTCGCTCCGTTCAGGCTTGATGGTGGGCGGTAGCTGGTAGCGGTAGCGGGCGCTGGTAGATGACATTAAGAGCAGATGGCGCTGGTGGCGGGGCTCGAGTGTGGTCGAGCGCAAGCCTCTGCCCGGGCCTGAATTGACCTTAGCATTACGAGTGAATGAGAAGTACCTTTCATAATCGTTTGGCGTCAAAATACCTTAGTAATAAAAGTTTCGGCAGGTTCTGAAACACACATTGCCAGAATATTGTCAACGAGAGTTGCCGCATTTAAAAATTATCGCAAGAAAGTGGGGTCTCAAGGGGTTTGACGTCCATAGTAATGAAGCACACCGTAATGAATCAAACGAGCTAAAAGGTTTCCCAAAACATTTAAGTGAATGGTCTGCATGATTCCTTGTTCCATTGCACATCTTCATGCGAAGAAATAACAGAAAAATGTTAAGCGGTTTTGATTTTATGATGATTTTCCTCGATCGCTGCATGCTGTATCAATTGGCCGGTTACCCTACCACATCAAGCCTACTTGCATAGGCTCACCTAACAGTACGTTCATGTGTTGTGTAATCTTCAATGGTGTTTTCTGGTCAACCAAGGTAGACATGTGTTGATTGTCGACTAAGTCAGTGACTGATGAAGCACATTTTAAGCACATATTCATCAGAATAACTAGTTTGGTCACCAGATAAAGGGTCATTATGTTACACTACGAACATGTAAATATTGCTTGCTGCTAAAAGTACCTACCATGAACCCACTGCACGTTTATGACCACGACCGATTCATCGGTGTTGCTCATGTCGAACGTTCGATGCACTTCAAGTAGATGGTGGTAAGTCTTCTCGGGTGCAATCGCGTCACCATTATCAGTAGCTATTTGGCATATCGGTTGAGGTTTGACCCGGTGGGCATCATCGGGATTCTGAGACAATGGGTTACGCAATCGGCAGTAACGTTAATAATGTATAATATTTTCATGAAAAATATGCTTAGCCTATAAGTAAAACGGTAGTATCGATAGATGCAATGCTGAAGCTGTTAAAATTTCAACTATGTTAAGCGGCAGGTAGGGGTCCTTTTCGAGCAATTTAAATTGTGCGTTTCTCTGTATTTCCTATTTTACACCAAAGTTCTATCAAAACTTTTCGAAATTTTTCAAAAAGGTTATTCAGGTCATTCACTGTTCAATTCCACATCAGCCTAAGCAAAAAAGACGAAAAAATATCAAACGGTTTTCATTTTACAGCGATTTTACTAAACAACTACCTTACTGTCTCAAATAGCCCCACTGTCTCAAATAGCCCCACTTTACGGTATACAGACTTTTTAACACGCGCAGTGGAAGGGGGGGGCGGATTTCGCCCACCCCTCCTGTTTTTCGCCAATAACTAGCGCCGCAAGCATAACATCAATGTCAAATTTCGACTACCTGTCCAGAATTGAATTGCGGATCTTCTCGTGCAAGAAGTAAGAAAATCGGTTCATAACTTTTCTAATAATAGCGGTGTAAAGTCAAACATCCTGCCGCCGCGGCGGCGCGGCGGCGCGGCGGCCGGCGCTAGCCGTTACGCGCCGCCTGAATTGTAGACTGTGCCGGGGCGGGACGGTTCCGTCTTTACATCACGCTCCTTACCACTGATTACATTAGATTCGCGTCAAATTCGGTGAGAAGACTGAGAAATGTACAGGCAATCACATGGTCAAAGAATTTTGAAAATCGGCCGGTAACAACTTGAGTTATGAGTGTGTAAACACAAAATTGTGATTGCCGCGTTTCCCGCGTCGGCCGATCCCGCCTCAGCCGGCGACATCTTACCCTTAGCAGGCTTCTAACTGCCATATTTATTGTTGGATTATCTAGAAATTCACCATACATACTCACAAATGTTTGTTCTTTCGTATAGTGAAAGATTAAAGAAAATCGGCCGGTAACTTTTTCAGTTATCGGCGTGTAAACGCAAAAAAGTCGCTAATATGGCAGATTTGACCACATTTGACCTCATTTGACCTTGAAGATATTGACCTAGGGTCATGAAATTCACACACAACAGAGTTCCTCATGGCCTTCACCTACCCTCCAAATTTCGTCTTTCTAGCTCCAGTGGGAGCTGAGATCTTAGGGGGGGCGACATCCGCCCCCCCCCCTTCCACTGGGCGTAGTACTCGCAACCCTTCCACTGCGCGTGTTAAATTGATGGTTTTGCAAGTTTCAAGCCTAACACTCAGCCTTCATCAATTATAAAACGTAAGCAAAAATTAGGAGTATAATTACAAATTCAAAACTGAAAAGGTCAGATCATTTAAACTCGCATATCGTTTTTCAGAGCCCAAAAATGAAATTAAATCTTTGTAGCACTGCTTTTGGGGGGGGGGAAGACAGTCGACGTGTAATAACAAAAAGCAGCCCACGTCTGTGTAGCTGCAGTCTCACCTTTGCCGCGGTGAAGTCGGTGAAGCGAATGTTGCGACAGTTGAGCATCACGGGCAGCGGAGCATCCTCCCGATCAGTCGCCCCATAACCTTCTCCATTTCTACGATCCACCAATTCACAGAAGCTACTGTCCTTTTTAATCACAACGTCCTCAGAATTCAGGATGAGATGGTAAGCGTCACCACAAGAGCCGTTTGTTGAACGAAGCGCAGGAGTTTCATGATCATCAGGATGATTTTCTTCTGCTACATCATCGACAAACGGTATTGTCTCATGCACACCGTTTCCGGTAATACCCGATGAGCCTCCGTTACGAATGCTTGTTCTGCGGACATCATTTCCATTTCCGAGTTCATTGCGTCTTTCATCCTTCAGTTTGCCATTGCAGTCCTCAAGATGATCAGTGGAAGGTGCCGTACTCTGTCCATTGAGTGGTGCAGCTACTTCAGGACGTTTACCGGTCACTGACATAGCCCAGGCAGCCTCGTGGATCAGCTGTCTGACATGCTCCGCTGCCGGGTAGCTCAGGCCGCAGTCGGGTAAAACCAGAAGATACGGCCGCCCGCCAGGCTGAAAGGGAAGCACACTGCTCAAACCTTATTAACAATTTTAAGTTATTCGAGATAGTCTCTTGAAATGGAATCAGTTTTTTACAGTCTGCCAAATAGCTACGGCCCTTTGCTGAAGGCATGAATGTATACTGTATTATGCATAATGCATTGTATTTGCAGTAGTTATTTACCGCACTTCCATGACACTTGCCAGAAAGCACTTTTAACACCGATAAATGAAGTATCGAGCGCCTAAATATATGTTGTATGTACATACGGCACTACCCTAGCGGTATATCTAGCTGCCGACAGATGACACTACCGTCGAGCGCCTGAATGATGCTGCACCGCATGGCACTGGCAGTAGGTATTAGCGAGTTTAGCTGCCGACAGATGACACTAGCGTCGAGCGCCTGAAAGATGCTGCACCGCATGGCACTAGCAGCATTAGCGAATAGCGAGTCTAGCTGCCGACAGATGACACTAGCGTCGAGCGCCTGAAAAGTTAAAGATGCTGCACCGCATGGCACTGTGATATTAGTACGTCTATCTGCTGTTAGATGACACTACGGTACAGCGCCTGTATGATGCTGTACCGCATAGCACAATGATATTAGTATGTCTACCTGCCGATAGAGGACACTGCTGTACAGCGCCTGTAGGTATGCTGTTCCGCGCTACACTGAGCCATAGTTGTACGATTGGTAACATGAGCTGTCGGTAGATGGCACCAGCAGCGAGCGCTTAAACGTATGTTGTACCGCAAGACAACTGGCGGAATTAGTTTTTACATTTACATGCGTCACGTAGAGGAAACATGATAAATTGAAGTATATGATGTAAAAACTCCAAACGAGGAATGGATATCTACGTTTCCCGCTGCAGCTCTCAGTGTGATGTAAAGTCGCTTTTCGCTGTGCTGTAATTATTGTTAGTCTGTAGTCGGTAGTTTTCACTGAATCAGTACCTATTCTTATCATCGTGAGTTGGTAGTTTTCTTACCGTAAGTCGGTAGCTGAGTGTGACCTTCGGTCTCGCCGCTCGGTGCAGAAGCAGCAAAAGACTGACGCCGGTTCCCAGTAAAATGCCGTACTCCAGACGCCAGAACAGACCCGCCAGAAGGGTCACAAACAGCGGAATCAAGTCCAGCTCTGCGAAACATCAGGGCTAATTAGGACTAGTTCTGCGAAATGTTAGAGGCGAAATCGCTTAGCATTAGTGGGGCACAAGTGTCAAAATGACGGCACCACTCGGTTGCAAGCTCAAGTTTATGGGTCATCAGTCGTCAGAGTTGAATGTATGCAAGGTCGACACCAATGCTCGTACTCAGTACCAACACACTAACAAGTGACTTCGGCACAGAGTGCTAACTTTCATGTCAATCAAGAAGTACTTACTTCGGCATCGCCACAGGTCCAGCACTATCTTCCAGTCGACCATGAAGAAGACGGCACAGATGATGACGGCTGAGAGTGTGGCCGTTGGGATGTATCGGAAATACGGTGTGAGCGAGCCCAGAGTTATCATGACGAATATACCTGAATGGGCGGGAAGGACAGAAGGTGAGACCTCGACTGAGTGGAGACATGAAAGGGCGATAGAGAGTTTTTGACTGTCCTTGTCAAGCAATCGAGAGCTTGATAGCCCTTTCTAATGGCTGGCATTAGACAACCCCCTGAGTTCTGTGAGGATAACATCACATGACTGATGTGTGAAAAAAGTAATTAAGAATTCAATAAAGTTTCACAATCAATCTCGGTTTTCTTAAGCGATCTAATCGGGGAGACACAAAAACCATGTTTTCTAAAACCTTTCAAAATAATGTTTCGTACACGGGGAAACAAAATCCGCAAGCCCATCACTAGATTCGATCAACGGGCAAGACGCTGACACATTCCAAGCTCTCACTCACATGTGACCACTCCAGCGATGGGGGTGGCGGCGCCCGAGGCATGGTTCAGAGCAGTGCGGGAGAACGATCCGGTCACTGTGTAGGAGGAGAAGAGGGCTCCGAGCAGGTTACACACTCCGAGAGCAATCATCTCCTGCGAGTGGTCCTGGGGACGGTTGTGCGCGGCTGCGGGTGATAAGGGAAAATCAGAAAAGTATGGGTACCGGATGATTGACACTTGATAGTAATATGACACGATCTGAATTGTCTGATTCCGTCAGGAACTGATGTTTCCCGAAGTTGATATGTTAGATAAAATTGTAATGCCTTGGAAGGAGGAAGAGATTGAAAGAAGAGATAAAACAGACCTGGCAAGATGGAGAGTCCACAACCTAATCAAGCTGCCTCTATGTAGTGACAAGCGAAACACACTAACAACTTTCACCATGGATGTGCACATAATTCTCGACCTGCCTGACTACTCGTATACTGACTAATCTCTAGCCACTGATATATGTTATATCATCACCCTTGAGTTCGCCAGCCTCATGTCACCTACCGAATGCCTTGGCGATGGCCATGCACTCGATGGTGGCGACCAGAGGCACGACCACCAGTCCAAGGCCCAGCTCGGAGGCAAGTGCAGCCACCCCGGGCCACCTGGTTGGGTCAGCGACCACTGACGCGTTTCCAGCCGAGCCAGCCACCTCAGGAGAGGTGGTGTTGCTGGCGAGGCCGTAAAAAGGTGGCAGCTGTGGAGACGGGAAGCCAGCGGCGACAGTCTCTGGAAAAATCGACAAGTAGATGGTCTTAGATACACAGCACACAGGATTGGCAGTTCAATTGATGAATTATATTTCACGTTTTTTTTTTGCAGCAAATCATGTAGCAGATTAGGAGCACAAGCGTTAGGAAATTTAACCTTGACCGATACGAAACATGCTGTCACCTTCAGTGGTATTGGGAATCCGTGCATCGATCGTAAAGGCATATGGCGTCCGTAGCATGTGTCTGTGTTATTTCAGGAATTCGAAAAATGTCACAGCGGACACTAGTATCACCTGTGGTGCTGAAGGGATGCAGCTGGTGACTTTCTAACACCAGCACCAGCACACTGGTGACCAGCACCACTACACCGTTTCTGGCAATGCTTAGCATCCATAGAGAGCCGGAGAGAAGTCGAGAACGACGACTTGGCTTCATAGAGTGTTGGTCGTGTTGTGGACGACGCTGACCCAGCATCTGATGATTACAGACATCAGCATACAGACCCACGACGATTTATTAGTTATGCAATATTGAGGAGCTGGTAAAGAGACTTTCGACAACGGCTTGCATTTAGTTTCGATTATTGTCTTACAACCAGTGTTGTTTTAAAGGGCACCCAAAGTTTTATAAGATCGTGTCATGTGTGGTCTTAATTTTTAAATTAACTATCAGGTTTACCGCGAAACATATACGCTTCATTTATAAGGCCGTTGTCGATACGATCGCACTCTCTCTCTCTCTCTCTCTCTCTCTCTCTCTCTCTCTCTCTCTCTCTCTCTCTCTCTCTCTCTCTCTCTCTCTCTCTCTCTCTCTCTCTCTCTCTCTCTCTCTCTCTCTCTCACCCTGAGGCAGAGCAAAACGACGATGCATGACACACCAAGAAGAAGGTCCCACAGATTTGTACTTTTGATATGTATAAAGACGTGTTTTAACGTAGCCGTAATTGTTTTCCCTGACGATCCCTGAAAAGGAAAGTTATTGTTATGATAAAACATTTTCTCCTAACTTTACTATACACTTTCGGTACATTTTCGCGCGTGAAAAACTGAACATCCAAATAATTTAATGCATTGCGTGAATCGAAGAGTAAAAACTAACAACTCTTAAGCCATAACAATCGCATAGCTACGGTATTTTTCATGATTTTGTCTTGAACGGTTACGGTACATACCACTGCTCAAGGAGCTTTGCCATTTTGTAAGTGGGATTTGCTAGTCCTAACGCGTCTCACCTTGAGACCAAACAGGCCCTTGAGCTGTGTGGTACAAATGGTGATAGAGGCAGCTGAAACGAATCCCGAAACGACTGGCACGGAGAAAAAGTCCACAAGAAAACCTGAGGGAAAAGCATGTTATACCATCAGGTATCATCAAACGTCAGGGCATATGAAGCACTTACCTACATAACTAAGAGCCAGATATATTGCAGCCTCCGGTTCGTACCAAACAGGAGACATCCCAGTCCCGCCCATACCTAGCCGTAGACAGCCGGCGGCGGTGACAACAGCTCCAGTGGAGAAAGCCAGCAGGACGGCCCGCTGTTGGTCCCCTCCGGTAAACTCAGCAGTTAGCAGAGACATGACGGCCGTGGGACCCACACTAACCACGTCCGTGGTGCCCAGGGCAGCGTACCAGATCCCCGTCAGCAGACAGGCGTACAGACCGAACTGCAAAGGAGGGACGGCGGTTAGCAGAGAGGCATACAAGCCGAACTGGGAGGGGGGCAGCCACAAACAATTTCGTCATTTTGAGAAGCTCCTTCGCATAAACATCAAATATCAGAATAAGGATGTTTATTGTCTACTGCATCGAAGCGAGAGTGGGAAAAATAAAAAAGTCCATGGTAGATGGACCTGCTGTAAGTAAATACTGAGAAGTCATCGACTAAGTACCAAACTAAACCAAATTTCGTCACTCTTTTCCCGCTCCTTTTTTGTACTTACGTGCGGCGGCAGTCCGGCCAGTTGCCCGTAGGCTATGCCCTGCGGCACAGCCATCAGTGCCACAGTGACCCCAGCCAGTAGGTCCCTGATTAACAGCGATACAGAGTAGGCGGGTAGCCAGGAGACGATGGGGAGTCGCCGGCCGATGGACGCTCCGTGCGCACAGCGGGCGCCGACAGACTGCGGAGAGAGGAGAGGGAGCGAGGAAAAGAGAGGGAGGGAAGAAGAGAGAGGGAGGGAGGAAGAGAGACGGAGTGAAGAAGAGAGGGAGAAAGAGAAAAAGAGGCAGAGAGAAATCGAGAGGGATAAAGTGAGAGCGAGAAGGGAAGGGGGATGGCGGGAAAGAAGAGAGTAAGTGAAAGAGAGGGAAAAAAGAGAGGAGAGAGAGAGAGAGAGAGAGAGAGAGAGAGAGAGAGAGAGAGAGAGAGAGAGAGAGAGAGAGAGAGAGAGAGAGAGAGAGGAAGAAAGGGAGAGAGGGAGGGATAGTTACAAGCATGCTAGAGTCTGAGTCTATCTCTCATCTATTTAGCTTCGTTCGGTAAGCTTCTGTATTCCTGAGATCGACTGTTGCTCTGGCGTTACGCTATGCCAATATCGATCACTTATGCCGCCACGTGTCACTTTCCGCAGGACTCGACACTACTCGACGTATAAAGCCCAGTCTGCAGTGGGTCGGGTCGGTGGGGAGCACATGACTTAACCCTCGCCCGCACATGGGGGGGGGTTGCCAACACCCCCCCCCCCCCCCCCCCAGGTAGTCTTTCTGCTCTGCACTCAACATTTTTAGAGCTAGAGGGCTGATTTTTCGTATAGCTGCACCACTATAAAGCAGTGGAGCAGCTATTTTTTTATAACCTTTCTTGATGTCCACTGAAAATTTTAAGTTTCTGTGTTTTTTTGTTTCGGAGATATGACCTTGTTTTTCAGGTCATGTCATGACCCAAATGGCCAATTCTCAACATCTTGCGTTTGTCATGGGCCTTGTGAGCTTTTGGCACCTTGATTTCGGCCTTTTTTGCCAGTCTTCCCTCCCACCTATCATGGAACATGTTGTTCGACGATGTACAGGTGTCAAGGTCAGGGTCAAGGTCAACCTAGGTCATCTAAGATAATTGCGTTTTAGGCAAGCTGAATTTACTTTTTTTTTACTGCATTTTTGGTAAAAGCTTCTCAGATCATGATTTCATGTGATATGGACCCAAAAACAATCGGTGCACACATCAGTATACACACAGACACACACAGACATACAAACACATATAATTGACCTTGACCTAACTTGACCTGAAATGACCTCAGCAGCAAAAATCTGGTCGGGTAATGTGACAAAGAGGTTCTAGCTTGCTTGGCACCAGAAAACAGCATCGTCATCGGTATATGATAAGCAGCGCACTTGATATCCAACGGTGACCCAAAACAGCAACATTTTTTAGTTTGACCTGACCTGGAAGGTCAATGACTGACCTGAGAATGTAAAACTGGGTATCATTGGATTCGTCTCTTCCCAAAGAATATTTTTGGTCTTTACCGCTAAGCTCTATCTCCAACAGGAACGAAATGGCGCGGGGGGGGTGGCAACCCCCCCCCCCCCATGTGCGTTCTAGGATGGGAAAATGGCATGTGCGGGCGAGGGTTAATCGCCTCTCCGCACTATAACTAAATTTGTTTAAAAATAGATGTGCAGGAGGGAGCGAGAGCAGCAGCAAATGAGGCGAACTTGTTACATCAGTTAGCACTATCGAGTTCAAAGGGTCATACAGCCGATATTTTCGAATTAGCATCGTGCATGTAGTTTCAGCATCATTTAGTTTCAGAATGATTTAAGCATTAAAATGTTATACCTACTTCTTTGCTTACCTTGATCCATTTCTGCACGGACATTTGTCAATTGGAAGGCGCCTGGGGACATGGATTGGTTAGATATGTGTGAGACTCGTAAAAGCAAAATAAAAGTGCATGACGAACTACGAGCCAGAAATAAGCTACTCTTATGGAGCTTATGGAGCGGACATTTTTGGAAGGCGCTCTCGGTTTATGAAGTGTGTGTATGTGTTCGTTCGCCATACAGTGTGAAGTTTTAACAATGTGTGTCGTATTTATTGTTTTTATATGTCTGACTCCGTCTATTATTGGGTTTTCGGACCTGTTGATGGTATGCAATAAATACAAATACAATACAAATACTCTGCTATGAGGTGTTGCAGTCTTTTACCGTCACATTACGAAGGGCGATAATTTCGGGCGGTGAAAATTTTCGGACTGCTGTTAATTTTAGGATGGGCCTCTGTACCTTTTTTAACTTTTTGTGCTAAGAATGTAGTTTACTTCTTATGCATAGAAACTTTTTTCTGTCCTGTTTTGTGCTCTGGTTGGTGCATAAGTCGCTTCTCGATTGCAAGGATGTATCTTTCTGGTGACGCATTACAAGACACACTGCACAGTCATGCTCCAAGCATATTCTATCAGACCTAAAAGTCGTCAATGATGCATGCATGGCAACAAAAAATGTGCCCTCTTAGCACGGCATATTTCGATGGTTATGTGCCCCTTTTTGTTAAAACACTTTATGCGTTACGTACAGGGTGTCCCAGAATTACCCGGACATTTATTTTCTGGCTAAAAGTACGATTGCGCTCGATTCTAATGATATACAAGCATTATAATTTTATAAGATATCCCTTAGCTATCGAGCTTGGGGACTGTGTGCTTTTGGTGACCGGTAACGACTCGAGTCAAGTATTATCCAGAGTCAAGTAAGAGTAGTCCTTTTCCGTTTTCAGCTTAAGCCACTAATAGGCAACCATGGTGAATCAACTCCCGTTTTCAACTTCGTAAACGGACTTTCGGCATGGTTTTTGCTGGAGAGCTTCAGCAGCTCATCTGCAAGCAGTTAGGATTGAGCAAAGCGCCATTATATCAGCTAACGAAGCCAGAGAGAGCAAGAGATAAACCTGATTGACAAGCTTGGGCTCGGCCAAAAAGGGCCATGCACCAGTTGTCAAACGGGTGGTTGCTTGTCATGGACAACAAACGTCACTGATCTAGCTAAAAACTAGCTAAACGATAGATCAGGATTATCTAAAGAACATCAGTCTACTTTCCACCACTATCTTCGCAAAATTTTGGAATTTAGGGTCCCTCGCCTGAAAAATATGCGAAAACTACGGGAAAAGCAGCGAAGATCACTACAATTCATCCCAAAAATATAACATATACAACAAAAAAATTATATTGAAGCACACTTTGTGGTCTAACGAAGGTATTCTGTCATTTGAACCGCCCGAAAAAGGCGTGTGTGAACGTCAGATGGCTACAACGCCCCAACAGCAGAGACGGCCAGGCACCCGTCGAAAATCAAATTGTGAGACATTTTGAGCCACCGTGCACTCATTGGGCTTGATATGATGGCCCAAAGACAACCGTTAGCACAGAGTACTACTGCGGTAATATTCTACCAGTAAAAAAAACTGGATGCCGTAAACCAAATGGCCATGAACGGGTTTGTTTTGGAAACCAAATCTGTTGGAAGCCAAAGGTCCCGCCATGTTCAGACATGGAGCTTCTCCACTTCAGATGTAAAAAACGCGGCAAAAGTGGTGTAGGCAGCAATTTTTGTTTTGGGGGATAAAGCCTTATGACCCGGGAACACTTTGATGTTAAGTTTATCTTATATGATCGTATTATCCTCCGGCAACAGGTCAAAGAAAACAGGCCTTCACCCAGTTTCGGGAGAGCCGTAAAACAACTGAGACCAGCAATGGCTGGCATTTTCAATCATTGTCGGCTGATCTTGTAACAAGCGTATTGCATGTGCTATTTCACAGCCACCCTAGTTGACTATATAGGACGATAAAAAGAAAAAAGCGCAATCATGTTTGCCTTATTTTATACGCTAATTAACAATGTCCGGGTAATTCTGGGACACCCTGTACGTACATTTTAGTGTTCCTATGCAATTTCTTTACAACTACATAGCCAAAAGAAAACGTTGAATGCGGCAGCATTTCTTGAATCTCTGTACTGATAATCACTGTTTTTCGTGCAGAATGTCTGTGTGCGTATTCGCGCTTGTTTACGTTCGTGTGCGTGAGTTAAAACCACTATCACAAGAAGCGATCATGACGGTGAGCCGACATCTTATAGCCCCGACGCCAAGTTCCCGCAAATCATGAAATCCCCAACCAGAACTACATAAAAACAACATATACCACATGCGGAACGCCCTGAACTGACTTACCTGTGCATCTGTGTGCCACCAAATCTGGATCCTCACCGGAGACCTGTTGGCCTCTCTCCTCAGCGCTCACGTCGACACTCCTTTCCCAATCTCCACCGTCACTCGCCGCTGACCTCAGCAGAGCCGGGACCACAGATGTGCGGTCGACACCACTCGGCAGGACAGGTGCCCCTTCTATCGCCGACTGGGTCGGTGTGACAGGGTTGTCACCACCTCGTCACGGCACCCTCCTCGGCCGTGACGCAGCTGAGTGACGTGGGTGACGGGTTTGTGACAGGTGTGGGGTACGAACGACATCGCGAACCGCTCGGTACCTGGTGCGATGGAGTTTGTCAGATGTCAAACCTACTGAGTGTTGCTCATTCCGGTCAAGATGCAAATATGTTTAGAACGCAGTAGCGGTAGTGCAGAAAGTACTGAGACTGTTTTTAAAACAAGATTGTTATGTATCATTATTTTCATTCACTAGTGTCGAGAGAGAGAGAGAGAGAGAGAGAGAGAGAGAGAGAGAGAGAGAGAGAGAGAGAGAGAGAGAGAGAGAGAGAGAAAGAGAGAGAGAGAGAGAGAGAGAGAGAGAGAGAGAGAGAGAGAGAGAGAGAGAGAGAGAGAGAGAGAGAGAGAGAGAGAGAGAGAGAGAGAGAGAGAGAGAGAGAGAGAGAGCATACCTTCTATTAAGGACTTGGTAAATGAAGTGTATGCAGCTAGCGGGTAATGTGTCTCACCTTATAATAAAGACAATACGAAACTCATGGTCGGGAAACATAAAAAACTGCTTGTGACTGCAAAGAATTATCCTTCGTGGAAATAAGGCGCCTAGAACACCCTGTTTGAGAGAGATGTTAGCACATTAGCAATCACTTCTCATTCGTTCTCTACATACACTTCGTCCTTATTATTTTTATGTTTTTTGTGTCGAAAATAAGAAACTGTTATTTATCATAGTAAAACGGATGCTTGCAGCTTCTAAAATTGAAACAAATAAAGCTAAAAATGAAAACATCCGGCCTGACCTAAGAACTTAAGCAATGGCGTAATGTTCCTCTCTAAATATAAATTGTTATAGACAAAACACATAAATATTGTAAGATGGAGTGCGAATCTCCGGTTAATTTATCCCTTCCTTCTCTCGTCAATGACCAAAACATGTTAGACGATCATAACCGAATATTCTAGGCTGACGTGAGGTTCAGGTTTGCAGCCAAAACCATGAAATCGAAAATGACTCACATCTATGTAGGATGAGAGACAACAAGGCCATGTTACGTTAGCTGCACAAAGGTCAGTGTAGCCAATAACGTGACTATTCGCCACCCCACATCGTTTCTAAATAGTTCAGAGGCCAGAGAGCTACAAAGTTTCAATAGCCCTCCTCTCAATGCGTGTTATGCATTCTTTTTTAAACCGATCCAACAATAGCTAGAACGGACTTTTCTGTGGTCACTGCGAATTCAGCCGGCCACAGACTCCAGAGACACTTGTATTGACACTTGTATGACACTTATATTGCTCCACACATAACACAACTCGATACACTCAAAACCGCAACGCCAACGCAGCACTTGTGGCGACGCGGCACGGCCACACAGCAACGCCACTTCGTCCAGATTCCGGGGAGGGGCGAGCAGAGACATTCGCCCGGGTCAGGTCACGTGCCTCATCGTCTCAGGGCGTCCGGTATGGTCATCGGCCAATGAACGGCCGCCTAGAGCACGACAGGCCACAAGACCGCTCCACATGCTAAAATGGTATCTCATCGGTCATATAACTGGATTTATCTTTAGTTAATCCCGTAACGCTTCGGCATCGTATGCTCCATGCTCATGTGTTGGCTGTTTATCGGCCAGCCGTCTCTCTCTCCCTTATATCCCATTCACCTTCTAGGCGATCGTTTTAAGAGAGAGGAGACGGTCGACGAGGTAAGGAAATGAAGGTAAATAAAAACCAACGCAGATGGTTGGAGGGGGTGGGTGGAGGAAACGTGCTCAGCAGCATGGTCCGCTCCACTCGCCCGGGCCGCGTTGAGTGGACCTCAGCCGTCCCGCTCACGGCCGGCGCGCTGGTGACGTCACGAACCCTCCGGCGAGGTCAGGTCGGGTCACCGCTCGACAGTGCCGGCCGGCGCGGCTCTAGAGGCCAACCGCGGATACGCGTTCGAGCAAGGATGCGGCGTTACCATTAACTGACATTTGGAAATCAAGGTGGATCCCATCATTAACCTTATATCTTGCCTAGTGGTTTTAGTCTGCATGTTTTTGGATTCGACAAGGCACTCAGAAAGCCTCCAAGGAATTAAAGGAAGAGGAATGAAAGCTTCATATTTCACCGAAGCATGCAAGCACTGTGCGCAAAACGAGGACCGAATTATGAATAATTAAATAATACTACTCTTACTATTCCATTGAATAATACCTACTAATCAAAAGAAAAAAAGTATAAATCACATAATTTTATTAAATGCCTAGTATAGTACGAGTTTTGTATAGGTAACTGATATACCTTAATTACAGGGAACGTTTCCTCGACTTCCTTATTTTCATAATTATCATAACTTTTATCACCACTCATGGCATTGTGATTCGCAGTTCAGCGTTTCTTCTAAACTGGCATTTGCTAAAGGACCAAGAAGAAAGCAAACAACTGCACGCGGATAATGTGGAAAAATTAACTGAAAATCCAAAACGGAGCCAAAAAACATTTCGGATGCAAGGTCAGTAGCGTTAGGTTGTTATTTGTTGGTTATGTGCCCTATAGGTTATGAGGAAAATTTGATAGAGCGGGGTTTAGTTGGAATCTTTAGGCTGCACTTTAGAGTTATTGGTGAATGATGGCTAAGACAGGAAAAGCCAAAAAGAAAAGTTGTAAGGATAAAAACAAGACGGAGGATTCGGCAGAGAGAGAAAAACGCTTGCAGATCCGAAGAGAATGGGACAAACAATGTCGAAAGCTCGAAACCCCAGAGCAGAGAGAGCGACGGCTGCAGATGAAAAGAGATAGCAGGATCAGGTTGCGAGCAATGGAAACTCCTGAACAGCGCGCGATTCGATTAGAAAAGGCAAGGCTCTGGAGAAAGAAAGTACGCGAGAAGGAAACGCCGGAGCAAACAAGGGAGAGATTAAACAAACGGAGGAAGGGAAACACGATTGTTAAAGATCCTGATATCCCGGGGGATTTCATGTGGCCATGGCGTAAATTTGTTTTTGCTGACCAAATCACGAGGAAGATGGCCACGACCTCATCGTGTAAAGTGGTAAGTGTTTCACTCTGTGGGTAAGTCCAAACTCCATATCTATCATTAACTCTCGCGGGCCTGAGCTTCAGGGGTTGGATGAAACCCCTTGCCCCCTCCCCCCGGCGAATGTTTGCGATAACTACCGAACGCTTAGAGATAGGAAAGCGAAACTTTCAGTAACTTTCTCCCATCAATTTGACGACCTCTGAATTCTGAAACAAATTTGGATACCTATAGAGACCTATGCCGTCAGGTTGTACTGTACTGAACTGAATGTTGGCTGTACTTGATGATCATGGGCATGGCGGAACCAACGACATTGCGTCTATTTCACATCTAGCCCTAAAGAGCGATTCTACGAGCATAGCGTACTTACGTAGTTGATAACTATCGAGCCGATCCATACAGGTGCGACCGTTCGTTTCAAACTACTATCCAGTATCATCTGTTGTGCAGGACTGTGTGAATTGGTGGCCTAAATAAGCTCAATTTAACGTTTTTACCTGTTGCAGCCATTCTATAGGTAAATCGGTAACTGCTGCCTGATGAACGATGGAGAGGAAAGTGGCATCATAAGACCCGCCGTTTGCAATTTTATTAACGGAATTTGAGCTTGTGGTGACTTCAACTGACCTCGGTAGCCTTGAAATAGCTGAAAAATATCACAACAGTGTGTCTTTTAATCTAAAAAAGTAAATCTTTCGCCTAGACCGCGAAGATGAAAGTTGTACCATTTAATTTCTTGTACGCAAATTTGTCAGTCGTTTCGACTATGCGAAATTAACTCGAGTGACCCCAGTGACCTTGAATTGCTGCGAAAGGCACAAAGGGGAAGTTGAATTTTCAAGATCACCAAGGTCACCCGAAGCCACCATATTCGGAACGGGAGATGCATTCGTATACGGGGAATAGAATGGTAGGATGCGTTCCGTCCGGTGCAGTGGTTGCTGAGCAGTGAGCTACGTTATACGCAGGGTAACTTTTAAAGGGGGAAAGGGAGAATTTCCCCCCTTTCGAAAATTCAACACCCCTTTCAAATTGTGTCTGAACTGCTAGGGAGGGAAGGGGGAATTTCCTCTTTTCAAATTTATCTTTGAGTTCATTTTCGATCAATTCGCAATTCAGACTCTTAGTCATCTTTAATCAGATTCTAGTTATCAATGAACGTTGCTGGCGTTTATATAGTTTTCAATTTGCGGTTCAATCCAACCATTTTACGTTCAGTGCAGCGGGAGCTACTGTTTTCTCTTTATGAAGCATTCATGTTCATCTGCTTTGCATGCAGAGCAGGGCGCGAAAAAAAAAACTGTATCTCATCACGGCCAGGGACGTAGCCAAGGGGGGGGGGGGGTACGGAGGGCCGTGCCCCCTGAAGGCGAAAAAGCATAAAAACAACAGCTGCACCATATCCCCAAAAAATAGTGGGCCAAATCCGAGGAATTTTCCTTTTTGGAGAGGGAACGACACTAGAACGCGACCTGCCGCCCCTCCCTGAACAGAATCCTGGCTATGTGTCTGATTACGGCCGGCTTTCCCAATGGCATTTTGACTGATTCCTAGTGAGAACTAAAGTTTTCTGCTTCATTAGTTTTTGTTCGGATATCACTGCATGTATAACCCTTTGCAGTTTCCTTTCAATCGGTCTTGGCCTAGCAAAATAGTCACGCGTTAAACTATCTCTTTAGAAAGGCGCTACTTGATGTTTGGCCAGGGTATAGGTATAGGTCGACACTACTGATTGGCATTTGCAAGGGCTCACTCAAGTTGGGACCTCCCCCGCCCCTCACCGCAAGGTAGATGCGTATATTTTTTTAGCAAATTCATTTTTTGGCAATCTTACAAAATGAAGTGGCAGAAATCCGGGGAGAGAATAGGATTTGGGGGTAGGTAGGGTTCTGCAGGCCCCACTCTAACGAAAAGAAGAGCATTGCCCCCCTTTCAAATGCGCCTGGATCCGCCCTTGTCCCGAACTTTATCCTCCCTCTCAACTTTTCCTGTAAAATAACCCTGGTTATAGGTACGCACGATATGCCTGCAAAAGACAAGAACCTTGTCATGAAGTTTACTAAGGTCCAGAGACCAGAAGCACAAAAGTTGCCTCCTGAGCTCAAATATTCCAAACGAGAGATTTTTCGCATGTTTAGTCCTCGCCCGTATAAGGGGGGGGGGGGGGTCGAACGCAAGATTCCTTTACTACTCAGGTTGGTTCACTAGGGAAATAAAGGCGCCGTGGTGACGTCATCAGAGGAAATCCTTCACATTCAAATGAAGGGGTGATTTGATTTGCTGATTTTGGCTCGATATAGGCCTACTTTTTTAGTTTCAGTCCCATTTATCGTAATGAGGCCAATTCATTGTTACATTGGTACATCTTTTGATGACATATAAGCCTTGATTTTTTTCTCCAGCTCGCCCGAAAGATGATGAAATTTGCATGCATGCCTATGGGTGAAGGGAGATTCTGCCGCCGTGGTGACGTCACGGTAAAGGGATTCTGGAGCTCGTGAACGGGGGCTGGGTCGAACGGACACCCCGTCTCGGTTTTTCGCGAATAACTCGCGTAAAACTAGCGGCCGATTGCGACGAAAATTTCAGTACCCTCGTGTCAACCAATTTAACTCTTACCCTTAAAATTTCATGACCCTGACGCAAATGACCTTTGTCCTGTGCCCTACTTTTCGAGACCATGTTTGGCTGGAATCGCGATTCGGCGTATGTCGACTCGCATTAGCCGCGCGTTTGCAGTCGTTTCGTGGTTTCAAGCGTTCAAACATGTGATATGATGTTGGTCCGATGCATTAGAGTGGGTGTCAAGGTCACCTGAAGGTCAGGTCAGGTCATTGACTTTGATGACTTCGGTTCACTTTTTCGAGTTTTACATGTTTCTAGGCTAGTTTTTGGAGCTGAATTCGAATTAATCAGCCATATGAACATTTACGAAGTAGTTTTGGTGCCTTCTTAACATGTTACGAAGCTGTCAGAGGCGGTTGACGCCTACTACAAATACTCGGCACTCGGCAGGACCTCTACTGGTTGACCTGACCTGGCCTGACCCGACCTGGCTTAAATGCATGAAGACATTATCTGGGATAAAAATAACATGATATTCGTGATCAGCATAAAAACCTTAACGCCGCGTTCTAACGGGTCCCGATTCTCCCGACTTTTGGGTCATTGACCTGACGGTGAACCAATGACCTAGGACCTTAAAATTGGGTATCATCGGCTTCTTATCGTCACGGGCAGCACGCTGTTTTTCCGGCTCCGCGAAGCTCTAGCTCGATCAGGGGCGAAACGGCAAGGGGTCCAAGTCCAACGGATCCCTCCCCCCCCCCTTATACGTTCGCGGCTGTAAAAAAAAAAAAAAAAAAAAAAACACCAATACGGGCGAGGGTTAAAGTCCGACAGTATTATTTTCTCCTAAACAAATATATAGTTCTTAATAGTTCCTGATATTTAGGATGACGGGTTTACATACATGGCTCCTCTCCTTGGATGACGGCTTACATTGACGGACTTGGGATGACTGCAGAACTCATGGCAGTGGAATAGTGTTCGTCATTGCCCTTTCCCACTTTTTTACGTTCTTAGTGCGCGTTAAATCCCTACTTTGCTAAAATTAGTTAACATGTATGTTTGATTTCCAATACTGAATGATAAACGCTGGCTTTCAAAGAAATTCATGCAAGTTTGCATTAGCTTCATAAAAGCAGTGAAATAATCCTGCTTTAGTCCGCAAATCGCATAGTGCTCGTCTCAATTGCGCCACATATGGCGACCCTTTGATCCTGCATTTTCATATCAATATTGTGTGTGTTTGGGATTGTGTATAATTTTGATGAATATTTTTCATGAAAAAGTGGCTCCTCTTCAAAAAAAAAAACACTTGAAAGGTATGGTTTTATGATTACTTTGGTGATCGGACCTTTTTTATATACCAATACCCCGAAGACCTGCACCTTGACTCTGTTCACTGTGCTAAGTCAAAGTAAATAATTATTGAGAAATGAAGTTTCTTAATGATCTATTTTCAGTTTATTTCCTTCCTCCTCACTTTTTTATCTCCATTTCTTGCAGACAATGACAATACAAATACAATACAATTGAAGCCAGATGTTTCAGATAAAGTGTTTTCTTTATCTTTCTTTATGGTGCCAAATTATGTTTTTCCTGTATATTGATATTCTTCGCAATGCCACCTGTTTGCCTGGCTACACCCCTACAATTTGTTTTTGCATGCATTTTGCAAGTTTGCATGTTTTGCTTGATAGTATCGTTGATATGAAGAAATAATGATATGACATTTTTGTAATATGTTTTTATACTAACTTTAAGTAAACACATAGGTAACATGCTATGCATATGAAAGTTTATTAATTGCCTATAACTTATAGAACAAAATTACGCAAAACATAAACTCTAAAAAACACATGCTGAAAACATAGTGTAACCAGTCCTAACCTAAAAAATATTGATAAAGGTAAAATAAGTAAAATTATTTGTACCAATGTTAAAGCTATATTTATAATTCTTAAACTGTTAAACATAGCAGAGATGCAGAACACAGCACTGAAAACAGCAGAGAAAATGTAGCATCTCTGTCTGCTATGTTTTCAGTGTGTTTGAAATATAATAAGTGCATTTGAGACGTATATTTATATTTTAACTTGTAATCCTATTCTGACGAAGGTTGCTTGAAACCGAAACGTCAATAAAAGTATGTGCATTTAGTTATTTGTTGGCGACCATCGATGACCTCATAACAAAAATATGTCCCTAAATAATCAGGTAGGGGTTGTGGTAGGGTAGGGGTAGTGGTAGTGGTAGTGGTAGTGGTAGTGGTGGAGGCAAAAGTAGTTAGAAGTGTGGGCCATTCTGAACCTATGTGACAGGAGGTGACCCATGTGGCCTGGCCTAACCCAATGTGACTGAGGCTGACCCCATTAAGCCGTTTTGACCCCGTGTCACCCAAATTTCATCCAACAAAGCCCTCAGGACAATTTTTTCAAAATTTTCCTCTGCATGTTTTCCTCTATACACCAGTTGGCTGGGAGGCAGCTTGTTAGAGGCTTAAGGTCAAATTGGATACCATATAATTGTTTTATTTGGAGGTAGCTCATTGCAAATCCCAGTTCATTCAATATCTTTTTACAGGCCAAGTATAATGAAAGCAAAGCTCTCATTTCATTTTTAGCTAGTTTCATTTCTGAGTTAGGTGCATGACATGAATTATTGACTGTGCATGACAGAATTATTACAAGCATTACAAGCATTATTTCCACAAGCACCATGAGAATTATACGCATGATTTAGTGATAACTTATGAAGTGTTATTTTAAAGTAACAATGCAGATTAATTTAATATCATTGTCCATGCAGGTCATTAGTTTAATCCACATTTTTATAACACCTTTTCTTTTTCAGTCTTCTGACGACGGTTGTGCGACTGCATCTCCACCTGACGGGGTTCCCTGCATCGAGATACTGGAGACGACGCGGATAGAATGGATCCCCTGTCTGTGAGTGACGCGTCCGGCGTGCCGCCTGCCACCGGCGCTCCAGCTGCCGTCCAGGTGGTGGCTCCTCCGCCGGCCACGGTGACCGCCGTAAGAAACCCTCTGCGCCTGGTGAGGCCGCCCAAGGTGACGGGGCGGCTGATCCGTCCGCAGGTGGTGTCGGTGGTCAGTGCCGGCGGCAGGACCCAGACCCGCGCCCTGCCCGTGGTGAAGATACCAGTGGGCGCCATGTCGGCTGTGACGTCGTCCATGTTTGTGATCAAACCACGGCAGCCGAGCCCCGAACAGAAACAGGCTGAGGTCGTCGCCACGCAGCCTGTGCCCGTGTATGAGACATCGGCCACGGTGCTGCAGACACCTGAATCAGAGGAGATATGTCAATCGACCGTAATAAAGGAGATGGTGCCACACTCGTTGCATCAAGCTCACAATCAACCTGCTTACCAGGAGCAGACACTGCAGACTCTCCATGAACTTCAGCCCCCACCGTCTCAAGTTTCTGACATTTGTGTACAGCCGGTGTCGCAAGAAATTCAACTGCAGCAGCAATCATCGGACGCAATTCAGCTTCAACCGCTGCCCGTGGAGACAAAATGTCGTGACCCCCTTGGAAACGTCACCCAGGAGCCACGAATTGTCCAAGGCAGTGAAGTATCGTACACCTTGGTTACGGACAAAGTTTTGCACGGCGACGAATCGCGGAATGCTGCGGAGCACATGCCGTTTGACCAAATAGACACTGTTCCTGAGGTTGACGAGAACTGCGAGTCTCCTGTTAACGACGGCGACAACACGGTAGCTGCGGTTGCGAAGGTCGAAGACGACGATGAAGATGACATGCCGCTAGCTGCTCGCAAAAGGAAGTCTGCCAGCCGAGGCAGGGGACGTAAGCGCCCGCGTTCTTCGTCTGTGTCCGCCGCATCACCCCCTGCATCACCCGCTGCACACCCTCCACCAGCGTTCTCCTGCACCGACTGCAACGAGAGCTTCGCTGACCGGCTAGCGCTAGCTGCGCACGAGCGTCGCCATGGGGACCAGACGTTTACATGTAGCGAGTGTCAGCAAACGTTCACCCAGTCATTGGCGCTTCGGCGCCACAAGCTGCGTCACGGCCAGCCCCATAGGGCGAGGGCAGCAGGCCGACGTCAAACCAAAACGCCCAGCCGGTACCTGGATTCTGTTTGGGCGGAGGTCGGTATTCGGCGTAGGGGCGGCGGCGTTCGAAAGGAAGAGATGGTTACGTGCGGGGTGTGTGACAAGGAAATGGTGCCTGAAGAGGCTGCTAACCACCTCAGGCCGCCGGCCTCCGGAGAGTATTTCCTCTGTGAACAGTGCGGAAAAACGTTCGGCCAGAAGTGTCAGCTGAGTCGCCATGGGTGTCGCCTTCCGGGAACTGGCCGAATGACTGGGAAGGGTAACAAGCAGAAGGGTTCGCGTGTGCCAGCCGATGCTGTGGTGCCGAAGGTTGAAGAGCCTGATGCCGAATCCCAGCATGATGCTGATGACTACTCCGACGGGGACGCGAATGAGGGAGCTGACAGTGTCGCGGCGGCCGATGACGATGGCGACGCCGATGATCCGGCTGCCGCTGACGCTACGTCCGCGACAGATACTGGTGATGGTCAACTGACCTGCGATGTTTGTCAGATAAACTTTGTCAGCCAGCGAAACCTTAACCGCCATCGTGCTCAGCACGAGAGCGGCACGCGATATTCTTGCGAGGTGTGCGAACAGTCTTACGCCCGTCTCGATGATCTGACGCGTCACACACGCTCAGTCCACAACCAAAAGCGTCAGTTTCGCTGTCCAGGATGCATGCGGCGATTCACACAGAAACGTATCGTGGAGTATCACATGCGCACGCATGAATCGTCGCGGAGACGTGGACGTACGGTAAAGAAGGGCAACCGTCTGAAGAAAGAGAACGGTGAACTTGAGGACATCAAGGATTCACCTGGACCAGGACCGGTGAAGTACACGTGTGAAGAGTGTGGCGCGGGATTCGACACCCGTCGGCGCTTCATCCGACATCAGCAGATGCGTCATGATGCCGAGGCTCCGCGTTACGAGTGCGAGGTGTGCTCCGCCACATACACCCGCATAGATGAGCTTACGCGTCACTCGATCCAAATTCACCACCAGAAGAAGACGGTACCTTGTCCCCGGTGTACTCGACTGTTTACTCAGCAGCGTATCGTCGACTATCACGTCCGCGGCCACGACACGAAGCGGGTGTACAACAGGGTACCGCGGCCGTACCGGTGCGAAACGTGCCAGCGCAGCTTCAGTACCGAGGCGCTACTCGTGCGGCACAATTGTCGCGACAAGACGAGCACCCAGCGCTGCGTTTGTGACATCTGTGGTCGAGGCGTCAGTTGCCCGCAAGCTCTGCGCAGACACCGTCTCCAGCACCTTGAAGAGAGGCCGGCAAAGTGTGACACATGCGGGGCTGCTTTCATCGACGATGTAGCGCTGTCGAAGCACGTGCTGACCCACTCTGATGAGAAACCCTTCCTCTGTGACCACTGCGGGAAGGGGTTCCGTTTCAAGGACTATTTGGTTCGACACACTCGGTTTCACACGGGAGAAAGACCGTATCCGTGCAGTGCATGTGATAAGCGCTTTGCTACAAGCGATACACTGCACCGTCACTTCTTGATCCACACGGGCGAAAAGCCGTACGTGTGCGAGTTGTGTGGTCGTCCATTCCGGCAGGCGCAGCAGCTGAAGACCCACATGAAGATACATAACAGATACTCACCGTCCTTCACTACTCAGCAGGGCAGTAGTCAACGCAGTCGCAGCTTCGCCAACGCCAAGCCAGCTGCTTCGGCGCCTACTCAACTACGGCTGACTGAATTGACCAACGCCAGCGGTGCGCCTGAAGTGCCCGCCACCGGCGCTGCGCTTCTGGTGGCGGACGAGGGTGGCCAGCTGCGTCTTGTCGAGGAGGGACACGCCGATGTGACCCTGCAGGAGATACACACCTTTGAGACGCAGGTGTTGTGATTAGAATGCCCAACAGGCCGAACAGTCAGTGACCGCGAGACATGATTCGCTGAGCGCCTGCGCCGTGCCTTTGGATGGAGGATGACTTTTACTGTGGAGTGGTAGCAGTAAGTGGTGAAAAAGACCGACTTCTGTTTTAATTAAAGGGATTGTCAAAACGACAATCCCTCGTTTTGTCTTTGTTTGACTTGCCATTGGTTTTGGCTGATCCAGTCTCCATGAAACTGACTGCGTGTTTTTTGGTAGGCTTAGTTTTGAATGGTGTGTTTAGTTGGGCTAGCGTCTGTATGTATTGTACATACAACCAGTATGTAAGTACAACTCTGTCGATAGTGAATGTACCGAACTGTTCGCTACATGCTGCACTTGTAGTTTGTGTCCAGCGCATCCATTTTGCGCTTCATAATTTATTAATTTAGCGCAAACCGTTGAAATTGCTGTGTTGCCTGTTTCCGGTTTGGCTAGTAGTGACAGCAACTCACTCGTTTGGGATAGGCATGCATACTTTCTTCATGTCGTAGCATCATTCTAGCTTTGCTTCCTGTTCTGTCATCCCTTGATAATAGTTTCATATGTATATGACCAGTTAGTTTTGTTGTACAGGCTCGTGTAAATCCTAAGGGCATGGCATGGATTGTCAACGACCGTTGAATTTGCACCTCGGGTTTGATTGTGTGGGGCGGGCATTAGTCGTGTAAGTGTTCGTGCTGCCAGCTGTCGATTCTCTCGAGTGTTCCGTTAACATGGCAGGTGCTGCAGCAACGCTAGTTACCACATGAAATATAACGGTTTTTGAAACTGTGCTTGTGGAAAGGCAGAAGTGAGAGAATGACCGACTTTTCGACCGTGCGACTGTGCATTTTTATCTTTATCTTTTAGCTGCGTAGATATAAAGATGATGGTTTTGTCTGACGTCAGTTTCGTCTAACTAGCTATCTAACGTTATTGCGTCAGCTGCGTAGGGACGTCACCCTGATATTCGGTATGTCCGTGCATTATTCTCTTAGGTCGGCCCCGACCTGATCTCAGCATTCCCTGCACCGGTTACCCAAAACCTTACCGCTGGGATAAATTGAACCGTGAACACCACCCACTCTCCTCTGTGGGAATTTAGTGCCAGGACGTTTTCCACTGATAGAAAATTCCTGAATGAGATATAAAGCGGTCTGAGACAATAGTTAGGGAATTTCTCTCCTTGCCCGTCTAGTGAGGTGCGGCGATCTTAGGAGGATCTACTCCTGTTGACGTAGCCGATTTTCTGGCAAGTGAGCGACCAATTTCATTGATGGCCAAATCGTGTTTCATTAAATACTTCAAACGTTTCTTCCAGCATGTGTAACGGCGCCTATAGACGACGAGTTCGGGTGATATGGGCGATCCACCACCGCAGAGCCCGCGGTGTGGATATCTCATTCTCTTCTCATAACCAACCGAAGGTTTGTTGTCAATAGTTAACCCGCGCCCTGATGGGGGGGGGCATTTTGGCCCCCCCTGTGGTTTTATTTAAATAGCGAGAAAACGGCGGCGCGCAGCGCCGCCAAATTTTGGGTACCTTACCGGGCATCAATTTAACACCTTCACACAAAATTTCAAATCACAGGTCACCTCAGGTCAGGAGTTATTGAGGTCAAACTGAGGTCATGTTCGAGCAAAAATGAGCAAAAAACATGACATCTTGAAACGCTCACCAATTCTACAGTTAACAAGCAATTTTAAAGTTCTTTATGTGGTTGTGTAGAGAAAAGACGGCGCTACAAAACTGCTATCTCGGATTTTCGAAATTTTGGGATTTTGACCCCCAAAAATAAAAAAAAAATGATTTTTTTAGAAAAACTCAAAAAATTCGAATTTCGAAAAACCGGAATATATGTGATAGTCCCTACGCTCTTCGATATACATACCAAATTTTAGATCGATACCTCTTTTTTTGGCCAAGTTATAGCAAAAAAACTTAAAAATTGATGACGTCAAATTTTTGAACTCAATTTTTAGCAATTCTAGACCTGGTAGCGCAAAACGGAGACCACCATTGAACTCCCCGTGACGAGCTGCATCGAATCGATACCCATTTTATGCAAAAATATCAACTTTGAAATTTGACCTAATTTGACCTGACCTTGACCTGACCTTGACCTGACCTTGACCAAAACGTGACCTAAGCCGGCCCTGAAGTCTGTCTGACCCACATAATCGCATTTGTCATGTAAAATGGACCATAAAACATGTATCACGCGACACTTTCATATTGTGACCCCCCCCCCCCCCCCCCCCAGTGACCTGACCTCTGTTACCTGACCTGGTATCAGTGACCTCAAATAGCAAAATATGTGTTTGAAGAACATTTCTCCACCGATGATTTTCAATGAAATGCATTTTACTCGATTTTACAACGCATTTCTTGAAATGCCTGTAAACGGTGAAAATTCGACCTTTGACCTGACCTGTGACGTCCTCGGTTTGACCGAGGTCAATGAAATTGGGTCACAAGGTAGTTCCCCGTTGGGGATATCCAACACCGTTTACCGCTTGTCGCTATATTGCGTGGTTCTCGAGATCTGAGGGGGGGGGGGGCCAAAATGCCCCCCCCCCCCATCAGACCGCGTTGCTCGGCAGACCCCATCTGGGCGCGGGTTAAAACACTATTCTTTAGAATTGTGTTTTTCTATTGAAAAACAAATCTGAGTTCCCTGACAATTTGGCAATAATCTGACAGTGTCGCAGGAATCAATAATCCCCAACAGATGCAAGCGTCGAACACGGACCTTTCTTGAGGCTCGACGACGAAGTGCTACAACCCCCTACCGGGTGTTTGTCCTTGGCTGCTTAAGGGCACTTCTGTCTATTTAGGAGCTAGGTTGTGGTAACAACGGCACGGATACAGCATCCATCCGAACATTAATCTAGAAACTATGCCATTCTGCCTTTGATTTGCATAGTTTATCGTCTATGTTTGACCTTTTGTCGACGTCGAACTGGGACTCTTTTTGTCTCGCATCTTATTGTGACTAACTCCCTTGTTCGGTTCCTGTTTTCGCCTCTGTTCGTTCAGCAGCCGCCCCCATCAGCGCCTCCTGGATCCGCCCCTGGCCGATGGTCCTTTAACGATCGGCGAGTGGTGCACGGCGGCTGGTGGTCCGGCCTGTCCACTGTCAGTTGGGGATGGTGCCCCCCCCCCCACCTCCCCCGCCGGCGCCCCCCCCCACCTCCCCCGCCGGCGCCACCATGTCTGGACCCTCCCCCGCCCCCAGTCGGACGGCTTTCGTCGGTTTCGACGCGTCGCTGCGATGGTGGTGGGTGGCACGAGCGCTGCAGTCGACCGCACCCTTCATAACAGGGAAACGTACGCGCTGTGGTGGAAGGGAGAGTGCACATGTGACGTCCATCCAGAGTGACACGTGACCCCGTGCATTAGGCCTGCTTCCATAACTTCTTGTGATAGAGACTGTGACTTTACGTTTGACATCTCTCGTGCAAACTCACCGTGCCTACGGTCACCAGCCATGGACTCGACCGAAACACCGCCTACTCAGAAGTATCCATGTTTTCATTTAGACGACCCAGTGACATTCCGGACCTGCCTGTGCGAGCGAGGAATCTCAGCATACTGTGATGAGAGCGCGAACACTACCTCCGAAGACACCTTTTGGACGTGGGGGCAGAATAACTACAGTGACAAACACGCGCAAACGGTGAAAAATGTGGTGGTGCAGAGGCGGGACTATGAAAACAACTCGACCCAGTCGTGGGGACTGTTTATGATCCTGATGGGGATATTTCCGATCGGAGTGTTGTTTGTGTGTTTCTTCGCGTGCAACTATCGGAGGCGATGGATGAGCCGGTCTTCGCTGTCATCCAGGTGAGATTATACCTATGCAGTCCTTTTATCTATTCCCCCCCCCATTTTTAGAGCCAAGCCATCCGCACCCATTTTCACACTACCTTGTCCGAGGCCAGCGATCACCCCTCTGCTCGTCTAAATATACGACTGTGCCGGTCGGTGGAGGGCCAACCTAAATGTCTCGGCTGCTCTGCGGATGACCGTTTAGCGAAAGGAAAAAGGAAAAAAACAGGAAACAGTTCACTTTCCTGAAATTAGTATTTTGCTATTGATTTATGATTTTTTATGCTCAAAATGATCATGAAAGAAAATAAAACATTTTTGTAAAAACAATTATTTTCTATATTTTAATGTAGGACGAACTATATTCTATGTAAAATAATGTTTGAGGCGGAAGCTTATTACGCGTTGACCAATCATATCGCGTGTTTCAAACCTACGCATACTGCATTGGCTGTAAGCAGCATGCTGATTGGCTGACGATGACGTGGCTGCATTCCTGTGCAAGGCACGCATTCCTCTGCAAGGCACTCTTTTCGGAACGAGAAATGGAATATCTTCGTCTAGGGTGATCGTTGAGCCGTAAAAGCTCCTGATTTGTGCTAGTCTCAGCTCAAGCTACGAAACTGCTATTCCAGTTCAAAACCCCATGTTAAAAGTGAACTATTTCCTTTTAGCGACTAGGTGCTACCTGATCCACCGGCATACACTCCCTTCTCCTAGGAATGGCTCATGAACTGAGGAAATGAACGGCTTGTCAGTCAGTGATCGGTACTTTCATTACCTCGCCCCTGTATCTCTCATCCCATCCCATCCCATGACCCTGAAATGTTCTTATTATGTTCTCATTAACCTATCTAAGTCAACAAAACAAGAACAGCTTTTGAACAACAAATAGATGTTCTCGTGCTGATGTAGCTATAAGGAGTTCGCTTCGCTTCCATTACAGTTTTAGTCGGTTTGCCTGTTAATCGAGATGCTGACAGCTAATGACATGGTCGATATCGTCTCAGATGTAAGGTCTCTGTTGTATTTTCACGAGTGACCTAGTATTTCGTCCCTGATCGATGTTTGTGTTCCAGGCCGTGGCCGTCAGGTAGCATCCTGGAGCCGGGTCGGGCCACTCCTGGATCTCTGGCCAGTGCTGAGCTGGAGCCACTGGTTAGCACACCCCCCGCACAGCTGGTGTCTCCTGATCTGGCAGTGGAGAGCTCGAGTCTCGGCCAGGAGCGCTTGGAGCGCAGAGTGGAGCGCCTGCCACTCGGTCAGGAGCGCCCCAGGGCCGGCGGGGGCCCGGCGGCCGCTCGACGTGCTCGTAGTGAGGGCCATCTGGATGTGGTCCGTCCCGTCTCCCGTCCGTCCAGTCCTGTGGGAGTGTCCGGACCGCCTCCGTCCTACAGTCAGACGCTCCTGGAGAGCGAGCCTCCCTCCTATGAGGCAGTGTTTGGAGAAGGGGGAGAGACGGAGGCAGAAGGTGCTGTCTGACCCGGGTGACAATGGTGGACCAGTGGGTGATGTCAGATGAAGCTGCCTTACTAACTAAACCTGCCGTCTGCGCTCGCGTTTCGGAAATAAGGCCGATGCTACCTCACTCAATAGTTCCTAGTAGATAGTTTTGTGATTTTATTTTTGTGATTTTAATTTGTTGCGATCAGACACGTGACAAAAGTGCGTCTATTTGATATTTTTTATTTCAATATAAATTTACTATTTGTATACAAATTACAGCAGTGATGTCATCTGATATTATATATTAGTTATATTGTATTATGATGGATCTTCTCAGTTCCAAGCAATCATTTCTGTTCACAATAATCAATGATTCTATAAAATGTGCTTCTCACGAATCATGTCATCGACAAAATGTGCCTGCCGTAATGAGATTTCATTGAGCGATGAATTAATTTAGGAAATTGGTAGTTGACATTCACATTCCGGCTACATCGATATTGCATTAGTGTTGATTGACAATTTTTAAGCGCCCTAGAGTTGTGTAGTTATACAAAAACACAATGGCTAGATCGTTCACAATTTGCACAAAGCGTATGCATTCCAACGCCCCTACCGCCGTGCATATTTTTGTATTTCTTCATGTATCTTTGTTAGCGGTTATCAGTCGTTTTCGTTAGAACGTGTCCCAAACCCCTTGCCTGGGGAATAGGATAAAGGTATAATAACCCTAAGAACGTCATTATACGGCTGCAGAATAAACATGTGTAGCTAAACATGCATTCAAACACGCCTACTTGCTACAAGCGTGCGTATAAAATGTAATGTTATTATCTAATTATGCTAGCTAATGAATATGTGCTTTTTACAGCCTTGTGCCCTGTCCATTTATGCAAACATATAAATGTTAAATCGTGTAATATTTCCGTGTCACAAGTGTCCTCTCGCTGTGGTGAATGTGATGTGTATTATTCAATGCTCTTTACAATCCAAATGAAACAAAACGAATGCGCGTTCATCTTCAAATGCCTTGGAGTTGATACGAGCATTCAGAATGTCTACTTCATCTGTGGCCTATTGCTAGTTGTAAGTCAACGCCTACATATAGCTGCATCTAGACCTTCGTACGCTTACAAATAATCAAACAGGGAAGTTCGTCGCTTTTGGTGTAGCTTGAGTAGTGATTTTATGCAATGTTGTTTCAAATGACAATGCCGCTGACATGAGAGCAGGCAGCTGTACATGTGAGCTATTTTGTCAATACATTTATTGATTAATGTGTTTCGTCTGACGGAATGTCAGGAATGACGCCGTAAGATGGGTTCGGTTATATCTAAAGGTGAGGTGTAACCCGTAACGAGTGCTGCAAATGTGAACCATCTCAGTGCGGAGATCCATTTTCTTTGCTTTCATATGGCTCGAATTATAAGTGAATGCGTATAATTATTGATCATGATTGCATGAGTAAAAAAATTTCAAGAGTAGGTATAAAACACTGAGCATGGAGTGCTGAATTGACAAAATCATGAGTCAGTTGACGTTCAAATTGGGTATAATATTAGTTTTTATTGCTATTTTCACTACGGACAAAAGTTGCCCAAGCAGGGGAGTTGATGCACCCCCCCCCCCCTAAGGTTTTCGCAAATAACTGCGTAAAAAGCTGCCGATCGCGACGAAACTTTCAGTACCCTCGTATTGATCAATTTTACACCTACCCTGAAAATTGCATGACCCTGACCCAAATGACCTTTGACCTGTAACCTCTTTTCCGAGACCATGTATGGCCGGAATCGCGATTCGGCGTATGTCGGCTCGTTAGCCGCGCATTTGCAAGCTTTTCGTGGTTTCAAACGCTCAAACATGTGATTTGGTGCTGCCCCCATACATTAGGGTGGGTGTCAAGGTCACCTGAAGTTCAGGTCAGGTCACTGACCTTTGGTGACCTCGGTTCACTTTTTCGAGTTTTTCATGTTTCTAGGCTAGTTTTTGGAGCTGAATTCGAATTTAGCAACCATTTGAACATTTACGAAGTAGTTTCGGTGCCTTCGTAGGGGAGAGTGGGGCAATGGCGACACCATAAGCATTTTGCTCAATAGCTTAGCTATTTGAAGCTATTTTATGATGATTTTGACTGTGGTTATAGCCAAAGGAATAGGCTTTCAGATAACACCCAGTTTTAGTACCTCAGATCACTGATGACAGATTCAGAGCCTACGCGAAAATGTGGTGAAAAATGGAGGTGCAAAAAAGCGAGGGGTAATGCCGGTCACTAAGTGCAATAGCACAAAAAGTCGAAATATCGTCACTGGTATTCATCCTTAAACCGTTCTTTCGATGGAAATTTAAGTGAGAATTAAGAAACGACAACTGTATTCAGCAGTTAACAGTGCACTGCACTGCAACACAACATTGCACTCGCTGCAACACAACAGCGCGGCGCCAACAGAGCAGCAAACTAACACAACCGTAAACAGCAAGCAAACTAACACAGCCGTAAACACAGCAACCCGAAACGTTGAGCTTTAACGACAGAAGTCGCAAACAAAACCGCGTGGAGTCATTCCGGACACGTGTCCGGTATTACTCCGAGGTCAGCTTTATTTTAAGAAAGCAGGCAGCAGTCAAAGGCATTGCGTCGCAAACGCCTCACATCCAGCAGTCGCCTAAGAAAGGCTTAATTGAAGGTCATTGCAAAGCAACACTTCTGAAAATGCGTTAACACATTTCACAGTCAGCAAATAGATGCAACAAAAATTAAAAATCAGATAAGAAAAACACATTTAACGCTATAAAAATGAAAATAATGGAGCTACCGTGACAAACTTGCACCACGTGCTAGAATGGCGCTCAACTGAAATGTGAACAACATCAGCTGATTAGTGATGGACAAAGTACTCACTAGAGATGGGTGGCCGGCATTACCCACCGTCCGCCATTGCCCCGCTCTCCCCTAACATGTTACGAAGCCTGTCAGAGGCGGATGACAGGTACTACGAATACCCGTCACGACCCCTACCGGTTGACCTGACCTGACCTGACCCGACCTGGTCTAAATGCTCAAAGACATCATCTCTGATCAAAACTAACACGATATTCGTGATCAGCACCCCGAAAAACCTCTCAGCAGCCACACTTTACGACTTTCTAACAGGTCCCGATTTTCCCGGTTTTCGGGTCATTGACCTGACCTGGAAGGTCACCCGATGACCTAGGACCTTAAAATTGGGTATCATCGGCTCCCTCTCGTGGCGGGTAACACGCTCGTTTTTTCCGTAAAGCTCTAGCTCGATCAGGGGCCAAACGCGAGGGGGGTCGTACCATTCCCCCCCCCCCCCCACCTTGTGCCGTCGAAGGACGCAAAATGGCCTGTGCCGGCGAGTAAAAAGACCTCAGCCGAGGCGCCACCCCTGCAGTCAGACTCGCCCGCTAGTTCCACGACCGCTCACCAGATGTCTACACCACTATGAGATCGATCCTTCCCATTTGTAAACAATGACGTCACTGTGACGTCAGACCTCGCCAAGGTCGGTGCCTGCCAAGAACGGCATTCCGTCGAGCCGGCTCGCTCGAGCGGCTGAGCTGTGTTTGGTTGCAGGGGTGCGTTGTGGAGCGGGCTGCACGTCTCATCTGGAAAGAGGTGTGCTTGCAGAGCGCGGTTATCTGGATCTTCCATCGATAGTCTAAACTCTACGCTGCTCTATTTTGTTGCAGCGTTGCCAGCATTGCTGAAATGGGTTACGGTGATGACTCTCTCCTCCCAAACGGCTACCCAATAGCTGCTATCCAGTGTCTGGGTCTCGGGTCCGGACCTGTAGAAGAGGAACTCGACAAGTACGAGAAATGTATGTGTCGGGTAGGTGTTCAGTCCCACTGCCCGAAGGACGGTGATGTGAGGAAGACCACCACTCGGCGGCCGTGGAGACGAACTACCACCAGGACGACAACGCAGCGACCGTCTCCAGCTAGTGTCACCACGACAGTCAACAAGTGGCGAGGATGGGCACCAGCACCAGTCACCACCACCACCACTAGCACCACTACCACCCCCAGTTACACCACCAGTAGAGGGGTGTGGAAACCGAGCACCACCGTCCGACCCTCAGCTGGTGGCAGCTCTCCGATAGAAATGCTCGGCTGGGGGTGTCTCGGACTGTTGATTGGAGTCACTCTCGCTACTTTGTGCAAGCTGAGGCGAGCCAGGAACAGGAGACGAGCTGAGAGGTCCCCGGTCAGGTAGGTGGTGGGGGGGGGGGGTTGCCGGGCGCTGCATATTGTGACAGTGAACGGATACCTTTCCTTAGGCCTTTGGGTTGGAAATTATTACGAGCACGATTTTTCGTAAGACGTAAACCTATAGGTGGGTGTGATGATAGCTCCGAATTTGGGTTTAAAGGTAGTGTGCCACCTTTGAAAGATTTCCCATTTTATTTTTCCTAGGATAAGAAGCTTCTGTTTTTACCTAATATCGCAAAAAAATCAAAAATGGGCCTGGAATAGTGCCTTTTTCGCCTAAAAGTTTTTCGGTTTTTAGATATGTATAACAACTGTAGTGGGCTCACCTGCAAACAGGCGTCGGGCAACAATCGCGAATGCGGCGCACTTGTGACAATAAGCAAAGGTCATTATAGTGTTACGACCATACGACGTACGGGAATGAGTTATCAGCTGTCTAATCGTAGACAACACAATGTCGAGCCTTAAACTGTAAGCCCGTATTGGTATTGTTTCTTTTATTTGGCTGTCGAACATTATTTATGGTTTGAAATATGATTTTATGTAAAATAATTGATATGAAAAAGCCGTCTTATAAGTTATGACCCCATTTCACCACACGCAAGTGGCAGAAATGACAATGATCAGCTGACGCATTTTTATTGGCCGAAGTCAGAGCGCGCGGCCCGACGCACCACGCGTATTTGGAAATTCCGACCTCGACGAGCATCAGAAGCCACCTAACAGGCGTGTTCGAAACCGCAGGAGATGATGATGAACGGGTTTATCGAAACTTGATTGGATGAGCATATCGGTAATAGCGATTTCAGTGTGTGCATTTATTGTTCATAGTGGTGTGAAATGTGGTTGGGGTACGACCGACAACCCGTCGGGGCGAATTTCGCACTGGGGTAGGGGAGAGTGGGGCAATGGCGGACGGTGGGTAATGCCGGCCACCCATCTCTAGTGAGTACTTTGTCCATCACTAATCAGCTGATGTTGTTTACATTTCAGTTGAGCGCCATTCTAGCACGTGGTGCAAGTTTGTCACGGTAGCTCCATTATTTTCATTTTTATAGCGTTAAATGTGTTTTTCGTATCTGATTTTTAATTTTTGTTGCATCTATTTGCTGACTGTGAAATGTGTTAACGCATTTTCAGAAGTGCTGCTTTGCAATGACCTTCAATTAAGCCTTTCTTAGGCGACTGCTGGATGTGAGGCGCTTGCGGCGCAATGCCTTTGACTGCTGCCTGCTTTCTTAAAATAAAGCTGACCTCGGGGTAATACCGGACACGTGTCCGGAATGACTCCACGCGGTTTTGTTTGCGACTTCTGTCGTTACAGCTCAACGTTTCGGGTTGCTGTGTTTACGGCTGTGTTAGTTTGCTTGCTGTGTTTACGGTTGTGTTAGTTTGCTGCTCTGTTGGCGCCGCGCTGTTGTGTTGCAGCGAGTGCAGTGTTGTGTTGCAGTGCAGTATACTGTTAACTGCTGAATACAGTTGTCGTTTCTTAATTCTTACTTAAATTTCCATCGAAAGAACGGTTTAAGGATGAATACCAGGGACGATATTTCGACTTTTGTGCTTTTGCACTTAGTGGCCGGCATTACCCCTCGCTTTTTTGCACCTCCATTTTTCACCACATTTTCGCGTAGGCTCTGAATCTGTCATCAGTGATCTGAGATACTAAAACTGGGTGCTATCTGAAAGCCTATTCCTTTGGCTATAACCTCAGTTAAAATCACCATAAAATAGCTTCAAATAGCTAAGCTATTGAGCAAAATGCTTATGGTGTCGCCATTGCCCCACTCTCCCCTACTCAAAATTTGAAGAATTTAAGACGTTTCCATGAGTTTTGAAGGTATGGATAAGTTCTAAAAATCCGGTCCTCCTTATCTCATATCTGGGCCATTAACTCCATACGGTCCAAGAAAGCTGGCACACTACCTTTAAAGGTATGCTTTTGCTTTTTGATTTCATGATTGTTTTCACCGTTTTTAGTTTGTTTGCAGATACGCGCAACTTTTATAACGGTATGTGGCATGTGCAACTCTTACAATACACAGAGGCGAGAGGCTAACGCTAAGAGTATGCGTGACTGTTAAATAGTTTTTGTTAATGTTTTTTAGTCGAGACACTTGCCCGTCTCTGATGGTGGAGACAGACAATGTCCCAATTACTGCCTATCGCCTAGTATACGTTTCCGCTGGGGCTGTCTCCCGGAATAATTGAGTTGTCTCACTGACCAATGACGTTTTCCCCTTAGCAGAGGCCTCTTGCACCAAACTACCTAGTTAGGTAAAATCGAAAAACCGGTTTCAGAATAAGCTTATCTAACGGTGGTAAATTTGTTTGCAATAGCCCAATACATAGGGGAGAGCGGGGAGAGTTGTATCATGTCCAAGTTGTATCAGGGCGAATTGTGCCAAACTTATCCAATGGATGGCGCTCGCGACACGACCAGCCGACGAGGTTTTCCGGGCGCCATCTTTCCCTGTTCTGTCTTGTGGCTGAGTGGACGCGTCTCGAGGTGAGAGCCGATTTTATGTTTTTTTAATGTCATTCTAAAAAATAAGTTGCAAGAAAATGTGTGTTCTGGGCATTTAGATGTGCACGAATTTGAAAGATCTCCGTAGCGGTGGTGAGGGTAGGTTCTAAGGCTGCGTGAGTGAAAACGTATTTCTCCAGCTGTCCGCTGTTTTTTTAGCACGAGGATGTTTTTTTTCCAAGATGGCGGCTAGGTACATGTTGTATCAGAGCCGGGTGGGGTATGTTGTAACATGTATGTATGTATGTATGTATGGGTATGTTGCTTTTGATCGCGAAAGCTAGGCCCTGGCTCGCGTTTGTAGGTAGCTAGTCAATGCTCGTTCCATTTCGGCACAATGTGTTGGCTTCTTTGCTCTTAACGGGCCACTTTTGCGTCTAGTCTGTTGATGTTTCGTTCGGATTGCATTGACCTAAGTTTGGTCTAATAAAGTGAGGCCTTTGAGCATACCTATACATTGTATTAACCCCATTTAATGTTGTTGTTATGTTCAAAACCAGTAGCAAGCACACTCCCTGAAACTTGAAATAGTGATACAAATTACCCCACCATGTGATACAACTCACCCAAGCCATGGGGCAAGTTGTATCAAAAACATTGTTCTATTCGGGAGACCGTAGAAGAAAAACTGGTAGAGGTAGCGGAAAAGTTACTTTGCACAAAAAAGCAGAAGAATCAAGGAAGGGGATAGTATGGAAATAATGAGTTTATCACGGATAGTTACGAGGTTATGGGTCTCGGAGTAAAAACTGATACAACCCACCCCACTCTCCCCTAATCCTACATGTGCTCGATAAATTTTGCACGCAAATTGTTACATTTGAGACTTGGACTGGGTATACGATGCAAAATAATCCAAGCATTGGGGCAAGAGGATTTTGGTGCAAGAGGCCTCAGGTGTGTCTCACAGTCACTTCAGTCACAAATGTGTCTCTTTCCTACAGGAGCGCTCCAGCTGGCCCGTTCCCGGAGCCAAGTGACCCCGAGTGGACAGCTGGTGCCAGGACTGTCCCCCCACCGTCGGCCCCATCCATTCCTGACGACTCCCCTCCACCTTATGAGCTGGTGGCCGGAGCCAAACCGCCGCCCTATGAGCCCATGGACGGGACGGACGTCACCAAAACGCCGGCTGATGACTGCTTGAAGGACGGAGGTGGTGGCGAGGCGACAACTTTGCCGTGTCTGAGAATGGTGATAGACCGCAGCTAGGAAAGACTGATGGAAAATGATGCACATCCTGATGTGTCCTGTACTGAATACGCATGATCACTTAAATTTATTTTGAGTTGCACGTCCTTGTAATGTGCCTGCCATTGTGTAGAGGCGCAATAGCCGTTTGAAGTTGTAAGACGTATCATGCGAACGCGTAGCAATGATCGATCGTAGGAAACTTCATAATCTCATGACTCACTTCATAATGTTCTTGGTACTGTTCCACAATGAACAACAGTTTGAACGATGTTTATTGACATGCATAGCATAACGATCAATGCGACATACCAGTAAGTCCCCAAGTAGTTCTACAGGACAAAGAAGATTCTGTTTGATGTGACTGCGAGTCGTGAGAGATGCATAAGCTTGTTCCATGTCACTTGTCAGTGGCATTGCCCATGTGGCTTTAGCGCAGTTAAAAACAAAGATGATGCAAGGTAACGTATTAGTTAGGCAATGACGAGACGGTGTAATACAAAATATCCTTTGTATGGTGTAATATACATGTCAAGAAAAAATATTCATAAAATATCACCTTCACGATCATTTGGCCCATTACTTTCGACATTCTTAGGCCCGTCTGTTTTCTTCAACCACTTCGGTTTTATATATGTAGGTCGATAGGTATTTCACTCACGTCACCAAACACTGTACCCACATCAGGCCTTGGATACGACCTTTTAGGGTCAAGTGTTCACAGGGTAGTGTCGCTGGGTTTTCTCCTGCTGGTGGTACGCGACGGTGCCATGTTGTAGCTATACTTGGTAGAGGTCCGGTTCCGTGGGCCTGCTGAAGAAAGACAAAGACGACGCGGTTAGCTCCAGCCTGGCCTGACCAGGAATTGGTTTATAAATCTGAAGGGTCTGGCCGTGGCAGATCTTTATATCTGACCCAGACTGCCCAATATCCATGTTGACTGCTGCTGCAAATGACGACAGTTATGCACGCCTATGGGTAAATATTTTTAGTTACTCCTGCATATCACGTCACATTATAAGTACGTCAAACTATGCCCTTGCCCATGAAACTGTTGTGTTCATTTTTACCTTTAGTCTCCTTGGGTCGCGTTCCTTTGACCTTGGGGGCTGTGTGAACGACCTTTGTGGCCGTCTTGCTGACACGTTTTCGAGTTTTGGGCGGCTTGGTGTCCTCAGTAACTCCCGGTTTATCGTTCTTGGCAACTTTTGCTGGCGATTCTGAGCTTTTTGCTGCGGGCTGCTTATCGTCCGGTTTGTTTGGCTTCAGTGATTTTCTCACTTGATGCCTGTGAAAAAAAAAACATTGAAAAAGAACAGAAGGAACGTCTTACGATGAATGAAGGCAATATCAGTGCCTACACAACCAAGTGTACCTATGTATGTTCATAAGTGTACGGCTACGGCCTGTACGGCCTGATTTTGGTGCTATCTTTGGTCGGCACGTTTACTAAGAATAGCTCAATAACTGAACAGTCACGCACATTTTCATCACTCCCGGTATATTCTGAACACATACCCCCGCCAGGAGCTCTGTATTTTCACAGCCGCCTCCTCCTCTCTCCTGCTCTCGGCAGAGGTCAGCTGTGCTCTGTCTTTGGCCGCGTCCAGATACAGCGAGCTCTGCTTGGAGGGCGCCGGCGGCAGGGGCGGCCCGGGACCACCTCCGCTGGTCCCATGTTCTGATAACTCCGGCGGCTGGGGTGGGGTGACCGCTAGGGTGATCACGTGATCCAGAAAGGCGCGGACCGTGTCATCCAGCTCCGAGGGGGGCTCGGGAGGACGATGGTGGTGCCGCTCAGTCACCTGGTGGCGAACATGGAGATCAGCGAAGGAGTCTAGTTGAAAACGGAGGGGCCATACAGGAGGTCCCTTACGTTGCACTGTATTTTTTTTCTAATTTCTTACTTATCCGGCCACTTTTCGCTAACAAAATGCGGGTAGAATTTAAGTCTACTCGCATTTTGTTAGTGAAAAGTGAAGTCCACTCGCATCTTGTTAGTGAAAAGTGGCCGGATAACTAGGAAATTAACAGGTAAACATTTTTTACAGTGTGGGGAATGGAGATCCTCAGGTTTCACACACGAACAAACGGTTACCGTCTTGGGAACATAACCCTGTCGCAAGTAAAAAGCCGCAAGCCTCTCGATCAGAACTCAGATGGCACGCGACCGTGGTAAAAGGTAATTACCCGAGCTGGGTAACGGTTTGGGAAAAAGCCCTACTTTTCGTCCTAGACCATAGGCGACGGACGCGACGGTACATGGATTACGACACGGCGATGGCACATCTTACTGAATATGGCTACGTTAGTTCATCTACCACATTTACCTTCATAACCTTGCACTCATCGCAATGGCTTGTTTATTTGATGAGTTTCCAAAATATGTGTATTGCGAACCCACAACTAATGATCAACTGAGGATATTCTCACTAGTGATGTCAATTACAGAAAATCGGAATACCGATACCAAACCAAATACCAACCAAAACCGTGGGGAAATACCGAAACCGAACCAACTTTGAAAGATGAGGGAAATACCAACTTTTTACCAATTTCTTAGCCCCTTATACATTAGTAAGGGTACAAAATACCAACAAAATACCAAACACATTAGGATTGAAATACCAAATACCAAGTTGGTATCGGTTTGGTATCGGTATACCAAAAAGTTGGTATCCGATTGACATCTCTAATTCTCACCTGTTCTTCAATGTCGCGTTGGTCAACTGTGGTGAGTTTGGTGACGTCACGGGCTCCGTTGACGTCACGGGAGAGAGCGTCGTAGTACTGGCGCTCTCGCTCTTCCAGCAGGTCGGGGTTAATTTGTCGAGGACGGTGTATGGTCACCATTTGATTCTTGACCTCGGGAGGCTTGTTGATCCTCAGCTTCTGGCCCCTGAAGGCAGCCTGAGGAGCAGAGCGGGTGTGGGGAGCTGGTAGACATAAACAGAGTTACTCATGGTCCTGGATTTTATCCATGCAAAGTTAAATAAAACGCTCAGCATTTGGCAAAAAATCATTCGAAGGGGGCAAGAAAAAATGTTTTCTCGTGGACACATTGAGGAATGAGGACATTTGGTCATCCACTACCTATGCACGATAGGCGCATGGGAGGTCAATCTGAAATAGTGCATGTGAATTGCACTGCCTAGGCAATCAAAATTCAAAGCATGGCTAGAAATGAAAATGGCGTCTGGCGGACCAGGAAAATACGTCCAACAGGATAAGCGTTGTTTTCCTTTTTTCCTAACGGAAACTCGATAGCATGACAAATTTAGCTCAATCGATCGATTTCATATTTATTCAGAAAATACAACAGAAACGGCACGCCTTCAGCATTTCAAATTCAGCTTGAGATGTGGAACATTTTGTGACATTTCCCACGCCTTTTAATTAACCTCTTTTTGTGCATGGAATATTCATAAATAGATACAAAACCGACTGTCGCCACGTCAGATACAAGATGGAGGTGCTGATAAGTCTGGGCTTATACAAGCCGCCCGACCCTCGGCTGGTGTTTGGATCAGTACAGGACCGACCTCTGCTGCCCACTCTACCCTCGGCAGCTCCTCCTACCCGACTGGGGGCGAGTCTGTCTCGCGACTTCCGCCCCCGCCTGGGTCCCGGCCGGTACAAAATCGAGGACTTCACCGGCTTCGTCTACCAGCTCGACCGCAGGACACGCAGCAAGCGGGGTGTCATGTTCGGGGCAAGCACCGAACCACGCCCTCCGAAGGACCGATCCGAGCGAGTCCCTTCCCCTGGCCGACACCAGACCGACCTGAACACGCCCTGGCCGAGCCTGGCGCAGCGGCGCACCGACCCCGACCGCGCCCAGCCACCGTTTGACCAGACGGCGGATCGATTCTACGACTCACGACACGCTCAGGCGTCACGAACGCCCGGACCCGGCACATATCGTCCCGAGCAGTGTAAAATACGCAAAGAGCTGCGCCGATCATACAGCTTTGGAGGAAGGACAGAGGTCCTGCCGTCTATTCGAGTCAAGTGCGTCGCGGTTCAGGAAGATATGTGTAACGCGTGTGAACGTAAACCGTGTGGGGACTATTATGAGAACACCAAAGAGATATTGTGTCGGGAGTGCTATCAGAGGCTTATGCACAAAGCAACAGCATATACGGCCTACAGTCGCCAGTACATGGAGACATTCGAGAAGGTGCGAGACTGTAGTGATATTCATCAGCACAATGGCACAGATGCTGCGCTCAAGCTCAAGTCAGATCGTGAGATTCGCGATCTTCAAAATAAGGAAGCCTACATGAGTTTGTACTTTTAAACGACCAAACATCGAACTACAACGTTCGAGTTTAAATAAATCGTCTTGCAATTTCCATATCTTTCGTTTTGGTCAAGTTTTACGTTATGTCGCAACGTACCACAAGTTAAAGGCTTCAATTACGCTTCCAATATACCTCATTAATCGCTGTCCTTGTTTTCAACCAATCTATCTCTCCAATTTGGTGAGTGCCTCAGTAAAACCAGCACTGTGCATTCCAGCACGAATAGCTGTACGTATACAGGTAATGACTTCAAAATAATGGCAAGTAAGCTCAAGACGCTAGCAAAATTGTTGGTAATAAGCTTCTGGAACAAACATCCACTTAAGCATCGACCTGGGGTATGGCTCTAGGCAACGTTTAGTACCGAAGACTGAAGAGTAATTACGCCCCATTCCAGGTAATTTCAAAATGGCTTGGGAATGTCGCTGCCAGCGAAGCGCAGATCGAACTGTTTGCCGTCACGAGTATACAGTAATTACGTACCCGGTAAATAGGTACGGTCGTTTGCTGCAAGAGCAGCTCGCCCCAGCCCGGACCCGATACTGTTTGGGCAGTGGAGCGGAATGTGGACAGCGTTAGTGGACAAGGCAGGACTTTGGAACGGGTAACATTGCCCTATGTTCAGTGGTTTAATCTACGGAAGGAATAACACTGTGCTTCGCCACATCGCTAGCACCAAAAAGTTGAACAATCGCGACATATGTTATCCCGATTCAGGAGACGCAGTACAAAACAGACTAGCGAAAAGCAGAAGAGGCAGAAAAGGATGTCCATAAGCTCAGCAGCCTAATTGCAAATAATTTATATCGCAACTCGGCCCTCAGGTCAAAGTAAGAGTGACAAGCGTTTGAACACAACGCTATCCTTGTTCATAACGTAAACTTCGGTGCAGTTGGCCATTTTAGCGACGACGATGAAACGGATTGTTTTGAGCTTTATCCAGCCATAAGCAGCGCCATAAATTTGGTTGCGACTCAGACAAGCTGCGGTACAGTTTTGCAAGTTGTATAATTACACGTCTTGCATGCACATTGCACGTGGCATCCGCCTTTTTTGGTGAGTATGGCCCTCTTCTTCGACATTTGATCCAAACGATTGATTTGGTGTCCATTCAATGTGACTGAAGTGAAAGACCTCGCAGACTCGGTAACCAGCCGCCACAGGCCCGGTCAATTTAATCGAAACCGAAAGTTTAACGTGATGCAAGCAGATGGAGGAGGGTTCCAAGAAAATGATGGAGATAACTTCGTTGATAAATTGCCATTGACAGCTAAGTTATTTAAGTCTGGGCTTTAGTTTCTACATATGTACATACCGCCTAATAATAAAAAACGTATTGTCCAGTTCGCCACATGATTGGCATCACCCTCACTTTACGTCACCACTAAACGGTATGTCATACCCCGCAATGCCCAATGACCCTTGAAATGCTAACCTTTCCCGCATTACTCACCATAGCGCTCACATCACAGCCAACTGTTCCACTATGGGCTCTCACGACACTCTCACCCCTACACCCGCATTATTAGCTACGGTTCACACATCCCCCTACACCATTATCAAGGCCCCCACAGCACTGCCGACCCCACGTGCCGCCGGGTCACTGTCCACCGTCCGACTACAGTCTTTTAGTACACGACAATCAGCCAGATTCCGGCCACGGCGGCCCCCGAATCAATAGCCAGACACAACGGGGTCGGCTGGTACTGAAACACTGTGCAAAGATGCTACTACGGCGCGTTGTTGAATGTTCAGTTTATAATTAATGGGTTCCAGGGACGGGCGTTTATTTTATATTGATCACTATCGATTAGATATCGCGTGGCCCATAACTACTTAACAAGACATATTTTGGTCATCCATTTGCTATGAGCTTTCACGCCGCTTTTTACAGCATTAATTATTAGCTTGAAGTAGCCTTTTCACTGGCACTTGCACTAGCACCTTCTTGTTGTGCAGTGCTACGAACGATAATTTACAATAATTTTCCTAAATTTTTCCTATTGCAACCCATTGAGACGGAAATGTTCCGGTGAACAGACCACCCGGGCACTAAAACGATAACCCTGGAGCGTTGTGTGCCTTTGAAGCTTTCCCTGCGCCTCTATTGCCGTGACCGTCATTCCAGGCGGAGCAGTGTCATGAAGGATTGCAAGGAGGACTGGTCTTGATCATAAAAGGATGGATGATAATTCGTACCTATCTGCACTGGAAAGTCATCATGTCGTCATCACAGGTTTTCATAAAATGTAAAGTCAGACAAATCACAGCTATGACCCAGACATTTCAGCGCCCCGGGGGTCAAGGAAGGAGCGAGGCATCATGTTGATGCTAGACATAACTTACGCCCGTTTCAGTCAGTCCGTCGTACTGCAGCTGCCACGACTCGAACGCCACTTCCCCCGGCCAGTCTCTCACCGTTACAGGCCTGCCACCTGGCGTCCATAAGCTGAAACAGAGGATCCGTCAACTGCCGCTCGAAGCGCCACGAGCAGCACCTTTTAGGACTTTTGTGCCTCCAATTTATTTCCTAAGGAAACAGTTCAAAAAGGACATCGATGCAGCACGTTGTGCGGCTGATTACGTAAATGCATTGCAAATAGCATTGCCACCAGTGAAACATAACTGCCCTTTGACGTTATGCCTAGCAATGTCTTCAAAAGTGAGGACTTCAGCGAAATTTTGACCTCTCGTTACCTACCCAGGCCAGAGCCCATCGTTCTGTCATTTTCTGTCCTAAGGACACTCGAATCCTTCTCCTTCACGCCCGTAGCTCCCTAATCTGGACTGGATGGTCACTTCCATCCGACGTGAATAGCTCCTCGGGAGCTCCTCACGAATAGCTCCTCGGGAGCTACTCAGGAATAGCTTCTCGGGAGCTCCTCTCGAATAGCTCCTCACGCGCGATGGGGTGAGTGGTGACCGTCAGCGGGGCTGGGTGGCCTGTCCACTGTGACAGTCTCAGCCCTGGTGACGCGTCAGGGGGGCCGCCCAGACCAACGTATGTCCATAATTCCTACCATCCTTCCGCCTCTGAAAAGGCGTCACCAGACCGACAGGGCCAAAATCGGTCCTACAAAAAAGTAAAAACGGCGAGCTCGCCCACCCAAGGCAATGTTTTTAATAGTATTGTACTCCTGTCTGTGGCTAAGTGTTTCATTTATATACTTTTTTGTGAATTGGATGCAATAATCAATGTTTTTATCATCATCAAACTCAACAATCATTGTCATCATAAAGAGCTCCAGCAATGATTTTCACAGATCCAGTAAGGTATCGGATCCCGTATTTACCCAAATTAAAAAAAAAAACATTAACCCTTGCCCGCACATGCCATTTCCCATCCTAGAACGCACATGGGGGGGGGGGGCACCTCCCCCCGCGCCATTTCGTTTCTGTTGGAGATAGAGCTTAGCGGTAAGACCAAAAAGATTCTTTGGGAAGAGACGAATCCAATGATATCCAGTTTTACCTTCTCAGGTCAGTCATTGACCTTCCTGGTCAGGTCAAACTAGAAAATGTTGCTGTTTTGGGTCACCGTTGGAAATCAAGTGCGCTGCTTATCATATGCCGATGACGATGCTGTTTTCTGGTGCCAAGCCAGCTAGAACCTCTTTGTCACACTACCCGACCAGATTTTTGCTGCTGAGGTCATTTCAGGTCAAGTTAGGTCAAGGTCAATTATATGTGTTTGTATGTCTGTGTGTGTCTGTGTGTATACTGATGTGTGCACCGATTGTTTTTGTGTCCATATTACATGAAATCATGATCTGAGAAGCTTTTACCAAAAATGCAGTAAAAAAAACTTCACAAAAAGTAAATTCAGCTTGCCTAAAACGCAATTATCTTAGATGACCTAGGTTGCCCTTGACCCTGACCTTGACACCTGTACATCGTCGAACAACATGTTCGATGATAGGTGGGAGGTAAGACTGGCAAAAAAGGCCGAAATCAAGTTGTCAAAAGCTCACAAGGCCCATGGCAAACGCAAGATGTTGAGAATTGGCCATTTGGGCCATGACATGACCTGAAAAACAAGGTCATATCTCCGAAACCAAAGATCACAGAAACTTGAAATTTGAAGTGGACATCAAGAAAGGATAGGAGCAGCTATACGAAAAATCAGCCTTCTAGCTCTAAAAATGTTGAGTGCAGAGCAGAAATACTACCTGGGGGGGGGGGGGCAACCACCCCCCCCCCCATGTGCGGGCGAGGGTTAATGAACTTGAAATTACTTGAGATAGGTTTCATATTGCAAGAGTAAAAAGTATTAAGCAACAGCCACCAGGCCAAAAAAAAAAAATAGAAACCTAATAACTGAATTGCCTGCAATTTTCCTTGTCCTTGAACTATACGTCTTTCTGCATATCCAATGCGGCACATTTGCACATACTTATTGTAGGTAGGTACTATAATATGCAAGGACAAACAAACAGCCCATACCTGGCAGCGCTAGGTTATGTGCCTTCAGTGATCTTCAAAGAAAACAATCGACTGCCCGCCGCCAGCCCACTTCGATATATCGATTTCTTAGAACGAACAACAAACAAACGTTAACTAATCATAGGTATCGTCGTTTCTTCAAAGTGCCGTTCATCTTTTCGCTGGAAGGTCATTTGACGCTCAATGGTTTGCACACATCGATAGGCAAACGGCGCTGCTAGGCAACCGAACAACCGTGTAGCATGGGAATTGCATCGCACAGTATCATCACAATTGTTTTGGTGTAAAAATTAAATAAGCATGGGGAAGTGTAACTAATGCGAAAATTAATCCAGCAATCAATCAATATCAAGACTCTTTCAATATTCGTCCAGGAAATTGTCAGCATGTTGTAAAAATGTCTAAGTAGTTGATCACCGTTCGAGGGCTGTTCGAAACGTAGATATGTTATAGAGCTGCAATCCTTTTTATGACCGCGGTCATATGTGTCATATATGTCATACGACCGCGGTCTTTTATGGCACGCGTGCCATCTTCACTCAAGTTAAAGGTAGTGTGCCACCTTTGAAAGATTTCCCATTTTATTTTTCCTAGGATAAGAAGCTTCTGTTTTTACCTAATATCGCAAAAAAAAATCAAAAATGGGCCTGGAATAGTGCCTTTTTCGCCTAAACGTTTTTCGGTTTTTAGATATGTATAACAACTGTAGTGGGCTCACCTGCAAACAGGCGTCGGGCAACAATCGCGAATGCGGCGCACTTGTGACAATAAGCAAAGGTCATTATGGACGCCGGTGAAAACAGGGCGCCGGAGGGCATATTAGTCACGTGACATTTGGAACTTCTCCCGCTCCAAGGACCTTCTATATCCCAAACGTCACGTGTAAATTTCACGAACCTTGATCAAATCGCCCCAGGCGCCCTGTTTTCACCGTCGTCCGTCATTATAGTGTTACGACCATACGACGTACAGTGGATCTAGTAAGGATCTCCAGACGAAACTAGATGGCGTTGAGCCTCAGTCGAGTCCATGTGAGATTCAAGGAGAGGTCACTACCGAGCTGAGCCCGGTGAGGAGGTGGGGAGGGGCGAGGGGGCGGGGCGGGTGGCGAGGTCACGGTGCGGTTGACCTGTCAAACAGCCCCGGCGCGGTGGGGCACTGCCGCAGGCAAATGGCGCACTCCAGTCTCCAGCGTTGTTCCATATCGCGGTGGTGGGCCGGGCGGCCGGTTAGCTTGACAGTTGGCTGCTTGGAAGGAAAGGATAATGAGGCATGGGTTTGCTGTGGCCGGTTTATCTACTGTCAACTATGATGAACCCAAAGTAATGCAAATGTGATGTTGGTAATGCAGCTGGCAATGCAATGCTAGCGAATGCTCCGGGCGCCCAGTAGCTATAAGGATTAATATTATTTATGTCTCCTGAAATTTTCATTGAATATAATTCAAGCAATAGAAAGATCGTATCGTTCGCCAGTTTTTTGACCGGCTGGCGTTTCTTGCGTAGCTTTGGCAAATAATTATCACGCAGGTGATTTTTTTACTGATAAGATGGGCCTTTAAGGTCAAATCAAGTCGCTAAGAGAAGATGAGGAAAAGTAGACGAATGCCACATTTTTGTGCATGAAGTCTGGAGTTATAAAAACCTAAAAGCGTGTAAGCAAAAAATAATAAGATCCGTTAATACCTAAAGATATTTGACCCGAAATTAGCCTCTGTTTTGTCTGACCCTGGCCTGACCCATGATTGCGTGAAAGACACCGGTCCAACAGGGTTCAACCCGGCCCAACCTGGTTCGGCTCCCCCTTATATTGAATTTGGCACGAACCTTTTGAATGAAAGGAATCACAAGGACAGAGTCCCCGCTAAGCTGAGCTTGTTGCGTTGACCCTGCTCTCTACCCTCCGATCAAACAATTCCTGGTCTATAGCAGAATTAGAGTCCAAATTTTAACGTGCGCACATAGCCGCGCACGGCCGGTCCCCTCACTGACTTCGCCTGGCAGCGGCCTGCCACCAACCACAACCATACCCGTCAGGAGGCTCAAAAACGTCAAATACACGTCGCGTTTCGAACCCGGACTTTTGCAACCGGGACGTGCGCTCTCACCACATGGCACATGGAGTCCAACGCTCTACCGACCGAGCTACCGGGACGGACATTTACCTTGTGGTTTCGCCTCGTGACATTGACAGACGTCAGACACTTTGGCCGAACTCTAGCCGAAACACTGAGCAAGCTGCGCAGGGCGATAGGTGCTCGTAGCGTTGAGGTTGGGTAACCTGTGAGCTGAATGCGATGTCGTGAGTTCGAGCCCCATTCCCGGGTCTGGTTTTATCTCGACACGAACCAAACCTTTCCTTCTACTGTAACACAGATGAGCACGATGACATCTTTCACCAACATCTTTCCCCAATATCCTCTAAAAAAAGTCAAAATTATCGCTTATAAATGTTTAGCTAAGTTTCATTTTTAAAGAAAATATTTTTTGGCCATTTTTCTGGAGCCATTTCAACTCTTTCTTTTCGGATTTTTTTGTCGACCCGATAAAACCCACCAAAACTGAACGTGCCAAATGAAAAATAACCAACTCAAATAACAGTTTAGAAAAGCCTAAGACACCATGCAACTATCGACTGAATAGTTGCATGCTATGAATACGTCCTAGATTTCAATTATCATTGTTCAACATTTTGGCTGGAACTGACGCTGCCTCTGGCTTGCCGTTTGTTTGAGATAATGATTCCCTTCAGTCGCATTCTTGCCGGTTCCACATGAACAGGATACCACCATACCGGAGTGAACGCACCCGCAACCATCATCCCCTCCCCTCAGCCTCGGCGCAGTGGCGGGCGGCCCTGGGCGGCCCACTCCCGGCGCTACGCACGCCCCATGCGCCGTGATACCGCGTCACTCCCCCTCCCTCCTTCCCCCACAATGACCGGTGACCTCACTTCCCTCGGGATTTGGACTCGCCCTACCCCGTTCGTAGCGCCACGTGGTGGCTCTGGAGATCTTAAATAGACCCACTGTACGGGAATGAGTTATCAGCTGTCTAATCGTAGACAACACAATGTCGAGCCTTAAACTGTAAGCCCGTATTGGTATTGTTTCTTTTATTTGGCTGTCGAACATTATTTATGGTTTGAAATATGATTTTATGTAAAATAATTGATATGAAAAAGCCGTCTTATAAGTTATGACCCCATTTCACCACACGCAAGTGGCAGAAATGACAATGATCAGCTGACGCATTTTTCTTGGCCGAAGTCAGAGCGCGCGGCCCGACGCACCACGCGTATTTGGAAATTCCGACCTCGACGAGCATCAGAAGCCACCTAACAGGCGTGTTCGAAACCGCAGGAGATGATGATGAACGGGTTTATCGAAACTTGATTGGATGAGCATATCGGTAATAGCGATTTCAGTGTGTGCATTTATTGTTCATAGTGGTGTGAAATGTGGTTGGGGTACGACCGACAACCCGTCGGGGCGAATTTCGCACTGGGGTACTCAAAATTTGAAGAATTTAAGACGTTTCCATGAGTTTTGAAGGTATGGATAAGTTCTAAAAATCCGGTTCTCCTTATCTGGGCCATTAACTCCATACGGTCCAAGAAAGCTGGCACACTACCTTTAATGACTTATGAGCTGTCTATAGTTACTCATAAAATATTTTAATTTAAGAATGTCTTTCGCGTAACCTATGGCTAAAGCCCTTTTGCGTCCTCCTATTGAACGAAACATACATCCGTTATGCATATGAATCTTTCAAAAACTGTAGAACAAGCCTTACAGCCTGTCACTACGTTACCTTTGAACCGAATTAGAAGGCGGCGTCAAACACTATCTCTCCCGTTTGTCTCCGGCACGGCCTAGGAGCGGCCACATCTAGGAGCCTTTAGGTACTCCTAGATGTGCATCTGCCCTTCCCCCCCCCCTCCAAGCCCCCTCACCTTTCCTCCCAGCGCCGCAGCTCCTCCTCCCGCTCTCTATCCTTCTCCTCCCACCAGTCGATCCAGTCCTCTTCACTGTTACAGCAGACGTATCGCAGCAGGTGCTCCAACAAACTGCGCTTGGGTCGCGGGTGACGCGGCCAGCCCATGGACGGGCGGACGACGAGGATTGGTGACGTCACCGGATACCGATCGGTCTGGGGGGTGTGTAGAAAGATAGGGGATGGGGGGGTGAGTGAGTGGATGATCCAACACGCAGAATGACGTGCCAAAACGCGTTGCAAGCGAAACGCTAAAAAAGAATGAGAAAAAAACGCAATGTTACTCATATTCAGCTACCATATGGCTATGGTCTAATCCTAATGTCGATCAATACAACGGACACAGAGCATTTAAGTGGCAACAGAATATCGACATTACCATGTTCGCTATTCATAGTTAAATTATGTTCCGTAGAAGGCTAACTTATAGATCTCTCGGAGCGTTTAGCACCTAATAATTCGTCATCTATCACATAAAAGCATTTGATTCTCTTTAACATTGATTTTGTGACATTTCCAACCAACAAGGGGCTACTAGAACACCGTGGTTATGGCCACCCATTTACACTTTAATGTTCGACGCAGTTCTCTTGCTCCACGCTCTCAAAGGTCAGGTCAGGTGATGTCCTTTAGACGTTTACAGCCTCATCATACAAGCAGTCCATCAATGTGCAATATGTACCGCGTTTTATGCTCCACCATCATGCACCATCGGTCTCTGGGCCACCATTGATCCGATCCGGCCTTGTCAACAAAGGGTAGACAGCGAGCCAATAGCGTTTTGACTGGTCCAGTCTTCGTTTACCTGCAGTGGGAAAACACAGATGGAAGTGCTATTCGAATTGATAAGCTGCATGCAACTTGTGTCAATACGTTCGATCTTTTCCAGGTCGATGGGCTGATATATTCATGCATGACTATTGACTATGAAATTTGTATGCATGAAAGAAGACGATACAGCATAGCGATCCTCCCTGGTAAAAACAGACACTACAGCGAACGATTTATCTTTTTGTCACTATTTTCCCTGTCTATTTCACGTTCGATTAACTTTTTACATAAACCTACATAAACATTACCTAAACATACAGTTTAGTAACACAATAAAACATCCTCATCCGAAAGTTAAAATCAAGATTATGCAGCAGAAGGCAACCGAAGGCTTGTTGTCATAGTTAAAACACTATTCATTAGAATTGTGTTTTTCTATTGAAAAACAAATCTGAGTTCCCTGACAATTTGGCAAAAGCTGCCTGAGATCAATACATCTTGATACCACAGAAAACAGCAGCCCCAAAAATTCTGTTTTTTCGGGATTTCTAGTGGGCCAGGTGATCTACGTTCTGGTATGGGTCTCTCCTCCGGGGACAATCTGGTGCACGTGCCACGTGACCTTTAAATTTCCCATGTTAAGTCCATGAAGAAACTGGGAAAAAAATGCATTCCACGGCAGATTGCTCGAAAACGTATTCAAACGTAAGTGTTCAATAAAACGGATGAAATACCATACAATGGACTACGTGATTTTGAGGAGATATTTCAGAAATGTGTGCTCTGCATCAACTACTTCGCATTACATATTCCTCAATAAGTTCCCAAGGGGTCGTGGCGGACTCGATTGTTTTAAGTGCCAACTCGCGTTTAAACACATACATTAGTGATAATGCCGCTGAAAAATTCAAGAGGCAGGCATTCTCCGAATGACAGTCATGCATCATCAATGACCGGTGGCAAGTGACAGTGCTGACTGCTGTAGAGCTGTCAATCGGATATGAACTTTTTGTTATACCGAAGCCAAACCGATACCAACTTGGCAGTTGGTATTTCGAGGCGAACACATTTGGTATTTTGTTGGTATTGTGAATCCTCTCTAATGTAAAAGAGGCTATTAATTTGGTAAAAAGTTGGTAAAAGTTGGTATTTAACCCTGATATTCCCAAGTCGGCTCGGTTTGGGTATTTTCTCATTGTTCCTGTTGAGTGTTGGTATTTGGTTTGGTATCGGTATCATGATTTTCCGTTGAGTGACATCACTACAGTGTTGTATGACATAGTGACAGGGCCCGTAACTCCAGACACCTAGCAAAGCCTGCAACAGAATACACACTCAGTCAAAACATCGATACATGAGGCTGAGCGAACAGGACAAGCAGCGGACAAACAGGACAAGCAGTGGGACAAACAGGACAAGCAGTGGGACAAACAGGACCAGCGGTAAGACAGTCAACAAGACAAGCGATGGATGCAAAGACATACATTTTGGTAAACGACAGGTAAGCATCAGGCCAAATATCAGGATAAACGGTGGGGCATAGCCAGCAAGGCAAGTTTCACGTTTCCATGCCATAACTCCGGTATTTGTTGTTTAATAATTTGTGAACCTTGCCTGATAGTTGACGCCTGTCATACCTACACAGAAATAGTTATTTTACGGTTATCTCATTCGTAATAAAGACAGAATGCACAATGCTTTATTCAAAGGCGTTTGCTTTACTTTCAAACCGAGATTTTGAAAAAGAGTAAAAACAACAAACAAGACAAAACAATGAAAAATATATTTAAAAAAGGGAACCGGCACCGCCCGCCGCCAAAATGTCAACGCAAACGCCGCGAAAAAGGCAAAAAGAAACAATGAAAAACGCCCCGTCCGAAGCACACCCGTAGCAAACTGCCAACAACGCCGCCGCAAACGACGCGGAAAAGAACAAGAAAGAACGAAATAAAGTTAAAAAACGAACAGCAAATAGAGTAACAGAAAAAAACGTGCGCACTGCACGCCCCAGCCCACCTCGGAAGAAAAACCCCACCGCAAAACGGCGCGGAAAACAAAATAAAATAAGATAAACAAAGAAAACGAAGAACAGCCGCATCGGTCTAATCGGCTTACACTCGGATTTTCACATTCCGATATTGTCACCGAGAGGAAAATACGCTCTCACCTTCCCATTCCGAGACGTTCATCTGCGCCAGACACCATTTTTGCGAATTTTTACGTGCGTAGTTTTTACCGCAACCGACCGCGACACCCCCACAGCTACCGACCCCGACCGTGGCCCCGGAGGGACTCGGCGTGCAAACAGAACGACGGCTACTTCCTTGGCTGACAGGATCCGTGTTATCCGTTACCATGACGACGATTGAACAGCGTCGAATACTCACCGAGCATTGGCTTCACTCGTCATATGCTGGCATGAAAAGCGTTCACGACATTGAATGTCAGGTGACACGAACGGCGCCTGCAACGCAGGTATTTGGGAGGCATGTCTGCCTAAATGAAAAAAAGGATTAGTTATCGATTAGAATATTAATGCTGGAGGTAGAAGAAATGCACAATTTTCATGTATGTTTTTCAAAGCATAGCCATTAACCCTGAAATGACTTTGACGTCATGATAATGTATTGAATCGTAGGAACGGGAAGTGATAGAAACTTCCTATAGCAAACGTCGATTACTTATAGAAAGCTGCCCACTACCCACCTACAAAAAAGCAGCCTTTAGCTAGAACATCGCGTTGTGCAGGTTGCAGTGACGGCAATCTATCATGAAACCCAACCATTCCTCACATCACGTAATATTGACTTGTATTTGCATTCTATACTTTCCTATCTTCGGAAGTGACCATAATTTCCCTATCAAATAAAACATCGACCTGTGAACCGAAACGTCCTTACAATTTAGTTTTCAGTTGTGGCGGATACTTTGACATTTTTGCAATTAAAATGCACACTTCTAACAGATTTTATTCGTTTTTCATAGCAACCATCGAATTAACCAGCAACCTTGGAGTTTGGGCTGTCCCTCCCCTCTTTCAACATCCTTGCATGCATTTGAACGGAAATCATTCAGCTCGCGACCAGTGTAAGCGCTTATTAGCGATCGAATGCTCCATTCGTACATTGTAGCGCCTCGTGTATTGTGAATGTGACAGTTCTTAATGAATGAGGAAATTACCTTCCCCGTTCCCGGCGATCCATAGCAAACTTTCCGCCACCGTTCACTACTAACTTGAAGAAAGGGAAACTGAGAGACGTCATGAATGGTGGATCACTGCTGCTCTATGCATTACGCCGGTCACTGAAGGGCTGCTGAGTGTTGAGGTCTCAGAAAATGAAATCGCATCTTATCTTTAAAATATTGCACAGTTCTTGGTTTTAGCTTACGAGAGATACACTGAAGTAACCGGGTATTCACCTTCTTTGGCGACGCAATAATTGCTGCAATGGTTGCGATGCAACGAATGCATCTGATCCAGCTTGGTGCTTCCTTCAAAATCTGTGTCAGGGAAAACCACATCTCTGATCTCCTGTATCGCGTTGCGAGCCGATGCATATTCACTCGCGGCGGGCGGAATCCCCGGCGGAGCTCGCAGCAGACACCACAAAGAGGCCGCATCAGTTGTTTTCAGGCTCCGAGGACTGCCGTGACGTCACTGGCCGTGTGTGTGACGTCACGGCCTGTCGGACAGGTTCGTCCGGGAGGGGGGAGGGGGAGGGAATAATCTTCGGGACGGGTGCGGGCCGCACTCACCTGCTGGCTGCCATGGAGGGTGCGCTGTGTGGTTCGGTGGTCCTCTGGACGGTCATTGCAGTGACCTCGGCGCAAAACAGTGAGTAGGTAATATGGGAGGTTAAAGGTAGTGTGCCAGCTTTCTTGGACCGTATGGAGTTGATGGCCCAGATAAGGAGAACCGGATTTTTAGAACTTATCCATACCTTCAAAACTCATGGAAACGTCTTAAATTCTTCAAATTTTGAGTACCCCAGTGCGAAATTCGCCCCGACGGGTTGTCGGTCGTACCCCAACCACATTTCACACCACTATGAACAATAAATGCACACACTGAAATCGCTATTACCGATATGCTCATCCAATCAAGTTTCGATAAACCCGTTCATCATCATCTCCTGCGGTTTCGAACACGCCTGTTAGGTGGCTTCTGATGCTCGTCGAGGTCGGAATTTCCAAATACGCGTGGTGCGTCGGGCCGCGCACTCTGACTTCGGCCAAGAAAAATGCGTCAGCTGATCATTGTCATTTCTGCCACTTGCGTGTGGTGAAATGGGGTCATAACTTATAAGACGGCTTTTTCATATCAATTATTTTACATAAAATCATATTTCAAACCATAAATAATGTTCGACAGCCAAATAAAAGAAACAATACCAATACGGGCTTACAGTTTAAGGCTCGACATTGTGTTGTCTACGATTAGACAGCTGATAACTCATTCCCGTACGTCGTATGGTCGTAACACTATAATGACCTTTGCTTATTGTCACAAGTGCGCCGCATTCGCGATTGTTGCCCGACGCCTGTTTGCAGGTGAGCCCACTACAGTTGTTATGCATATCTAAAAACCGAAAAACTTTTAGGCGAAAAAGGCACTATTCCAGGCCCATTTTTGATTTTTTTTGCGATATTAGGTAAAAACAGAAGCTTCTTATCCTAGGAAAAATAAAATGGGAAATCTTTCAAAGGTGGCACACTACCTTTAAAGCTGGGTAGGACTCATAGGAGTCGGGTGGCCGTGCTGTTTAGGATCGGCGTTAGCATAGCTGGACGGAGGTATGTATGTAAATTGTGATCATCTTCCACGTTGTGCGCTGCGCTGTTACTTATCCTGTGATTCATACCGATTACACAGCGCACATGAACGATGCATATAGTGTATGTATAATATCTGTCTGTGCATCTACGATTGACGATATTAGCCGCTGGCTTAGCCGTGGCCAAGGCCCTAAATACAAGGTTGCACGGACTTATTTCTACTAAACCTACCAGAATATAGTTTCACGGTTGATTATTTAAATAATTATTCAATCAAAATTTCTTTATTATTATCTCGTAATCATTTATAAGCAATTTTATAAATCAACTTTCAATTTGCTTGCCTTTTACTAGCAAAATAACTTTTCTAGTATTGGGTCACCATAGTGGTGTAGCAGTAGGAACCACATCTGGCAAAACCCCAATGCCTACATACAGCAGAAAAGCAGCCACCAGGTGTCGCCACAGTCGCCACTTGGTCGCCACACAGATGTCGCGCGCGTCGCCAATCGCCACACTACCGATTTCCATACGGACGCATATGTACGGATATGTATAGGAAAGTCGCCCTTAAGGATTACGCTTACATCCTTTGCTTATGTGGTCGGTGGTTGGAAATTAGGAGGGGCTCAGCTATTTTCGACCACGGATATGCCTTTATCACATGATGAGGAACATGCTGATAAGCGTTTTATGCGTCATAACAGCACAAAAGTATTTTTAATCATTTTTCAAAAATTACCGTTCTGCCGTATCTTTCAGTGCAAGGTGCCGTCGGTCATCCCCGACGTGACGTCACGCAGGGAATTTGCCAGATTTTCCTACTAGACTTCGACACCCCCTGGCCGTGGCCTTTTTCGGCTATGTTAATCCGGAAGTGCCACGACTGAAATGCGTCGCAGGTAGCATTGAATCGCGTCTTATTTGGGCATTTTCATGATGCGACTTCTTAGAGACGTGTGGCTCTGTTATGCGCAGTCTGGGATTTTCGGAATAGGTATATAACTGACCGCCAGGATTCGACGAACTTTGATTGTTTGTAGCCTATATAGCAAAAATAGTTTTTCTTTATTTTTGATGCATCTTTTTGTGATTATCTGTAATTAACAAACGGAGTGATTGTCACGCAGTTTTAAAGCCACTGAGTCCTCGAGTTGCGATTGATTTGATATAGTAATAATCGACCTTCGATATGCATGAAGTATCAAATCCCGTCCATAGAACATCAGACTGACTTTGAAGGAATTTTAACGATAAGGAACGTTAAACCATCACAATTTGGTAAAAAACGTTTTGGCAGTTCGTGTAATCAGAACTGATAGCTGAGCAGGATGGAATATATTGCACCTGTGAAAGTCCGTCGGTGCCGTCTGCAGTTTTTGTAGTTGGTAACATTTCTACGGATGGATTTTTTCAGTATTCTTCAACACCGGTAGCAGCAGCACAATCAGCTCATGCGATCTTCACGGAAGATCAGGAACATGCAAACAGGTCTTCGAGTGTCCTGAGCACATACCGCACGTGCGCGCGAGGAATTTGACCGCACTGAAAGCCGCTGTGTCCAATTGCGGCAAAAAGCTGGTCCCAGGAAATGCGCGGCCGGTGCCACTTTTGGTAAGTGATTAAGTGTCTTTATCTGTTTTTGGTGTTCGACAGGCACTACGTAACCATAGATGTTTGGGAATCCTGTTTATAAACAGTAAATAAAAGGAAACCGATAACCATTTGTGAAATAATCAGTTAAATTTGTTTTTAACACTTGCCGGACCTATCGGCTTTCTACATACGCGCCGGCCGGGGGCAGGGGGTGGAAGGGGCGGGTACGGCCCCCTCCTCGCCGTTTCGCCCTTGATGGAGCTAGAGCGTCGCGGAAAAAACGAGCGTATGCGCCGATGCGAGACGCAGCGATTGGTACCTGATTTTAGGGCCTCAACTCAACCAGTGACCTTTAAGCCAGAAGCACGAAGAAGCTGTAAGAATACAAAAACGAGAAAAAAACGGGCAAACACAGTTATGAACATAAGAAAAAATATATTTAGCCTGATTTTAATCAGATGACACTTTGAAATTTATGCCTAAAAGCATATGGTACACACAAAATGAAAGAGCAAATATGGGAAAATAAATCGAATCGATAAATGAATGATGTGCAAAATTAAAAGACCTAAACCAACGATACCTGGTCAAGCGTTACAAGATGCAAGATGACCAAATATCTATCCGATATCTTCGGAATTTGCTTTTAAAATAATCAATTGAGTGGTTAAAAACGCCACATACAATACTGGAATGAGGTATCTAAGCGGAGCAAGGGAGTAAGTAGTCATACCTATCGCTAAAAATAATGCGATTTTGACTACAATGCTAAACCCACCTTCTTATGATTTGTTATCAATGCGCACCCGTCTTACACAAGTCACCTACTTCGACCAACTTCGTGACCTGGGGGTGCTGACCTAACCTGAGGTCAACACCCTAAGTTGACCTGACCCGAACAAAAAGTATATCATTCGACGCGCCTGATCGAGGCGAGCACTATGCTGCCAACATCGCGGCTCTGCGGCCGTTTTTTGCGAAGTTATTTGCCAAAAACTGAACCGTACCTTGGGGCACTTGACCTGACCTCAGAGGTCACCGGTTGACCTATGACCTTAAAATCGGGTACCAATATCTGCGTCTCGTAACGGCGCACACGCTCGTTTTTTCCGCGACGCGCTAGCTTCACCAGGAGCGAAACGGCGAGGGGGGGGGGTCGTACCCGCCCCCCCTCGGCCGGCGCGTATGTACATAGAAAACCAATAGGTCCGGCGAGGGTTAAAGGGACCCTCCCACCTTAACATTAGTTTTGAGTTGAGATAGCCAAGTTTGCGGCCAGGCTCAGAAACCACCATTTATCCTGGTCGCAACCCCCGCAGCTTTATGGTGTTCAAGAAATTTCTTTCCTTTCCTTGCAGGGTGGGACCAGCGTGGTCCCTATCTCTTAACCATTACGGGAATCTGATGACGTCATCAGGCTTTCGAACGTCCGTTAAATGTTTGACTAAAACGTTTTGTAGCACGCGGTGGTATATGCTGCTTTGCGCGCAACAAATGCCGCACTTTCAAATAAAGTCGCTAGGAACAGCGGAGATCCCAAAAAGTAAACAAAAGTAAAAGTCTAATATCTTGAAAACCGGTGAATATTTTTCGATGAAATTTGGTAGATATTCGTTTTTCCTCTTTCTGAACCGAGCGACATCACTTTCATGCCAATTCATTAACTTTTTTGAAGGTGGGAGGGTCCCTTTAAGGTCAGGTCAAGTGGCCCAAGGTACGGGCTCGGTTTTTGGCAAATTACTTTGCAATAAATGGCCGCCAAGCCGCTATCATGGCATCACCGTGTTCGCCTTGCTCAGGCGAGTCGAATGGTATACTTTTTGTTTGAGTGAGGTCAACTTAAGGTGGTTGACCTCGGGTCACGGTCAGGTCAGAGGCCCCCAGGTCACGAACTTGGTCAAAGGAGGTCATGCTGCATATCATTCGATTCGGCAAGTCTTCCTGAGTTCATTGGTGGCTTTCGCGATTAGCTAGCTAAATTTGATCAGGAGTTGTTGACGAAAACTCTAATGACCCTAGTGACGTAATAAATGACGTCACGTCAATGCAAAGTCAACAATGCAAAAGTGAAGCATCGAAACTTGCAAGGAGTGCATGAAATCACGATTCCGTGTGGTTGAGATAGTTTGTGATCGTTCCTGGCGCCAAAATAGCTGTTTTTATTTTCCCCCATTGACTCATAACGGTGAGGTTACGTGACCGACCTGACCTCATGTGACCTTAAGGAAAAATCCGAGATATACAAGTTCTGAGACCTCTGATGAATACTAGTTCATGTAAGTTTCATCTCCCTGTGAAAGTTCCTTTGGCACTGAGGGCGTTGCTGCGACATCTGAAGACCGTGTAGAGGTTCACTTATGGCGTTATACGTCAGTGACCTGACCTGACCTAAAAATGTGGTTGGTGTCAAAAGATCTGGCTTGAATCAAAGGTCAGTATGCCAAGTTTTATCTTTCTATCGCCAGCTTGTTCTTAGATATTGCGAAAAACCCTATGGGAGCGGCGCCTGCCCCCTCCCCTCAGCCGGTGAGCTAGGGTTAACCCTCGCCCATAGGTGTTTTGCCAGACTCGAGCGTATAAGCGGGGACCGTTGGACTCCGCTTGCCGTTTGGCCCGTGATCCAGCTAGAGCTTCGCGGGAAAACGAGTGTGTTACCCGTGACGAGAGGAAGCCAATGATGCCCAATTTTAAGGTCCTAGGTCATTGATTGACTTTCCAGGTCAGGTCAATGACCCAAAAGTCGGGAAAATCGGTACGTGTTAGAACATCGGAAGGTGCGGCTGTCATGGGGTTTTACGGGGTACTGATGACGAATATCATATTAGTTATGATCAAAGATGATGTCCTCATGCATTTAGGCCAGGCCAGGTCAGGTCAACCTAAAGGGGTCTTGTCGGGTATTCGTAGTACGTACGTGTCAACCGCCTCTGACAGCTTCGTAAATTATAACGAACATAGAGATCTTATATAGGGTAGACCGGGGCAAGTCGCCTCGCCGAGGTAAAACGCCTCACCGATGTTTCTCGGAACTGGCAAAGTTCTGGGGAAACATCCTCTCTTCTATAAAACGTGCACTATCTGATCATTATATGAGCAGACTGGAAAGAAATTGTGATGACTCTTTCGGGAGATATAGCCAAAAATGTGTTTTTTGAGTGATTTTTATGTTTTGTTGTCAGATTATGCATCATGGCGTTCTTTTATGGTCCACATCAGGCTAACGACTTTTATGTATTTTGAACAACTGTTGTCTAACGCTTATCATGCCGGGTTGGTTCGTGTTAAATTATGTCTTGCTGGAGTGCAAGGCGTTGTTCTCTGACCGAACTACGTGATGGGGTAAAACGCCCCAGTAGGTCGCGGGGCAAAAAGCCCCATGGGGCGTTTTACCTCATGTGTTGTTCGGGCTACCCACTTTCTAATGTTCGGTAGCTGGCGAACAGTAAGTTTCTATGTCTTTATATGCATTTTTCTCAGCAACTGGATGGCAAAGGAAGTATTTTGTTAACATTTACATTGCAATAATTTATTATTTGGTCTTATGAGGCAGGTGAAAAACCTGCTCATACAGTAGTGTCATAGCTGAACACCTGACAGGATGGAATGTGCTAACTTCAGTGCCGTGTCTCCAGAGGTCTAACGGACCTCTCACATAAGATTTAGCCAACTACCATGTTAAATCTTTAATCTAAAGTATGGGGCTACTTGCCCCAGGCCATGGGGCGTTTTGCCCTGGGGTTGGGGCAAAATGCCCCATTTGCAGTTGCTTCACAAATCACTTCCTAGCTTGAAGTCCGATCATAAATGAATGAATTTGAGGGGTGCAATTTAAAGTAAAATGTCCAAAGAACGCATTAAGCACAAATTTGGCCTTCCAGGTGACGTGGGACAAAATTTATGTAGCAAAATAAATTATCTGGGGCGTCTTGCCCCAGGCTACCCTATGTATATAAGATCCCTATGGTAACGAAGGCCCCAAACTACTCCGTAAATGTTCAACTAGTTGCTAAATTCGAATTCAGTTCCAAAAACTAGCCTAGAAATATGTAAAACTCGAAAAGTGAAATGAAGTCACCAAAGGTCAATGATCTGACCTGACCTTTAGGTGACCTTGACACCGGCCCTCATCCATGGGACCAACATCAAAAAACATGTTTGAACGCTTGAAACCACGAAAAGATTGCAAACGCGCGGCTAATGCGAGCCGACATATGTATGCCGGATCACGATCCCGGCCAAACATGGTCTCGAAAAGTAGTTCACAGGTCAAAGTTGATTTGGGTCAGGGCCATGAAAATTGTAGGGTAGGTGTAAAATTGATTAAGGCGAGGGTATTGAAAGTTTTGTCGGGATAGGCCGCTTTTTACGCGAGTTATTTGCAAAAAACCGAGGGTGGTCCGTTCGACCCCCCCCCCCGCCCTATAAGGGCGTGGGTTAACCCTCGCCCGCACATGCCATTTTCCCATCCTAGAACGCACATGGGGGGGTGGGGGTGGTTGCCACCCCCCCCCCCCGCGCCATTTCGTTCCTGTTGGAGATAGAGCTTAGCAGTAAAGACCAAAAAGATTCTTTGGGAAGAGACGAATCCAATGATACCCAGTTTTACCTTCTCAGGTCAGTCATTGACCTTCCAGGTCAGGTCAAACTAAAAAATGTTGCTGTTTTGGGTCACCGTTGGATATCAAGTGCGCTGCTTAGCAAATACCGATGACGATGCTGTTTTCTGGTGCCAAGCCAGCTAGAACCTCTTTGTCACACTATCCGACCAGAATTTTGCTGCTGAGGTCATTCCAGGTCAAGTTAGGTCAAGGTCAATTATATGTGTTTGTATGTCTGTGTGTGTCTGTGTGTATACTGATGTGTGCACCGATTGTTTTTGGGTCCATATAACATGAAATCATGATCTGAGAAGCTTTTACCAAAAATGCAGTCAAAAAACTTCACAAAAAGTAAATTCAGCTTGCCTAAAACGCAATTATCTTAGATGACTTAGGTTGACCTTGACCCTGACCTTGACCCCTGTACATCGTCGAACAACATGTTCCATGATAGGTGGGAGGTAAGACTGGCAAAAAAGGCCGAAATCAGGGTGTCAAAAGCTCACAAGGCCCATGGCAAACGCAAGATGTTGAGAATTGGCCATTTGGGTCATGACATGACCTGAAAAACAAGGTCATATCTCCGAAACCAAAAATCACAGAAACTTGAAATTTTCAGTATACATCAAGAAAGGATAGACGAGCAGCTATACGAAAAATCAGCCTTCTAGCTCTAAAAATGTTGAGTGCAGAGCAGAAAGACTGCCTGGGGGGGTGGTGGCAACCACCCCCCCCCCCCCCATGTGCGGGCGAGGGTTAAGGTACTTACAACGTTAAGCTGAAAATGTTTTACTCATAACGTCAAAAATGAAGCTGGTTTCGCGTGGTACTGCATTTGCCAACAGCTACAACCAACAGCTACAAAAACCGGCTTGACAAGCACTGGAGAGAACTCCAGTACCAAACAAACCAATAGATCAAGTTTGTTGATGCGTCCCGAGCTTGATCGGACGGATCTACCAGGCCATCCATTGCCTCATCCGATCCCATGAATCAGCTGTATCAGACATCAGGTATCTAACTCCTGACTGAACGTTTCATCGGCTTATCGATAAGTCACAGGTTACCTCTATACCTACCCAACTGTATCCCAGGATCTTTTCCAAACGACGGATCTAGTTAAAACAATTTATATTCAAACTATTGAACACAATTGCTCGATTTACTGTTTAGATAACGTTCTTCACCGTAACAAATACATAATTGTGAACGTCTGGTTAAAGGAAAATCGATATAGGTATTGAAGTATCGTCTCTCAGCAAAACAAATGTTTTGGAAATTCAACCGAAGACGGCTTTTAGGCAAACAAAAAAAGCATCATCGAAATCTTTTCGGCCTGTTTTCACAATTGCCTACCCAAATTGGATAGCTCGTCCGTCCTGCCGCTAGAACGGTCACCATGGAAACAGAGCTTAGTCCAAAGGACCTGCTCTCGCTACCGGTTAGCAGGTGGGAGTGACCATCCCGATAAATGATTGTGTGACCAAAGATGCTAATGGCTTCGTTCTGAGGAAGTCGAGGACTGACAATTATTTGTCCCTACTGACCACTAACACTCCATTCCATGTCCCTACAGTGCTGCCCAGACTCGGACGGCCCAGCGACTGCAGCGCTGCCTATCGCCCAGTTTCGGAACCACCCGCTGTGTGGAGACTCCGAGTTTGCACCGGGTCGGGTGGTCGGAGGGGAACCTGTTCGTCAGCTGAAGGACTTTCCCTGGATGGCGATCCTGAAGTGGGCTCCGGACGGGGCCAAGCCGCTGTATCGGTGCGGAGGAGCGGTTCTGAATGAGAGATGGGTGCTGACGGCGGCTCACTGCATTACCGACAACGGACCGTGAGTATAGAGCGGAGAAGGTCGAGAACCCTGGTCAGTGGGTTTTGCATTATGTAGGGAGTAGACAGAGCGAGGAGAGAGGTGTGAGTAAAGGCGCCTGAACACCGGGTTTTGCATTATGCACACAGCCGAAAAAAGCAACGATTGATCACCGTTTGCAGCTTTGCGACACTTCAAGGCCAACACCAACCAGTAACCACAGTGCTTATGTTTTATTGATGACCACAAGAGATGACCAGCTAGCCTGATTTGAGGTCGCATTATTTATGTGTTTTGTAATGTATGCAATTCGATGAACAATAAGCACATGTAAAAGTCCGCTGACTAACAGGCACTGAGAGAAGCTAATAGCAAACCTTCTCCAGATCAAAGTGCGCTTAGATTTCGCTCCCAACCCGTCAATGACGAGCTGTCTGACCGACAGGATATCGGTACGAGTCCGTGACCTGGACATTGCGACCAGCAGCGACGACTACTTCCGAGAACCCCCCGTCGATGTGCGCGTGGAGCGCATCTTCGCGCACCCCGACTACCGGCGCGAGTACAGGGCGCCCAACCGCGGCCTCTTCAGCGATATCGCGCTCATCAAACTCAGCAGTGAGCTTCAGTTCTCCGGTGAGAATGATTCGAGCGATGTGCGCTGTTGATGTCGTGTTGTGTGTGCATTCATGAATAGTTTAGCTGAAGACGATTAACCCTAGAACGCCTAGGGGGGGGGGGTTGTATCAACCCCCCCCCCTGAGGTTTTTTCGAAGTGCACGCTAAACGGCTTGTCGTAGCGGGCTGAAATTTTCAATACCCTCTGGGGCAACCTTTGCGCATCTTTTGCCGAAAAAAAAAATTGATCGGGTCATGTCAGGTCACGGAGTTATGACGTCATAAGAGGTACAGCCTCCGGCCGACAGTTACCAAACGTGTGCGCCGAATCCCTAGGTTTTCTGCCGGTGATACCCACATTGTTTGATGGATCATGATGAAACTTCCCATGCATGTTGGGGCAAGCATTGGCTATCGTGTGGTGCAAGAAAATTGACCGGGTCAGGTCAGGTCACGGAGCTATGACGTCACAAGAGGAACAGCGTCCGGTACTATTTTTGAAAAGCGCCCGAACCACTATTTTGCTAATTCTTGTCACCTCAATGGGAATATGCAGCAATATTAGCTTCTATAGGGAGCAAATGGACCTCCCAAATCCAAAAATACAATCAGATTTCAAAAATTTAAATTTTGATTTTTCGAATTTCTGCCGCCGACTGTGACCTTGCCGACTTCCGGCGCTCCCAACGCGCCATTTTTAGAGCTAGGGAAACGAAATACATACCAAACGATAGAGAATTGATCAAGGAATACGATAGTGAAGGTTTCAAGTCGATATCTCCCACCGTTTTGCCGCAATCGCCGCGGAAAGTTGAAAAAGTTTGATTTTTTCGGAAAATTTGACCTTTGACCGGTCATAAGTAGGTCAAATGTTGACCTAGGACCAAAAAATATACCACCAATCGCGAGATCTCGTTGAGAGCAATCCGTTGGTTTTTTCGCTAAGCTCTACGACCTTCCGTTTCGAAACGCCAGGGGGGGGGGGTCGTAACAACCCCCCCCCCCCTGGTCGTTCGTGTTATGAGAAATGGCCTGGTCGTGCGAGGGTTAATCGCAATTGCGGAAAACTTCAACTTGCCACCGTGCTTGCGAGTGACGAGGACGACAAGCAAATTGCACGTCTACACGTTTGACAATCTGCAACGATATAAACTTACACTGATTTTAGAGTGGTAGATCCTACTGTATACACTGCTCTATTATACACTAAACCTAACGTCTGTTGCAGATATTTCAAAACCGATCTGCCTACCTCAAAGCAAACGATCAACCAAAGAGTATGAGCGCATACGAAGATCTTACATTGCCGGATGGGGACTCACGGAATTTGGTAAGAATCCGTCTCTCTTCTCCCTCTCTTTTCTCTCTCTCTCTCTCTCTCTCTCTCTCTCTCTCTCTCTCTCTCTCTCTCTCTCTCTCTCTCTCTCTCTCTCTCTCTCTCTCTCTCTCTCTCTCTCTCTCTCTCTCTCTCTCTCTCTCTCTCTTTCTCTCTCTCTCTCTCTCTTTCTCTTTCTCTTTCTCTTTCTCTCTCTCTCTCTCTCTTTCTCTCTCTCTCTCTTTCTCTTTCTCTTTCTCTCTCTCTCTCTCTCTCTCTCTCTCTCTCTCTCTCTCTCTCTCTCTCTCTCTCTCTCTCTCTCTCTCTCTCTCTCTCTCTCTTTCTCCTCCCATCTAGGTATGTCTATATGACCCTTTGTATCTCCCTATCTCTCCCTATCTATCTCTCTCGCTCACTCTCTATCTCCCTATTTCTGTTTCTTTTTTACCCGTTACTTTTTTCCTCCATCGGTCTTTTGCTATAAGTATCTATCTTTCACTCCTTCACATCCATAAAGGAAGTATTCCAAAATGAAGGTATACCATGTCCAATAGTTTAACCCATCCTTCTAGCGACATACTCTCTCCCCCTTTTCTCCGCAGCTGGAGACGCCTCCACGGTGATGATGTGGGCGACGGTCAACATCACCGATCACAACACCTGCCAGAGTTCCTACGCCCGCACCGGAGCACGGGTGGACGATAGCGAGCACATCTGTGCAGCTGGGGATGACCTGAAACAGGACGGGTGTGTGCCCGGAGCCAATGACGGCTCGTGCCGCGGCGGTGTGGACGCCTGTGAGGTGAGTTCGGGATGGTGTGGGTGGTTAGCAATGAGTTTTGTCTATGTAAAACACCTATGTTGTTCAAAGGGATCAATTACCCGTAAAAGCTTCCGAATAGTTAGTCTTCATTATAAGCCGTAACCGGCACTTAAAACCGCCACTAACTGGTGCGATCTCTACATACTGTGTTGTGCTGTCCTGGCAGGATGTCTGTTGGGACAGAACTCTGGAACAATATGCTCGTGGGGGTGGAGTGTCATTGGGAAAATGTCCAACCTGACGGAGCACCCGATGGGACCAAGTGCCCCGCACGTGCTGGCGTAGTTTCCATGCTGACGAGAGTTTCCATGACGGTGCGCTCACGCTGACGGAGTGTCCCTTGTGGACGGCTCTCTCTCCGATAGGGCGACAGCGGCGGACCACTGATGGAGCGCCGAGACGAGTTCAACAGACAGCGCTGGTACACCATCGGCGTGGTGTCCTTCGGCACCGGCTGCGGCAACCCCGTGTTCCCCGGACTCTACACCCGCGTGGACCACTTTCTCGACTGGATCGCTCAGACGGTCTCCGAAAATTGAGAAAAAGATGACCTTCTGAGAGCGAGAGAGCGAGCGAGCGAGAGAGCGATATCTCGATGAGGAGGGGTCCATATTCCAATGTCTATCCCTAATCTGAGGTCTTGTGTGAGGACTAGTTGGCGAAATATGTCATAGTAGGAGAATCTTATTAGGTTTAGCAAGATGTCTTATGTGCGTAGTTTTCGGGTATTGTCCAAAGCTGCCCATGGTGCAACGTCGTCCGACTTGCTAGTTTATTTGAGCGATAATTGAGATGAGAAATTTATATGTAGCCCGTTGCATGTCAATAAAGCTGACCTGATAACCAGGCCAGGCACAAAGGTTTATCCAGCTGGTCGGTTGGGCAAAAGGTCTGAAGGTTTTAAAAGGGCATGAAGCACGTTCGCTTTCACTATATACATACACGTATTTTTATACCGAATAGGTAAACCGGCAAGCATGGCGCTGCCCGTGAAGTGTTGTAACGATGTGCGATCTGCTTATGTCAAAAGGCTGTGCGAAATAAATCTGTCAGTTATCAACCTATTGTGTTTGCATCGCATGACATACAATTTTCAAAGAGACATGAGAGAAATAATTTATACAGTTCTGCATCAGGCATGCTGTGAAAGGATGACGTTGCTCTCCAGTAATCAGCAAAATGAAGTCTGCAAGCAAGCCAAGCCTTCTTTCAATAATTATGGCTGCTCGATGTGGTCACCTATCTAGAGGGCTCCTCAACTGACATGAATGGTCTCAGCTTCGGGAAAGAACGTTTAGCGGTTCCCGAACTATGTTATTGAGCGCTGCGGGCACAATCTTCTAAAAGTATTCTTTAATTTAAAAAAATCGGTTTTTGTTTCATTACGCTGCAATGCAGCTCATGACAAAAGTTTTATGTTTTGCTTCCATGCGAGGAAGACGCAAATTCTATTAATTTCTGTCGATGTGTTCAGCGTCCTCCTTCCGCTGGAGGAGCAAATGCTCCATGCTGTCCCCCCCCCCCCGGCCCCCTGCATCTGCCAGGTGTCGAGACTTGAGGACTTATCCCTTGAGAGGTTCCCATTATCACAGCCCGACTGAGCTCAATATTCAGATGGGCACCTTTTTAGTGAGGCTCTCCTGTATTTAGATGACTGAGTGTCCCCAATGCCTTCTCCAGCCAGACCGATGACCTTTTCCAGCCATGTTTACGCTGCATGCCGTGGACCAGGCTGGAGAGAGTGAGGGAGTCCTCCACCGCTCTACCGTCGTCCGTCGCCCGGACTGCCCAGTCGACTGCCAGTCCTGGTCGGGGACTGGGCACATCGGAAGGGCACATCGGAAACATGTGGCTCAAGGTGGTGGCAGCGTGCCTGGTGTTGTGGTATGTGCTGAAGAGATTTCTTGAATACCGTAAAAATCTTCCACCAGGTGAGACCGTCCTGATATACCTAATAAAGCAAATGCTAGCATGAGTTTACACTTAGGTACTGTGACTGTGGGGTGTGCGTTGGTGCGATATGTATAAAGACTAGCCTAACGCATCGAATTATGCAATAGGTCACAAAATTGTCTCGTTTTGAAAAAGGCTTCTGATTTTCCGAAGCGCTTAAGGTGAAGAACCGTTTCCAACTTTGGCGTCGAAAAGCAGCAGTGGTTATTCGCAGTCAGCGATTGCAACCGGGTGTACAATGTTCTGCTGCTTGTAAAATGAAATATGAACTCTATCGCGTACATTGTTATACCCGTGAACGTGGTAACCCGAAGTCACCGTTCCATGCTTCTATCCTCAGGATACGGAAATCCTTCTCCTCCACGCCACAACCCCCCTCCGGGCTGGACAGGCAACTTTATCTCATGCGGGCTGCTCCCTTGGAGTGACACCGCTGCTCCCGAGGGAGCGCACCCCGTAGCCGGGTGCAGTGAGTGCCTTGGGGCTGGGTGGCCTGTCCTCTGGACGGGCTCAGCCCCGGCGACTCACTAGGGTGCCTGCCCAGACCAATGTCTCCCCCTACATCCTATCATCCTCCCGGCTCTGAAATGGTCTCATTGGACCGAAAGGGCCTAACCCAACAAAACAAAACAAAACAAAACCGAAGTGACTTCATCCCCACGGTCACGTAGATTTGGTATTCTCGAATCACCGAAATGACTATTACGACTGCTTTTGCCCCTTAATGCATAGGTATTAAATGATTACAGGGCACATACAGGGTATATACCGAGAAGGCCGAGACAAGTCGATACAAATGCACGATTAACAACAGCCTATGCCTAGTCACAGGTCAATGCCTGAACTGCTTATGATATAGCATTAATAGCATGTATGCGTAGGGGAAGGTGGGGTAAGACGGACCAGCTAAGGTTTGAGGTCGCATATCTTGCTACACTGCTCTCGTAATTCATATTATTTATAGTCTTCGGAATGCTCAATCCTTCCTCTGTTGATATGTGTAAAGACTAAATTTCAAGTTAAAGACATCTAGGTGGTGGATGCTGTTAAAGAGGAACATGTCAAAAACTCAGACAAGAAAAAACGTGGGGCAAGACGGACCACCCAGCAGTGTCTGCTATCCGTTCATGTGTGTTACACTTCATGCTCTGTACTCTTGTAAGAAAAAGTAACCAGAATGGTAAAATAACAAAATGAGCCTTTATTCTTTACTCATGTGTGATGGAAGTGCAGCTAAAAGCTAGGAACATGTGTGTTGATTGTCGTTTGGCATGAATGCATGCTAACTGAGCACTTGCATGCATGGCTCACATGCAACAAAGACTCCTTCCTGAAAAATTAGCTTACTTAAACTTGTGTCAATGTTTTGGAAAAGAACTTTCCATATGCAGGGTACAATGGACCACCACAGGGTAAGATGGACCACAGTGGTCCGTCTTGCCCCAAATCTAAATTCTGTTATTATCATGACGTATATGTCAAATAGCCCAACATTGCAAAACCTTGCCTTTCCTAAAGTGTGAGTCTGTGACTATAACTAAGTTTATAACTTTGTTCTTCACAGTTAAGTGCAAAATAGAAACTAATCATGCAGGAAAGGCGCCGTAATTGAATCACCCGTAGACCTCTTATATTAGATCGGTTTGACGAAAAACAACATTTTTCTCAGTCTCAAAGGCTATGCATCCTAGCAGCATGAGCTCAAGGTGGCCATTGTTACGAAGGAAAACAAACATAGTGAGTGCATAAAGCAGTAGATACCAGCAGCGGTTCAGCCGGGAGGGCTGGTGGTCCGTCTTGCCCCGCTAGGCCGTCTTACCCCACCTTCCCCTACAGCAATAAATATCACCTTACTCCATCGACCAGTCGCGAGGGGCGCATTAGGGAGCTGACCGAGAGCAGTGTTTGTATATTTGTATGTTGAGCTTATCAGATGGTCACGCGGATGGTAACAGTGTCGTCCCATCACGGTATATGAACGAGCTATGTGAAGGTCACTTGCGGTTATTCGCGGATCGGCTTTATGTACAGTATGCACCTCAAAGGGTGTTCAAAGCGTACCAACCAGGGGGGAATTCAGGCTCCCTGTATCTAATGGAAATATGTGCAATGTTTCGTGTTTCTGAGGCATGACATCAGGTGTTGTGCAAAGTGTTGGGACGTTGACGCTAAGCCTGGACTGCCGACAGGTCCGTTCAACATCCCGCTGCTGGGCAGCTGGGAGTTCCTCCGACTATGGTGGACCGGCGGATCCCTCACCGAGATGTACGCCCGGCTCGGCGACAAGTACGGACCCGTAATCTTCATGCGCCACGTGCTTGACACGCCAATCGTCACCATTCGACAGTATGATGCTCTGAAGGTGAGCTCCCCTATAGTTTGTAGGAGACATTTGCTATTTTATTTAAGACACTTGAGTCAACAGAGTCATGTTTCTTTCAACAAGACTGCCGTGTACGTTTGTCTTACGATGTTCTTCTTTTCCAGGAATCTGGCAAAGATATTCGCCTGAACGGAAGCACAGTACCATACTTCTTCCGTCTCATGAGCGACTTCAACAACCGTGGCATGAGCTTCTCAGACGGGCCCAAGTGGCATCAGAACAAGAAGTTTGCCATAGCCACTCTAGGAAAGCTGGGCTTCAACAAGCAGCGCGTCATGACGATGGCCACCAACGACTGCTCCAGCGCAGTCGACAAGCTGCTCATGAAGAAGGGCCAGCCGGTAAACATCGAACACGAGCTCTTCGGTGCCATCACCAACGTGGTCATGCAGGTGCTCATGAGCCGACAGTTTGATATCGACGATCCAGTTTTCAAACAACTGCGGGAGGACGGGGTTACGTTGTTCGGCATCGCGGCGAAGCTGAAGAGCCCCTACGACTTCGCGCCCTGGCTGGCGTACGTGGCAGGCGAGAACTCCGACGCCCGCAGGCTAAGACGGGTCATGGATCGTTTCGCCGCGTTCTGTAATCAGGTAATTGAAGAGCACGAGGCTACTATCTGTCCTGAAGAGCCCAGGGACTACGTTGATGCCTATCTGGCTGCTATGGCGACTGGCAAGGTCAGCCACATGTCCAAGGAGGACTTGCGAGTTGGGCTCAAGGACATGATCGTGGGAGGAATGGAGGGACCCTCGGTCATTCTGGGTTGGCTTCTGCTGCTGACTGCCGAGCATCAGGAGATCCAGGCCCGCATGGTCGCCGAGATTGAAGAAGTTATTGGTTTTGATCGTTCTGCTGTTCTGGAAGACGAGTCACGCTGCCCGTATGTCCGCGCTGTGATCGTGGAGACAATGCGGTACGTGGCACTGACGCCGTTTCATCGACACTCGGTCCCGCACGGAGCAACCACCTTCCGTGGCTACTACATCCCGAACGGCAGCATCATACTCGAGGACGTCCACTCGTGCAACCACGATCCGGCTGTGTTCGGCGACCCGGAGACGTTCCGACCCGAGCGCTTCCTCGGAGAGCGCGGCGAGCAGCTGAGGAAGCACGAGGCCACCTTCGGCTTCGGTCCTCGCCAGTGTCCGGCCATCGCCTACAGCTACACGGTGCTCTTCATATTCCTGGTCGGCCTGCTGCAGCGGCTCAAGTTGGTGCTTCCCGAAGGCGCCGAGCCGCAGTCTAACCGAGGCGCCTACAACGTCGGTGTTCGTCCCAGCCAGCCGCTTCTGATAGCACTTCCGCGCTAAGCTGTCAGTCTCTGCTGGTTGTCAGCGTTGGCAGCCAATCCCCAATGAAAGAGCCCCCGCACTTGAGCTGTCACTCCCTAGTGGTGTCCCTGTTAATGGCGATGTTCATAGGGTTCCATAGAACATAGCGCTCCAGCTATGAAGCTACCCGGGATGACGTCCACAGGCAAACCAGATATATCCACGCATTTCGTGGAGAGAAAAGTGATGATCTTTGATGATCGTCTGATCAAAGTGTCAACTCAATGACGCTATCAAGTAATAGGTACTACGATTGAATTCGGCATAAGGGATTTCGAGAAGGATTGCTATGTGACTTTGTAACTTCGCTAGCGTTTTGTAAGTAAGCCAACTGAAATGGTCATGCGAGAAAAAAAGCGCGCTTACATTTCAGGACGCGTGTAACATTAGCGCCACCGAAGCGTCCCAGAGCGAGGGCCACGACAACGCTGATGGTTGTGTGAGCTGTCTCGCCTGACGGCTCCGCCTCCGCACGGGAGCGGCAGTGTGATTGTGCATACGCTGATTGGCTGTCGCTGTGCCTGTGCGTACGCTGATTGGCTGTCGCTTGGCACATACTAGGAGCGGGTCGCCGAGATAGGCGCTGTGCTGGCAACTAGTATGGCTGAACAAGTGTTTGTTGCTAGAATACATACAGAGGCCGTGGAGATGGACGTGTCGGTGTAATGTGGAGTAGTCGGTGGGCAATCCTACAACTTTTCAGTGACACCAGTGTACTACCGACACGCATTGGTATAATTATAGTGTGCACGGACCTAAAACGTCAAGGACACACAACACACGATTCAACATATGTACCGGGTGGCCCAGAAAAAACGTTCCGAACTTTGGAGGCCTATATATCAAATTCGAGTACAAATAACGAGCCAAAATTTTCATCAAGTTTGTGTCATTTCTTTGCGCATTGGTATGCCAAATTATAACACTATACCATCATTTTCAAGCTGGGAATCTTGAGATGAATTAAACAAGACGTTTTTGCTTTTTTTGCCGATGTCAAACGATAGTTATGATTGGGTTAGACGTCCCATGTTATAAAAAAAAAGAATAAAAAATAGAGCACGTGAATGAAACTAACACGTATGTTCTTATTTTAAATATTTTTGTCTCACTTATGTGCCAAATATTCAAATACTGAGCCAAAATGGTGCTCATGGATGCCATTCGTTTCAACACCAAATCATGTTTCGAGCAGGAGTGGCACGGTGCATGGATTACTGCTGATTACCCTCCTTTCAGTAGATCAAACAGTAAATCGACCGGATAAGGAAAACAAACTAAAGCAGACTGGTTCCTGTGACAGAAGACCACAGAATAGCTTATGAAAAACAACATTGCCAGCAGATGACAAAAAAAAAAAAACTAGTTGAAAAGCTTCCTTCTCCCAGGAATGTCAGCCAGGAAAGCATTTGAGCCACAATATGGTTAGAAAACTGGAAACTTCTTCCGATGCCGCTGGCACAGAGCCATCGTGGTTGCTTGAGGGAATGTGTCATCCTGAGACCCGAACCATCAATGAGACTAGCTGCCAGTAGAAGTCATGGCTCTAGGCCGCAGTGCCGCGGGGTGAAAGTGACCCGTTCACTCACATTTTTTGGTAAACATCGGAGCAAAAAAGTAATTTTTACATGGCATGCTTAAAACACGAACCGTTTAAAAAGTAATTTACCGAACACCATGAAAATCACACCATTTACTGAAAATGTGTGCCGCAATGACTATTCGAAGTTTCAATGTTGTATCATTATCACTTTCTGAGAAATATTGATTTAAAGTTGGGAACGTTTTTTCTGGGCCACCCGGTATATCATTCAACACGCTTAGTCAACCATTACTACCGTTCTCAGATTGACACAAAAGATTTTGTCAGATAAAAGGCATTCGTAGATCCAGAGCTTGTACTAGAGCATATTCACTTGGACAACCACAGGCCAGAGACCATGGTGATTGGAGCAAACAGTCGGAATATAAACGGTAGCGGATGCATATGTGCAAAGTACATTGTACGTACTACGTACATCGTCTTAGACATGCGGATTGCATAAGTAGTGGGCTTATCACATTTGTATAATGGCAGTGGGTGGCAGTGTTTTATGGCAGTGTACCAGTTTGACCATTATATTTTATTAGTCTTAAGGCTTCCTTCGAATATTGATGAGGGGAGCATATGTAAAGGCGCCATTAAGTGGATGCAATAGTTAAAAATGTTTGTTCCTATTCACCTACTCATGCCACGACAAACTATCATACGAATTTGGTCTTCACTCAACCATTCGTGATGAAAGCCAATACTACGTACAGCGTTGCTTAGACTCGCTTCGAAACTTTGTCCTCCAATCATTTGTAAGCACCAGCACTACTTCAAAACGACAACCTGAGATTGTTCTAACCTCATCGCTCGATACAATAGATTCCCCAAAGCCATTCCAGATATTTGTTGTAGCCATGACACAGAGCGCAAACAGTCAGAAATGGCCTCTGAAGCCCACAATGCGCAGAGACTGACAGCTTAGCGCGGGAGCGCTATCAGAAGCGGCTGGCTGGGACGAACACCGACGTTGTAGGCGCCTCGGTTGGACTGTGGCTCGGCGCCTTCGGGAAGCACCAACTTGAGCCGCTGCAGCAGGCCGACCAGGAATATGAAGAGCACCGTGTAGCTGTAGGCGATGGCCGGACACTGGCGAGGACCGAAGCCGAAGGTGGCCTCGTGCTTCCTCAGCTGCTCGCCGCGCTCTCCGAGGAAGCGCTCGGGTCGGAACGTCTCCGGGTCGCCGAACACAGCCGGATCGTGGTTGCACGAGTGGACGTCCTCCAGAATCATGCTACCGGCTGGGATGTGGTAGCCACGCAGACTTGTCGAGCCGTGTGAGGCCGAGTGACGATGGACTGGCGTCAACGTCACAAACCGCATTGTCTCCACGATTGCGGCACGGACATACGGGCAGCGTGTCTCGTCGTCCAGAGTAGGCGAGCGGTCAAAGCCGATAACTTCTTCAATCTCGGCGACCATGCGAGCCTGGATCTCCTGATGCTCGGCAGTCAGCAGCAGAAGCCAAGCCAGAATGATAGAAGGTCCCTCCATTCCTCCAACAATCATGTCCTTGAGCCCAACTCGTAAGTTGTCCTTTGACATATCGTGACTGGCCTGAGCAGTCGGTATAGCCGCCAGGTAAGCGTCGACGTAATCCCTGGGCTCGTCAGGACAGAGAGTGGCCTCGTGCTCTTCGATTACCTGAGCACAGAACGCGGCGAAACGGTCCATGACCCTTCGGAGCGTGCGGACATCGGAGTTCTCGCCTGCCACGTACGCCAGCCAGGGCGCGAAGTCGTAGGGACTCTTCAGTTTCGCGGCGATGCAGAAAAGTGTAAAACCATCTTCCCGTAGTTGCTTGAACAGTGGATCGTCGATATCAAACTGTCGGCTCATGAGCACCTGCATGACCACGTTGGTGATGGCACCGAAGAGCTCGTGTTCGATGTTTACCGGCTGACCTTTCTTCGTAAGCAGCTTTTCTACCGCACTAGAACACTCGTTGGTGGCCATGGTCATGACGCGCTGCTTGTTGAAGCCCAGCTTTCCTAGCGTGGCCACGGTGAATTTCTTGTTGTAGTGCCACTTGGGACCGTCTGAGAAGCTGATCCCGTAGTTGGAAAAGTCGCTCATCAGCCGGTAGAGGTAGGGCACGGTGTTTCCGTTCAGAAGAGGGTCCCTTGCGGCTTCCTGGAAGGAATGACCTTTGTTAGACAATTATAGGTAGATTCTCGACAGTTGCATCGAAAAGCAGTATCCAATGCAAATTGCAAACCTAGGTGCTTACAACGTACTACAGTACATATATTGCATTGCGATCCTGCCGGGTTTTGTGAAACCCTCTCACGCTGCGCCGAACAGTCACACCTTTACAGGTCTCGAACTCTCTGTTACCAAGTCGGGAAGCACATGGCATATCAGCACGGATCGCCTTCTGTCAAAGCAATCAACGTCGGCATCAAGTTAGGAAGCTCACCTTCAGAGCATCATACTGTCGAATGGTGACGATTGGCGCGTCAAGCACGTGGCGCATGAAGATGATGGGTCCGTACTTGTCGCCGAGCCGGGCGTACATCTCGGTGAGGGATCCGCCGGTCCACCATAGTCGGAGGAACTCCCAGCTGCCCAGCAGCGGGATGTTGAACGGACCTGTCGGCAGTCGAGAAGTATGTTTTCAGTCGGTAGTCACAGCTATGTTCTCATCAGTGTGTCTGTCAGTTTCCTTCGTAATGCCCACTTGTTTGTGGTTGTCAGCTGCAACGAGAAATAAAGAAATAAAATAAAAATGTCGTGAGTCGTGACGTCTTAAAGTCTCAATTGTGGCGGAATGGACCAGACATTCATAATACTTCTGATACGGTGACCGACGAGAGGGGTCAATATGCCTAATATTTGCTTATGAACAATGTTTAGGGTGTGACTGGAATGACAATTAAAAATGAAATGCAAACTTCAGATGCTAGGGGCCATCGCAGCTCTACGTGCATACAAATCGACAATAAGTAACTAGCTTATCAAGAATAATAGTAGCCTCACACGTTGTGATATTCAAAGATTCACATGTTCAGCCTGCCTCTTAGTATTTTAAATGTTCATTTTAAACATTCGCTGGGACACGGGAGCCCATTCACTCGATGGTTTGCCTGCTGGTTTCTTGGAAGACGACCGATCTACGAGATAGGACGAGTGACCTTCGCCCAGTTAGTTTACGGGAGCGAGACGGGCTGACTCTCATCTGCTCTATGATGGTCTCCGTTAGCTTGAGCCTGTGTCCTTATGATGTGACAGAAAGCAACCACTTCTTGTGGCCAAGGCAAGCAGGTGATCTTAATTGTCCAACAAATTAAGATCAACCAGTGTTTTAACTTTGGGCCGTACCTAATATGTATATTTGCATAGCCTGCCTACCTACTCAGTACTCACTCTGTGGCCGATAGATTTATGTTATCAGTGCGCACTGCGCATGTACTTACCTGGTGGAAGATTTTTACGGTATTCGAGAATCCTCTTCAGCACGTACCCCAGCACCAGGCACGCTGCCACCACCTTGAGCCACATGCTGTCGACGCCCCTCCCTGGCCAGGATCAGCGGACGACTGAACCACTCCGTACGACTGAGACGACGGTACGGCATACCGTCCGTCACTCTCCCTCCACCGGGCTCAAGGTCAGCTGCGTAATCTTGTCTGGAGAAGGTTATTGGCCTGCAAACGGAAACCGCTATGCTATGCCACACAGTGGAAGTCATCGTTCCGCCTGTTTCATCTCAGGATATTCAAATCCTTCTCTTTCACTCTTCCACACCTCGCATCCCTTGCCCTTGTTCCGGGCTGGGCGGTCACCCTTATTTGACGTGAATAGCCGTTTTCACGATGGCCATCTGGTACACATCTGGTGCACATTTGGTGCAGATTAGGTGCAGATTTGGTCAAATCAGGTTCGGTGTGTCTCTTACTAGCTATCAGCTAGGGTTGCACTAATTGCTTATATGCCTGCTTTGTCATATTATCAGAAAGTATCATTCATGAAAACACTGAAATAAATTCATAAAATACATATATTTGCTGTAAAAGAGATTAGGTGCAGATTTGGTCAAATTAGGTGCTCTCGCCGGATAGCCCGTCGTGAAAACGGCCAAAAGCTCCTCAGAGGCATGCCCTCATGTGCGTGTGGGAGGTGTGGGAAGACCGTCAGCGGGATTATGTAGTTGGCTTGTCCATCGAGACGGGCTTAGTCCCGGCGGGGCACCAGGGAGGCCGCCCACACCAGCCTTACTTATCTACTAGTTCAACCCTGGTCTTACATTACAGTCGTACCATCATTCCGGCTCTGAGCTAAGGTTTCTATAGACCGAAAGATCCTAACCCTACAGTACAACTGCAGTATAACGCCTTTTGGGGCGACTAACGGAGCGAGCGAGAGGGTGGGCCTTGCACGTGCGAAATTGCGAGGGGGTACCTCCAACTGACTTGTGCACGGCACCCTGCTAACTGGTCTCTAGCGATGTGCCAAATTTGGGCACAATCGGCCCAGCCGTTCTCGAGATCTGGAAGCGGCACCCTGCACGTGCGCACGTGCAAAATGGGTCCCAACTGACTTGTGCACGGCACCCTACTAACCGGTCCCTAACCGTGTACCAAATTTGAGCGCAATCGGTCAAGCCGTTCCCGAGATCTGGAAACGACCCCTGCACGTGCGCACGTGCAGCAGCACCCCAACTCTGGCACATGTATATGCAGTGCCTAGTGGGTGCCTACCTACATGCCAACTTTCAGCGCAATCGGCCAAGTAGTTACCGAGATATTGCAACAATAACAAAACTGACACCTCTTCGTTTTGCACGTGGCACGTGCATAAGGGGTCACCCACATGCATCGGGAATAGTCCAATACTTGGTAGAAGGAATGAAGCTACCCTACAAAAATTACCGCGTGTAAATCGGTCAAGTGGTTGCTGAGATATAAGCCTCGCAAAAGCGTGACCACGGCCGGCCGGCCGGTCGGCCGGCCGCTCATACTCAGAAATTTCCGTTAAAGGGACCCTCCCACCTTCAAAAAAGTTAATGAATTGGCATGAAAAAGATGTCGCTCGGTTCAGAAAGAGCAAAAACGAATATCTACCAAATTTCATCGAAAAATATTCACCGGTTTTCAAGATATTAGACTTTTACTTTTGTTTACTTTTTGGGACCTCCGCTGTTCCTACCGACTTTATTTGAAAGTGCGGCATTTGTTGCGCGCAAAGCAGCATATACCATCGCGTGCTACAAAACGTTTTAGTCAAACATTTAACGGACGTTCGAAAGCCTGATGACGTCATCAGATTCCCGTAATGGTTAAGAGATAGGGACCACGCTGGTCCCACCCTGCAAGTAAAGGGAAGAAATTTCTTGAACACCATAAAGCTGCGGGGGTTGCGACCAGGATAAATGGTGGTTTCTGAGCCTGGCCGCAAACTTGGCTATCTCAACTCAAAACTAATGTTAAGGTGGGAGGGTCCCTTTAATCTAAGGAAAGACTACGCTCGCTTCGCTCGCTCCGTAACAAAACAAAGCAAAGGCGGTGAAACTACTACCTATTTTAGGCGAAATCTGGCCATTTTTGTTGAAATGTGAGGGGCGAGCTAAGTTGACATAAAAAAGATCCAAGGAACACATCTTTGAAGCCATTTTCCAGTTTAGCACTCTTGCAACCAGACTCATCGTCGTGTCTCGTGATGTGATGCACACTGCACAATGTGCGAGGCGACTGACTAGCGCACTCGGAAAATAAACTTGCCACTCTGTTTCACCAATGCTTTTTGAAACATTTGTTCAATATTTTTGAAAACATAAAATTTCGGAACAAATAAAATAAAATTGTTAAAAATATCATTATTTCTCAAAAGATATAAAGCTATATTCAGAAAAACTACGTAACACTCACAACAATCACAATGCTCTCATCTCTATGCGGGAATTTGAACGCGAAATGGTGACGAGGCAAAAGTGGCGGGTCGGCTCTATATTGCTTTATAATTTATTTGTGAAAAAATACAGCACACAGGAAAACTTTCTAGTTTTTACCCAACAATCAATCTTGGTAAGACTAAAATCAGCATATTTTAAAATGTACAGGTAGTGGCTGAGCGGTTTTGGCTGGACATTGAGCGGGTTTCAGTTTTTGTTTTTGTTTTGGACACTCACTCTCCTCGTCTCGCATTGATTTATCATTGTAAAATAAATAGCCAAAATAGAAAACATTTGGAAAATTATGCTGAAAGCTCACAACTCACCCCCTGTTCAAGCTATTGTTGTTTTTTCAAACAATTTCAAACTCAACTAGGTTTCACACCTGTAGTGACCGTAGCCTATGGGTACCGTCGTACTGAGTACCGAGTACTCGTTTCTCTATTGTGTCGTTTCTCGTCCGCCACTATCGGAAATAAACAGTCTCCATCTTGGACAAATCGTGGCGTGTCGTGGCCCGGACCGTTCGACGGAATTACACACCCAGGACACTATATTGTGGCGACGAGTGGATACTTTTCGAACTTTTCACGTAATGTCGAGCGCGTGTGTTATATTTTCGTCAGTTTTCTTGTATTCGGCGACGCAATGAGCGCCTTCGACGGCGGAGTGCCACTCCCCGCGCCGTTCCTGCCGCACCCTGGTGCGCCGCAAACGCCGTGGGCGACGTGGGAGCGGCGGTTCGGGAACTACTTAATTGCTCGCAGTGGCGACACCCCTCTACCAGCGGCCCAGAGACGTGCACTGCTACTCTGTGCAATCGGAGATGAGGCATATCGCGTTTATGAAAACTTGCCGACGCTGGTGAAGGACGAGAACGAGGACGACTATGACGTCACCATTCGCCAACTACGCAACCACTACGAACCCAAGACCAACGTCATCGTAGAACGGTTCCAGTTTCGGCAGAGAGGCCAGCAGTCACATGAGTCTACGGCAGACTACGCTGCAGTTCTGCATGGACTTGCCAAGAAGTGCAACTTCGGAGCGATGGAGGACGAGCTGATCAGGGACCAAATTGTGGAGAAGACCCCTCACAATGCTCTGCGTCAGCGCCTTCTGCAGGAGCATGACCTAACACTGCCGAAGCTGCTCGGCATGGCAGAGGCTCATGAGCAGGCTCTGCAGCAGGCCGCTACTATTCAGCATGGTGTTGTCGCCGCTCCACCTGTTCCCGCTGTCGCAAAGGTGGAGACACGTAAAGGACATCAGCAACCTGCCCAGACCGTCAGCACCCCGTGCACCAACTGTGGACGTCACGATCACCCTGTCCGTGATCCCAGCTGCCCAGCCAGGCACATCGTCTGCCACATCTGCAACCGCCAGGGACACTTCGCTGCCTGGTGTCGCAGTCGCGACAACCCAGAACCCAGGGGTGGAGGTTCAAAACCCAAGAAACCAGGTCCTCGTGGCGGCAGATCTGGGTCCAGCCGTTCCAGACCACAAGCTGTCAGAGAACTGCACGTTCTGGCTTGTGAACAGGGCAAGTCAACGAAGCTGTCGTGTCCAGTGACCATCACAGCCGGTGACATCACACGTGAGGGTGTGCATCTTCAAGTGGATACAGGTGCCACCTGTTCGCTTCTAAGCCTGCAGCGTGCCAAGCAGCTGTTCAAGGGTGTCAGCTACGAGCCTACTTCTGCTAACCTGTACGGTTTCGGCCACAACCCCATTCAAGTTCATGGCACCCTCCCTGCCATCATCAGCTACAACGAGCGCAAGGTCGACGCATCATTCTACCTGGTGGACACGCCCCGCCTGGAGGCCATCATGGGTATGGATGTGCTGAGTGCCCTGGGATTAACTCTGCACCCAGCTTCGCACACCATCTTCGATCTGGATGAGCAGACCTCTGCGTCAGAGGAGCAACTTCATCTCCCAGCTATCGACGGATACGCTCACAGGATCCAGCTGAAGCCTGACGCTGTGCCTAAAGCGTTCAAGCTTCGTCGTCTGCCTCTCTCAGTCCGGGAGGAGGTGTCAGCTGAGCTCAATCGACTTCTCCGAGCTGACGTCATCGAACGAGCAGACGCGTCTCAGTGGGTCAGCCCACTGGCTGTCACTCGCAAGAAGGATGGCAAACTTCGCATCTGCACTGATCTTCGATGGCCGAACTCTCAGATCATCGCGGAGGTACATCCACTTCCCACCATAGATGACCTGGAGCGGAACCTACGAGGCACCGTCTACAGCAGGATAGACCTGAAGTCCGTGTACTTCCAACTCTGCCTGCATGAAGATTCCCGAGACATCACTGCATTCCTCACCATGGACGGCCTCTTCCGCTGGAAACGAGTTCCCATGGGTCTCGTCAGTTCTGGCTCTGCGTTCCAGAAGCTCCTGGACCAAGTCCTGGACGGGATCGCAGGATGTGGTCACTACCTCGACGACATCTTGGTGTCCGGGCGCACTCAGTCCGAGCACGACGCCCGCCTGCATGCCGTCCTGGCCCGGCTTCGCGCAGCTCGCATCACAGTGAACATGCAGAAGTCCGTCTTCTCCCAGCCTGAGGTCGACTTCTGTGGTCACCGCCTGACGAAGCACGGAGTCGCACCTCTGCAGTCAGCAATCAGGGCTGTGGTGGGTGCACCACACCCCACCGACCTCAAGGAGCTACGGAGCTTCATCGGCACCACCGCCTGGTTCAGCAGGTTCATCCCCGCCTACTCCACGGTGGTCCAGCCGCTGACTGTGATGTTGAAGAAGGACGTCCCCTTCGAGTGGGGCCCAGCCGCGGAACACGCCTTCAACAGCGTCAAGAGCCTGATCTCCTCCAGTCCGGTGATGATGCCGTTCTCGCCGGCACTGGACACCATCGTCACCACGGACGCCAGTGACCGTGGTGCAGGCGCCGTCCTGACTCAGATCCAGGCGGACGGACAGGAGCGCCCAGTGGCCTACTGGTCACGTTCCTTCACAGATGCTGAAGCGAAGTACTCAGTCTCCGAGAAAGAAGCGCTGAGTGCTGTGAATGCCATCGAGCACTGGCGGATCTACCTCTGGGGCCGCCACTTCACCCTACGAACCGACCACTCCGCGCTGACAACGCTGCTGTCGCCTCAGTCAGCCAACCGCGCAGGAGCTCGGATCGCCAGATGGCAGTCACGACTGATGTCGTACTCTTATACCGTCCAGTACAAGCCTGGCCACAGTATCCCGGTCGCGGACACTCTCTCGCGACTACCGCTCCCAGACACCACTGCCGCTGAGACTGACAGTGACGATGTCGTCGCACTCGTCACTGATGCCGCTGCCGACGTCCTCACGGAGGAGGACATCCGAGCCGCCTCAGCCGCCGACCCGGTGATGGAGAAGCTGCGTTCTACAATCCGCTTCGGCTGGCCCGACACGGCTCGCAAGTGCGCGCCGGACCTTCGCGATTACTTCGCCGTGCGCCACGAACTCCAGTGCAGAGAAGATGGCATCGTCATGCGCGGACCTGAACGGGTCGTCGTCCCCGAGACGCTGCGCAGCAGGTACCTGGAGCTGGCACACGCCGGTCACCAAGGCGTTGTCCGGTCGAAACAACTCCTGAGAGACCTGGCGTGGTGGCCCGGCATGGCGACTGCTGCTGCCGCTCTCGTGAAGAACTGCCACGTGTGCTGTTCAAAGGACTCGGTGCTCGCCCAGCAGGCGCGACCAGCACCACTACAGCCCGTCCAGCTGCCTGACCGACCATGGTCCAAGCTCGGTATTGACATCGTGGGACCCATCTCCGCAGCGCCTCCTGCCGCACGGTTCGCGATCGTCGTTACCGATTACTACAGCAAGTGGCCAGAGATAGCTCTGACATCCACAGTCGAAACTGATGACATCATCAGGATGCTCAGCGCTCTCTGGGCTCGAGAAGGTTTCTGCGATGAAATCATCAGTGACAACGGTCCACAGTTCTCAAGTGAGAAGTTCCGCACGTACCTGCAGCGTCGCGGCATCACGCACCACCGGTCATCACTCTACTGGCCGCGTGGCAACGCTGCAGTCGAGCGGCTAAATCGAGAAGTCAAGAGCTGGCTGCAGGAAGCCGCCCAGTTGAGGCTCAGGACAGCAGACTCCTTCTCCAACCACGTCACACAGCGACTCGCGCTGTATCGGACGACCCCCCACTGTAGCACCGGTGAGGCGCCGTCAGTACTGCTGCATGGACGCCGGATGCGTCTGAATCTACCAGTCGTAGAGGAAGCAGCACATGACAAGAGGATTTCCGACCGTGTCGCCAAACAACAGCGCCGAAACAAACGGAACTACGCCGCACGTAAAGGTGTGAAGCGGCCTGGTCTGCGGCCGGGGGACCTGGTCCGTGTGAAGAAGCCAGGACACGTCCCGAAGGATCAAAGTCGATTCTCGGCTCCAGTCCCAGTCACCCAGCAGCTCGGCCCAGCAACCTACCTGCTGGCTGACGGCACCAGAAGGAACGCGGCTCACCTGGCTAGCGTGCCTAGTGGCAGCCAGGATGGAACCGGACCTGCCACACCGCCGTCAGGCACAGCCGGACCCGTCACTCCGCTGCTGTCTCAGCCGCCGACTCAGCGGTCACCGACTCTACTCCGGGACCAGCCGCCAGCGCCACCGCCGGAGACAGCACCGCCATCTACAGGACGAACAACGCCCCCGCGATCACAGCCAGCCACCGCCGGCGCTGATAGCGCGGACCGTGCCGTGCCTGACTCTGATCTGGCTGAACACGAGCTGCCGAGATCGTCGTTCGGTCGCCGTCGGTTCGTGCCTGTGAGGCTGCGCTGATTGTATTTTCAGAACCACAGTGTCTGATTGTTTCGTTTCAGTTATTGGCTCTAACCGCGTTTCTGTATTAGTTTAACAGCTTCGAGTATAAGCTGTGTCGTGTCTACTTGGCGTATCGTCCGGTGTCAATTATGTTCAACTTTATTGAGGTGGCGGATGTAGTGACCGTAGCCTATGGGTACCGTCGTACTGAGTACCGAGTACTCGTTTCTCTATTGTGTCGTTTCTCGTCCGCCACTATCGGAAATAAACAGTCTCCATCTTGGACAAATCGTGGCGTGTCGTGGCCCGGACCGTTCGACGGAATTACACACCCAGGACACTATAACACCGTTCCAGGTCGGGTTTATCAAGTCCAATGGCCCAAAGTGCTTCAATGAAAAGTGCATAGATATGAAGTCTGTCATATAGGCCAGCTGAAAATGTCATCTTTCTCTCGATTTCAGTTTTGGCCCTCTGTTGATTTTTCTTCCTTGTCTTGTAGGTACACCGTATTGACTTGTGCAGTGTTCGCACTCAGTAGATCCAACTGGCATAAAAATCTGACTGTAGCAGCTTCACAGCTGTCTTCACTTAGGTATTGCCTTTCATTACGTTTGTTGCTTGCTTTGTGATTGACAATTTCATTCAAATGGAAGCACAATATTATTTATTATCAGTGCTTGAATCTCATGCTTGCTTATTTTTTATCGCTTGCTACTCTAGAACTGGAACAGATATTTACAGAGGCCAGTTTTACCAACAGAAAAATAGGCGCCTGCCGGAATTTTTTTACTTAGTTAAGACTGCTTCATATACGCAGCGTAAACGCGATGGGCACGTTAGTGGATAGGGCTATATCGTTTACGCTCTGTATGTGAATCGGTCTTAACCCGCGCCCCGTAGGGGGGGGGCCGAAACGGCCCCCCCTGTCCTTTTCGGTCGATATCTCCTAAACGGCTGGAGATATCGCCACCAAACTTTCAGGACCCCTCCGGGCATCAATTTTACACATTGTGACCAAAAATTTTCCAGAGGCTATGATAGGTTGGCCAAAAATGACGTCAGAGTGACGTCATGTTCTGTCATTTTCGACCGAAAAAAGACCTTCGCGAGAAGACCTGTCAGGACTACAGCTTTGAAGATACAGAAAAATGATCAAGACGTAAAAGGTGTAGAATTGACAGGGCTACAAAACTGCTATCTCGAATTTTTGAAATTTTTGAATTTTGACCCCCAAAAATCAAAAAAGCATTTTTTTGGATATATTCGCCAAAAAATCCAAAAAGTTTTTTGAGTTTCGAAAAAACCGGAATATATGTGATAGTGCCTACCATCTTCTATCTACATACCAAATTTCAGATCGATACCTCGTTTTTTGGCCAAGTTATAGCGAAAAAACTGTTCAAAAATGATGACGTCAAATTTTCAAACTCAATTTTTGGCAATTCTAGAACTCGTAGAGCAAAACGAAGACCACCATTAGACTCCCCGTGACGAGCTGCATCGAATCGATACCCATTTTATGCAAAAATATCAACTTTGAAATTTGACCTAATTTGACCTGACCTTGACCTGACCTTCACAAAAACGTGACCTAGGCTGGCCCCAAAGGCTGCCTAACCCACATAATCGCATTTGTCATGTAATATGGACCATAAAACATTATCACACGACACATTCATATTGTGACCCCCGGTGACCTGACCTCGCTGTGACCTGACCTGGTATCAGTGACCTCAGATAGCAAAGTATGTGTTTGACGAACAATGTACCATCGATGGTTTTCAATAAATTACCAATTTACTCGCTTTCACAGCACATTTCTTGAATTGCCTGTGAACGGTGAAAATCTGACCTTTGACCTGACCTGTGACGTCATCGGTTTGACCTAAGTCAATGAAATTTGGTCACAAGGTAGTTCCCGGGTGGGGCTATCGAACGCCGTTTGAATTTTGAAAATCGGCCGGTAACTTTCCGAGATCTTAGGGGGGGGGGCCGAAACGCCCCCCCCCCCTACGGGTGGTAGGGTCCGCCGGTAGCCCTACGGGGCGCGGGTTAAGTAAAAAAAAAAATCCAGCAGGCGGCTACTTTTTTGTTGGTTAAACTGGCCTCAGGTTTCTTATTAAGAGATGAGGTCCAGGCAGGAGTTGGACAGTCTTGTCAGGATAATTATCAAAGTATACTGTCATACAACTTGTAAAGACTTATTTTGTCCATATTTTGAACCCAACCTTCCTGGATTCAAACTGCAACATCAAATTGGTGGAAAGGAGTCTGGTATTATAGGAGATATTGGCTGGTAAATTCCCTTTTACTAAATCCAGCCAGCTGGGTTTAATAGCTGGGCATTGGGCAAGTCATGATGCATTAACTCCTTGCATTATCATTGAATAAAACAGGAAGTTTTTCAAGCATTTCTGGTAACCTGGGAGGGAAGTTACCTCCCTGCGGCAAAGTGCAAATATTGCCACTTGCTAGCCTAAGACAGTCCATTCTGTCATGCAAAAGAAAAAACCATTTACATCAGTCAGAAAATCACATACATGGTACCAAGGCTGCTACTGTACAAGAACCAGAACCCCAACTCTAGTCATCTGTCCTGTCCAGTAGCAACTGTTAACATTGATATCGGCTGCTGGTCTCTCTACGGTCTACCTGAGCAACTTAGGATTTCTATACATGCATTATGACAGCATTATGACAGTTCATTGTTCCCTGTGAGGGTGCTGGGACAATAAACTCAGGTTTGCTGTACAGTAGCAACTGTTGGTCCCCATACCTCTATCTTCTGTTTCAGCTGTACTGTTTTTCGTAACTAATTGCCGACCCGGTTCTTTTGTCTGATTACAGCACCAGCTGCACCGCGATGGAGCCAGCCCGGCCGCCAGAGCAGCCAAAGAGCCGGCTGCGCCGCCGCTCCTCGGTACGTGTTTGCACACTGAACAGATGGTCACATGGCTGGTGGTACAGATGAGCCCTCAGCAACAGCTGGGGGGGGGGGGGGGAGAGGAAGATAATGAAGCAGTGTAGAAAGTGCATGATTGAGCGTAGATTGTCAATCGATCTCGTAGCTCTCTGAGTTGGAGCCTCACTGCATGAGGTATGTCGGGTAACTATGTAAACTTTAAAGCTTCACAGTTAGGACAGTGTCAGTAGATAATGCGTTTTGATATGACGTGTATAGATGGTCGTTCGTGTATAGATAGATGGTCATGGCATTCTTCTGTAACTGTAATATGGTATGGCCTAATTTAAGCAACATGTTGTCCTTGATAATGTATGTCATGCAGTGTATGGGACATGATGTTTATTCCTTTTGCAGTGAATCGGTATGTTTATGTTGAATGATTGCATCAGACTCTGAGTTGACAGGCAATTGAGCTGCTCTCTATCCACTTATGTCAACTGGTGTAAACTCATATACAGTCAGTGTAGGACAGATATTTGACTAGTACCTATATTTTTGTGTTTCATTTTAGTCAATGTCACATTCAAAGGAAAGCCATAACTCAGCCTGACTCCTCAGTTGGGAGAGAAGGCAAATATATCTACATGTAAACCCTGCCATGCCATTGCACCTATACTAGACTGGCAGCTGTTTAGCCTTACACCAGTAATCTGCCTGACTTGTCTGACAGTATTTGTCTGACTCGAGCCGCCTTGTGCCGTTCCAGATTCTGAAGGCTCCTGCGTCACCTGAAGAGATGACGGAAGACCTCACCTCGCGTCGCTCGTCAAGACGGGTCAGCTTCGCCGACCGGTTTCGCGTTCAGTGAGTACTGAGTACACCCCCCGAATGCCGCTGCGATGGCGCTGGTGTTGGGAAGAGGGCGTAGTTATCGGAGTGTGTGTTGGTACAGTTATCGGGTGAGGGGCATTGTTGTAGAAGGAGGAGTGCACGGTTGTCTGGGTTGAGGTGCTGTTGGAGATTTGGTGGGCGTTTCAGGTCATGTAGATATCAAAGGCGTTACTGTGAGCGTCTTCTTTTGTCAAGATAGGGTCTTGCTGGCCAGAAGTTAACTCACGTCTAGGTGGTGGTCCCATCGTAGCACATCCAGACAGGTTGGGGGAGGGGTGGGGCGCTTTCACGTAGGTGGCATCTAACTTAGATTATTGCCCCAATTTCCTATTTACGGATCATGATAACATCTTGCAAACGTACAACATGCTGATTTTAGGGTTATCGCTCCTCATGTCGTTTTTAACTATGTCACTGAGTTACTACTGATCTCGCGGAAGTGCATGCAATCGCTACCCTCCTCTATCGTACTGATTACGGAGCGAGCGAAGCGAGCGGAGTCTTTCCTTAGATTAACGGAGATTAACGGAGTATGAGCGGCCGGCCGGCCGGCCGGCCGTAGTCACGATTTTGAGACGCTTATATCTCAGCAACCACTTGAACGATTTACATGCGGTAATTTTTGTAGGGTAGCTTCATTCCTTCTACCAAGTATTGGACTATTCCCGATGCATGTGGGTGACCCCTTATGCACGTGCTACGTGCAAAACGAAGAGGTGTCACTTTTGTAATAGTTGCAATATCTCGGTAACTACTGGGCCGATTGCGCTGAAAGCTGGCATGTAGGTAGGCACCCACTAGGCAATGCATATCCATGTACCAGAGTTGGGATGCTGCCGCACGTGCGCACGTGCAGGGGTCGATTCCAGATCTCGAGAACGGCTTGACCGATGGCGCTCAAATTTGGTACACGGTTAGGGACTGTAGCAAGGCTACATCTTGGGACGTCTTAACATTTTTCAGATCGGGACCCAGCCGCCCGCCATACTCCCCTCCCCATGCTCAGCAGCAGCAGTCATCATACCGTGGCGCACTGGTCACATGCCTTCAATCCCCGCCCCTCATCCCCACCAGTGTCAGCGCCGTCAGGACAGAGAGCCGGCCGGCCGCCGCCGCCGCAGCGTCAGCATTCTCATATCAAACAAGTGACTGTCTTCAACGACCCCGCACGTTGGAGCGACAGGGGCACATCACAAGCCCCGACTGAGCCCTCAGCCCACTGGAGCGTAGTGGCTACAGCCCGTCGGCACCTGCCTGCCCTCACTACGACTCAACCACAGCTGAGCCAGCACCGTCGGGACCGAGCACCGGCCGCCGCCGCCGCAGAGTCAGCAGTCCCATCAGTCGGGTGACTCTCTCCAACGACCCAGGGGCCGAGCCGCGAGGGTACGTCACCAACCCCTCCCCGAAGAGCCCCAAATGGTCACCAGAGGACAGCACAGGACCGAAGTCGCAAAATCCATCAGCAATGGAAGGGGACGTTGAAAACACTCAAGTAAAAGGTTACATCAAACACTGGACGTCATATCGTAGCTAATATTCAAGAGATCTACAAGAAACCAGTAAGATTTCAAGACATAAATTGCATCCCAGATGGTACCCTAGCAAATGGACCAATCAGAGAAGAGTTGGCAATGACGCATCAGGGGGCTGTTCACGGGCCCTGTGTGCGGTCGGACCGCACACAGCCTCGAAGCTCCGCCCACTTCGTCCCTACGTCAGCCTTCCGTCACCGCACACAGCGATCGCTGTGGCCGGTCGGGACTGGCCACAGCGGACCGTCCACCGCACGCAGCCGTGACGTCAGAACCGCCTACCCATCCCCTACCCCCACGCCTGCTGGACGCACCGCACGCAGCAGTGTGCGGTGCCCGTGAACACCCCTCAGAGCGGCAGAGGAGCGCTCGCCGCCGGAGGCGGACAGACAGATCCCTGGGGGACTCCGGCCGGCGCTGACGCCTGATCCCACCATGTAAGTTCCCTGAAATTATCCTGGCGGCTGGCTGGGGTAAATTAAACGGGGTTTTAGAAATTTATTATATTATGAATTAACAACGTAACGAATACAGCTAAATTTCAATACCGTACAGGCTGGACGCAGGTTACCAATGCTTATTTAGGAATATTGTGTGTGGATTTTACCTGATTGGTTATTATTCGGAAAATGCGTTGTAACTTGGGAAATGATTTGAGAAATTGATTTACTCCATGATAGAAGCTGCGGAAAAGGCAGAACTTTTCGTAGGAATCAGTACCTTCGTGGGTTGGCGAGGAGAACTGGCACATCCAGCGTAATATTTTATTTCCAATGATTGAAACTGGCTTAGTTTCCGGAACGTGTAATATGATAAGATCTGTTTAGCTTTGTTGGTTAGGAAATCTTCGAATGATTAAATGTTAGGTAACAACTACCAAACCAGAGTATGATGTCAGTTGTAAAGGAAAATGTTCACTATTGACTTATCGTCGTTGGCGGAGGAACGTACCATTTCTTTACTGTTTTATTGTTAACGCTTGCTCGCTTTGCTTCACTTCACAAATATATCAATCTGTTATTTTCATAAAGAGTCTTGAGGGAAATTTCGGGAAAGGGTAGGAAGTTATCAGTACGAAATGAAGGGACGGAAAGAGAGGGAGAACACGAGGGTAAATCGCGACGATCGGGAAAAGGGAGAAACATGGGCGGCAGCAGAGAAAGACGGCAGCCTGCGCACACTGACTCAACCGCGCACTGGCCAGAGGCTGAGGAGCTGGCTCGGAGAGGTTCCAGAAAGATGAGTGATTTTCTTTCATTGTAATGTTACGGTGTTCCAAAATCAGTAGAGGGTTTTCTGTAAATTCTCCGAAGGTTGTCCAAGTACATAGATATCAGGATAGGATTCGGGAAGTAGGATTAAAGATATTATAAGGATGTACACCCGTTTGTTAGTTTATAGGGTCAACGACTAAAATATGTCCTGCATTCCTTTCATACGCCCATCCTAAGCCCCGACGAGTTACTGGTGATCAGCTCTCGTCGTAACCCGTCCATACGCTCATCCTAAAGCCCCGACGAGTTACTGGTGATCAGTTCTTGTCGTAACCCGTCCAAACGCTCATCCTAAGCCCCGACGAGTTACTGGTGATCAGTTCTTGTCGTAACCCGTCCAAACGCTCATCCTAAGCCCCGACGAGTTACTGGTGATCAGTTCTTGTCGTAACCCGTCCATACGCTCATCCTAAAGCCCCGACGAGTTACTGGTGATCAGTTCTTGTCGTACCCGTCCATTCGCTCATCCTACGCCCCGACGAGCTACTGGTGATCAGTTCTTGTCGTACCCCGTCCATACGCTCATCCCAAGCCCCGACGAGTTACTGGTGATCAGTTCTTGCCGTACCCGTCCGAAGGAGAGCCCCAATCTGGACCCCCGTTACTAAATACATTATCCTTCAGTCTTCCCATTTATAGTCGTTATTTTCTCGTTGAATAAGGAAAGTATGGGTTGAGTAAGATCAAGATAGGAATAATAACGAGCAGCTAAACTTGTGAGTGCTAGCCGTGACCACGCTGTATTTTGTAAGTTAAGAACGTTAGTTGTTTAGGGTGAGAGAAGAGGATATGATTTTACAAAGGAATTTACGAGAAAGGGGTTAAGAGGCGCCAGGCGTTGATTTGAGCAGGGTTAAAGTAGGAGGGGTTAGCCTTGTCGGGAAATGCTTATTCGGTTAAACCGCTGTTTTATGCTATTACGATTAGGTATACAGTGGGACGTAAGGAAATGGATACGAGTGCGAAGTAGGAATAGGGCAAGTGGTTCGTGGCGAGGTGTTTTGACGCTATGGGTAGGAGTTCCTCGGGAAATGTAAGGAGTCGAGAGTAGGTTGAGGCGGGAAGTTTCTGTTTTTTATGTTATCGTACGGGCAATTTTTTTTTTCGAGGTTAGACGGCTTGTGTGCCCGGCTTCTATGTCGACATTTCTACCAACATGGCTTTTGTACAGTTGAATGCGTACAGGGAGAGGTCTGTATTGGCAGGGCTGTGTCAACAATGTCTGCACGTCTTATTTCGGCAGAGAGAGGGGCCGGTAGCGTAGTGTCGTGAGGTAGTAACGTCTATGGAGTATCGGTGGATTAAGTTAAAGTAGTTCGGATAATTTTGGTAGTCAAGGTATTTGAGGGTTAAAGGGACTATCCCCCCTTCTAAAATGTTGTTAAAACCAGTTAAATTGTGCCCGACTTTATAGATTGGATGACCAGGAACACGGTTCTGGCATTTATTTTTCATTAAACATCTTAGGCTTCCCATATTCCAAACACAAACTTTCAAATATGTGACGTCACAGCCCAAAATTACCTCCTTCCCCAGGCCACATTACTGTCATAAAGCTGATTCTTTTTACTCTGTAGGCACCACAACAAAGTTCAGACCAAGTTTTAAGCGATTTTTCAACGAACAAACCCATTTAAATCAGAATGACTAAACGAGGTGACGCCACACTAACGGTCGCTCCATGTTGAAGATAGGGCCTTGTACAAGGCCCATTTTCAAATGAAGGGAACGAATTTGTTCAACACCAAGAGGCCGCGGGGGTTGCAACCTAGATAGATAGTGGTTTCTGAACCTCGCCGCAAACTTGGCTATCTCAACTCAAACCCCATGTTAAAGGTGGGATAGTCCCTTTAAGGAGTAGTTACGTTTTGAAGGAGCCCCTGTAAAAGATAGTGAGGCCTGATAAGTCCTAGTCGGTGGGATAGGCATCGATAAGTCCTCGGAGTCGACGGGCTCCCCCGTAAAAGTTAGGCCGAGATGTGGTGACGTCGAGTGACGTGGTGCAGTGTATGTCAGGGGCGGATCCAGAAAATCTCCAAGGGAGGGGCCATTAGAAACCAGGAGGCCCCCCCCCCATAATCCCACCTGTTGGAGGCCCCATCTTCCCACTTGTTGGCCCCCCCAAAAAAAACTGCGTCTATTGAGCTTATCTAGCTGTTCAGGCAACATCTCAACATCTGTGCAGGCTTGGAGGCCCTCTGTGCAGGTTAGGAGGCCCTGTAAAAGTGGTCATCTCTGTGAGTATAAGAGACCTCCAAGTTATGAAAAGCTTTACCAATCTTCTAACAAAGAAGTCTTCTCAGCTAGTCTTCTAAGAAATAACTAAGTGGGTAGGTTAAAAAAAAACTCATCGGATTTCGGCCACTTTATTTTCAGGAGGCCCCCTTTTCAGCTTTTTAACTTTTTAACTTTTTATTTTATTTTTGAAAAAAATCGGCCAAGGGGGGGCCATGGCCCCCATAGCCCCCCCCCCTTGTATCCGCGCCTGGTGTATGTTGTGTTCATGGTAACTCGGCAGGCCGACGGGCCCTAAATTGAGGAAGGCCCGGGATGGGAGAGCATGGTAGCCTCCGGTGAGTCTTTATTTAGCTTCTTTGTTAGATGGCGGATAGCAGACAGAAGACGACACTTAAAACCCTGTTAGTGAGAATGTATGCGTTTTTTATGGACATTTATCCTACCTGGGGGTCAATCTCTCGTTTGGTCACCGGCACCACTGGAGGGAGATTTTGGGGGCGTCGCAAAAGAACGACAAGGGATACGAGAGAATCTGCTAGAGAAACTGAAGCACGAATGAATGAGACATGATTCTTGGATTAAAGGTAGCGTGCCATCTTCCAATGATTTCCCATTTTATTTTTCCTAGGATAAGAAGCTTCTGTTTTTACCTAATATCGCAAAAAAAAATCAAAAATGGGCCTGGAATAGTGCCTTTTTCGCCTAAAAGTTAATCGGTTTTTCGATATGTATAACAACTGTAGTGGGCTGACCTGCAAACAGGCGTCGGCAACAATCACGAATGCGGCGCACATGTGACAATAAGCAAAGGTCATTATAGAGTTACGACGTACGGGAATGAGTTATCAGCTGTCTAATCGTAGACAACACAATGTCGAACCTTAAACTGTAAGCCTGTATAGGTATTGTTTCTTTAATTTGGCTGTCGAACATTATTTATGGTTTGAAATATGATTTTATGTAAAATAATTGATATGAAAAAGCCGTCTCTTAAGATATGACCCCATTTCACCACACGCAAGTGGCAGAAATGACAATGATCAGCTGACGCATTTTTCTTGGCCGAAGTCAGAGCGCGCGGCCCGACGCACCACCACCGCACCACAAAGCATAAAGGTATGAGCAGAAGCCGCGCCCAAAGCCAGGGCCCCGGTAACGTGAGGTAGCCGAGTCGGGGCAGCGTGCGCTGACCCAAGCCGGGGCCGCGGCTTTGGGCGCGGTCTACCGCATCCCCGCGGGCAGCCCCGGGCTATCACATGATACCGGGAGGACGCGCGGCCCCGGCTTGGGTCAGCGCACGCTGCCCCGACTCGGCTACCTCACGGTACCGGGGCCCTGGCTTTGGGCGCGGTCTACCGCACCACCTAACAGGCGTGTTCTAAACCGCAGGAGATGATGATGAACGGGTTTATCGAAACTTGATTGGATGAGCCTATCGGTAATAGCGATTTTAGTGTGTGCATTTATTGTTCATAGTGGTGTGAAATGTGGTTGGGGTACGACCGACAACCCGTCGGGGCGAATTTCGCACTGGGGTACTCAAAATTTGAAGAATTTAAGACGTTTCCATGAGTTTTGATTACAGGGATGCGGAGCCGGAGCCGGAGCCGGAGCCGCCGGAGCCGGCATATTTTGCCCGGAGCCGGAGCCGGAGCCGGAGCCGTGAAACAATATAGCCCGGAGCCGGAGCCGGAGCCGGAGCCGTCAAAAAAGGGGGCGACTCCGGCTCCTTTTCTTACGAGGAAACAATTATTTACCTAGTTCGGTTTGACAGTACAAGGCGTAAAACAATGTGGTATTCAAAATAGCCTTGTTATACAAATACAGAAGCAACGTGTACCAATCCCATCGCCTTTTTTCTTCCATCCATATTTAATTGATCGCATAGGAGATATACTGAGTAGAAGCCGGAGCCGGAGCCGCCGGAGCCGGATCATTTTACTCGGAGCCGGAGCCGGAGCCGCAATGACATTTCACCCGGAGCCGGAGCCGGAGCCGGAGCCGATTTTTTTCTCCGGAGCCGGAGCCGGAGCCGGAGCCGTCTGAAATTTCCACGGCTCCGCATCTTGAAGGTATGGATAAGTTCTAAAAATCCGGTTCTCCTTATCTGGGCCATTAACTCCATACGGTCCAGGAAAGCTGGCACACTACCTTTAAGGACCAGTGGGAGTTGCGACGAACTCAGTCGGTGTGACCCTTCGAAATGAAACCCGAGGGAATCCAATTTAAGATTAACATTGTCATTCAACCTAGCGAAGCCGATTCAATGTACTAGAATGACCAGCCTCAAATAACAAAGCATCGACCATCACCCGATGCAATATTGTCTGCAAGGGAGGACTTTCATCATTTTCTATCTTTACTCTATCTCTACTCTTCCTCTATTATTTCTTCTCATTTTCCTCTTTGACCGTCTATCGAAGGAGTACGGACGAAAGGACGGTTTTCTTCATTTCTAACTATAATTTCACACTTCAACTTCACTTTTCCACTTTTCCCACTTTTCTATCATTCTTCCGCGCTACAGGACCAGTTAGTAGGGTGCCGTGCACGAGTCAGTTGGGACCCATTTTGCACGTGCGCACGTGCAGGGTGCCGCTTCCAGATCTCGAGAACGGCTGGGCCAATTGTGCTCAAATTTGGCACATCGCTGGAGACCAGTTAGTAGGGTGCCGTGCACACTGCACATGTCAGTTGGAGGTACCCCCTCGCAATTTTGCACGTGCAAGGCCCATCCTCTCGCTCGCTCCGTTAGTCGCCCCAAAAGACGTTATACTGGTTTTCATATTTAGCTTTTGCCTATTCTACCGATTTGTATGCAACCGCAGTCCCTGTCGCCGATTGTGCTGACTTGCCTTGTATGTAACCACTGCCTACCCTTATCGCCCTAAATGTCGGCGACCCACCACACTGCAAGACGCTGACCGATGACTGTGTGCCTTTCTCAGGGAGTTCTTCTGTGACGAGGTGACCATGGGAGGCTGGGCCGAGGCGTACGACAAGGAGGCACAGATCACGGACAGCTCCGGCGACGCCACGGCGGCCGCCAGGGGCGCCCCGCTGCTGGGCGTGCTGCAAAACTCCAACGCCAGCGCCAGTATGGAGCTCACAGGTGGGTTGAGCTCAGTCAAAGCTACAGCTGATGTGGTGTCACGTTAGGACAGCCCGCAGGCATGGCACACACATTTACACACTCACACTCGCTGGGTCAGACACTGAAGGTGCGATTAGAACTCATTTTCTGACTTATGTTTACTAAGTTAAAGGGACCCTCCCACCTTCAAAAAAGTTAATGAATTGACATGAAAGTGATGTCACTCGGTTCAGAAAGAGCAAAAACGAATATCTACCAAATTTCATCGAAAAATATTCACCGGTTTTCAAGATATTAGACTTTTACTTTTGTTTACTTTTTGGGATCTCCGCTGTTCCTAGCGACTTTATTTGAAAGTGCGGCATTTGTTGCGCGCAAAGCAGCATATACCACCGCGTGCTACAAAACGTTTTAGTCAAACATTTAACGGACGTTCGAAAGCCTGATGACGTCATCAGATTCCCGTAATGGTTAAGAGATAGGGACCACGCTGGTCCCACCCTGCAAGTAAAGGGAAGAAATTTCTTGAACACCATAAAGCTGCGGGGGTTGCGACCAGGATAAATGGTGGTTTCTGAGCCTGGCCGCAAACTTGGCTATCTCAACTCAAAACTAATGTTAAGGTGGGAGGGTCCCTTTAAAGTATGTTATGTTGTCCTGAATTGTCTTGCCCACACCGTTTCTCAGTTTTGCCCGGTCTTCCTTGCTTGAAAAAAAAAACGTCAGAGCGTCCGTGTCTCCCATTTTCCGTTCAAAATTCTGCCTTGCCATTTTGTTTCATTATTTCCTGCATGCCTCATCCTTATGCCGTTTCGCCACACCAGGCTTTATATACCTGTCTCGCTCAGGAATAGAGACCCATGCTCAACTAAGTCCCCAGCGCCATGTTAATACATGCAGCTGAAATCAACACTGCGTGGGGTGAAACCCCTCGTTCATGCGCGCCATCGGGGACTGAGCGGTGTCATGTGATCGTTCTATTGTCACACGGGCGTCGGCCGTCCCCGACCCGACACCGCCTGCGCAGGGCTGCAGAATCGGAGTCAGTTGGAGTCAAGTCACAGTTCTACCCGGAGTTAGAATATGTTTTTGAAAGCCAGAGCTGGAATCGGAGTAGAGTCACCGAAGATTAGTAGAGTTCGAAGGCCCGCTCGGGCTGCGGAGTAGGAGCCGGAATGGGTTGGCGTTGACATGTTCCGGCCCGGAGTTGGAGTATGAGTCAATTTTTGAAAGGCGGGGTGGGAATCCGAGCTACCGAAGCTCTATCGGCTCCGCAGCCCTGTCCGTGCGCCCTATGTTTTAGGGCCTTGGTGCGCCCCTTCTGCCGCCAACTGGGAGCGCCCGGCGTGGCTGGTGCATGATCCTGATGACGGTAGAACGGATGAAGTGCCTACGGATGAGTGATGCACGCGATACTTTGTTTATCTTTCTGGTATATTTCGGCTCCTTCCGTGTCGGATGTCGGTGTTTATACGTCGCACCCTAAAGTACCTATCACTCACTGAACCCAAAAGTAGCGGGAAAAAGAACGGTACATGGAAATCGTTTTTTTTTTATAGAAATACAACACTCGAAAATGCGCGTATGCTTAGGCGTAAACCAACGTCATGTTTGAGTTTGGTTCCAACTCATACTGTCATACATGCATTTGTTGTTCCGTTTGCATGCATTGCACAATCCAAGCTGTCTTAGTTGCACAAAGATACGCCCCCCCCCCCCCACTGTCCGTTCAGGAAATTTTAGATTGTCCGGGCATGTGAATTTAGAGACCAAGTCTGAGCAATAAGCCTACGAATCTGGAGACGTATCGCACCACTGCCTTGCTCATTGCTGCCCTGTTTTCTGTTTCTGCCGACCATATACAATCCTTGTCAGGAGTCGTGTGCATGGAGCGCCGCGCTATCACTGCTGGAAATTGAATGCTCGTTCAATGCTCGTTGTTTTAGTTGGACAATTTTATCGGTCATATAATGAACAGTGTGATGTTCATCTGAGATGAGTTTACACATGACACGAGCTTCTGCGGAGTGTGGGTTACCGAATGAACTCGCAAACTACTAGAATGATTTCTACGCATTTCTATAGCCACTCATTGGCCCAAGGAAATTTGTCGCAGCACTAACCCGCCATTGACTGAGGGGAGCGCGTAACGCCCTCTCCCCCTGCTGACCCTTCGCCATAACGCAAATAATCATGTGATCAACCTGAAATTTGTGATAGCTTCTCCTGCATCAATTTTACATTGGCTGCTAAAGTTTTGACCGAATTCGTCGAAAAACATCGAGTTAAGGCCGATTTAGTGACTCACTTCACGTTAATTTCGACTGAAAATATCATGTATTATAAGCTCTCTAAAAGGTGTATCTTTTGACGGAGTTGCAAATAGTAAAAACCACCAAGGGCACCAAATATAGTGTACTACAAAATGTTAAATGGCTCTCTCGGGTTTCAAAAGAGTTAGTTTTAATTGAACATTTTCAGAACTTTTGAAAAATATTGAAAAAAAAATTCTCTAAAATTTTTGGTTTCCAAAATTTTCCAAAATCTGGAAATTATGTGACGGTTATGTGAGACAAACCGCTGTGCCGAATTTCAGCAAGATATCTCAATATTTGACCTCCAAGTCTAATATTTTACTTTTCAGTATTGTGTCCAATTATAACGCCGTTATGTCAAAGGTAATTTTTGGCACCTATAGGCATCAGACAGAGAAGCGAATGCGACTGCTGGATTCCTTAGATGAATCTGTATCTGTTAGGCACCTTTTTCGTTGAAATTGCGGAACTTTAAAATTTGACCTCTTTTGTCCTGCCCTTGACCTGATATTTACCCTTAATTGCGAAAATTGATGTCAAACGTCACAGGCGATACTGGTCAGAAAACGTATGTCACCTGCAATTTGCATTATTTTTAAAGTCAGTGACCTTGATCTCACCTTGACCTTTAATTCTTTTTATTATTTCAGTATGTCGTAATACTCGTAGCTTCATCAATCTTTTAGTCGTATCAAAGCCCAAAATGGGTTCAATAGCTTCGATACCGTGATCTGCGTTCGCTAGAGCTCAAAATGTGAATATGCTCTGTTTTGACCTTTGACCCTACCTTGACAGGTCAAGTGACCTCAAATTCCAAATTTCAGGATCGTATTACGATGCTTATTTTTGAAGATAACCGGAGGGCGTTAAACGCCCCCCCCCCCCCCCCCTCTCAGTCAATGGTGCTCGGCTGGAGGTTCAGTCAAGCGCGGGTTGATTTTCGTCACCTTGATCTACCACTGATGGCGTTATAGGTCAAGTCGATTAAAAATGATGCTGTGAAATACATACTATTGAGCATTTTTTCTAATTGCCTTAAAGGGACCCTCCCACCTTCAAAAAAGTGAATGAATTGGCACGAAAGTGATGTCGCTCGGTTCAGAAAGAGCGAAAACGAATATCTACCAAATTTCATCGAAAAATATTCACCGGTTTTCAAGATATTAGACTTTTACTTTTGTTTACTTTTTGGGATCTCCGCTGTTCCTAGCGACTTTATTTGAAAGTGCGGCATTTGTTGCGCGCAAAGCAGCATATACCACCGCGTGCTACCAAACGTTTTAGTAAAAGATTTAAAAATCGTTAGATCTCCGCTGACGTCACAAATTCTAAGGGGGCATACCAATGCACTAGCCCCTTAGAATCCGAAAACTGCAAGTTTGAAATTCCATATCTCCGAATTAAAGCATTTGTCGATGTTGTGAGTGCCCAAACCGGTATTTGCAGGCCATGGCCACCAATTTGGCTATCTCAACTCAAAACTAATGTTAAGGTGGGAGTGTCCCTTTAAAGGGACTATCCCACCTTTAACATGGGGTTTAAGTTGAGATAGCCAAGTTTGCGGCGAGGTTCAGAAACCACTATCTATCTAGGTTGCAAACCCCGCGGCCTCTTGGTGTTGAAGAAATTCGTTCCCTTCATTTGAAAATGGGCCTTGCGCAAGGCCCTATCTTCAACATGGAGCGACCGTTAGTGTGACGTCACCTCGTTTAGTCATTCTGATTTAAATGGGTTTGTTCGTTGAAAAATCGCTTAAAACTTGGGGTTCGTTCGGAGAGCGCGGAATATTCCCCGTCATCGTGAAAATTCCCCGTGTTGCGTTCGGAGAGGGACATTCCATACCGCCAATTTCAAGGATCGCCGCTACTGCGCCAAGTTGAGTTCGTGGGATTTTGTTTGGGTTATTTGGGTTATTTGGTTATTTGGAACGCTACATACCTATATGGCAAGATGTAATAAGAATGAAGCTCTTGAAGGAAGAACAACTAAGAAAAATCACAATTATTTTCAAAAAGACCCATCTGTACTGTGCCCCCCCCCCCCCCACCCCAAACACACACAACACAACACTTCAAATTATCGTTTTCATTGCTTCAGAGGACAATCACACAACTGAGTAAGCATTATCAGTTGTTGGATTTGCAATAAAACTGATCAGGGTGGAAACAAACGCAAGAAATATCCATTTATATTCAATAATATACTCACTCGAGCATACCGATGGGCGCCGCCATCTTGACGGGAACGACGCGTGAGATGCTTTTTAGATTCCGCGCTTTCCGCGTCCGTTCCGCGGAACTTTCCCCGGGAATCGCTCTCCGAACGGCACATTCGGCGGAAATTTCATGCCGGCGTGGAATATTCCCCGGGAATCTGCCTCTCCGAACGCACCCCTGGTCTGAACTTTGTTGTGGTGCCTTCAGAGTAAAAAGAATCAGCTGTATGACAGTAATGTGGCCTGGGGAAGGAGGTAATTTTGGGCTGTGACGTCACATATTTGAAAGTTTGTGTTTGAAATATGGGAAGCCTAAGATGTTTAATGAAAAATTAATGCCAGAACCGTGTTCCTGGTCATCCAATCTATAAAGTCGGGCACAATTTAACTGGTTTTAACAACATTTTAGAAGGTGGGATAGTCCCTTTAAGCTGATTATTCAATGAAAAAAGATTCTTCGTTTCCTTAAATGAATGTATTCTTTACAGTTCCACTTTCTCAAAGCACCTTACAATGCCCGTTTTCTTATTGCAATTAATTACATTTTTGCTATCATTCGAGAAGATATCACCTTCTTCTTCCTCTATTTCAGTATATGTATCGATAAAGTGAAACGAACCGTTAGTGAAAAACTCAATCAAAGATCATTATAAGTTGATCACGATAACTGGACGAGTTAGTCTCCGTAAGTGCTATCACACAGGACACTTTCATTGATGAAGCTGTAGCATTGACAGGACTTCCTACAAATGTATTATTTTGGTGTAAACCATCAAACGTCAGTGCATAGCTGACCGGTGTGAAAAATAGTCCCAACCTGCCAACCCTACCCAGTCTTCTTGTGTAAACAGCCAACCTTATGTATTGCCACTAACTGATGCTGCCTGGCCTAATTTTCAGGATTGGAGAGCTCGTTTGGCGCGGCTCCAGCCGGTGCCTTCCCAGCCCATGGAGGTCACGCCAACGCCTTCGAGGCGTCAGTTGGCCCGGTACCGATGTTCCTGAGAGAGAACAGCGATCCCGACAAGGAGAACATGGCCCCGCGTCCACCCGCTGCTCCTGGTGTCGGCGTCAAGAAGTCGATGGGCGCCGTCGCAGATCCCGAGTGGCTGGCTCCCGGACCGCGCTCACCGGGGCCGTCTGCCGGCAGTGGTCTGCTCCAGCTTCTGGGCGACAGTGACGCGCCCACTCCGCCGTTCCTGCGTAACCCGGCGCCGGGCGGAGTGCTGGACATGCTGCGCCGCGCCGGCGTTGTCTCGGCTCCGCCTCCGTCGCCGCCTTCGTCGCTCCCGCTGCCGATAACACCGATGGTGGGTCGCTCTGCGCTCGAGCTTCTCGGGGGTGACAGTGAGGCGGAAACGCCAGAGTTTCTGAGGTATCTCGATGCTTTGGATGACGACTTTGCTCGAGAACAGCGCCATGCTCAGAGTAATGTCGCGATCCAGGAGTCCTACATTGGGATCACGTCGTCTACTGTTTCCCACGCACCGGGTTCCGCGATGGCTGCTGGGACATCGCAGTTTCAGAGGTCGAGAGTGCATATGCAGACTGTTAGTAGCTCTCGTCACATGAGGCAAAGTGAAGAGGTTTTGGGAGGCTCGGGCAAGCCGGATGCGGGACAGCACTGGGTGGTGGAGACTGTCGCTGCGTGTAACAGGACAGTCGTGGACAGTGCTGACATGGAGCTTACGAGCGCGTTCCCGCCCATTCTCCCCGTGAGACCAGTAGGCAGCCCGGACAAAAGTATCACAGATGAGGCTGCAGCAGTCCATAGTCGTGGGGCTACAAGACGGACGTCGAATCGACTGGACAAGACTCTACTAGTTTCCGATGACATGGAACTGACTGTCAATGTCCCAGCTGCTCAAACGCTAAATGCATCGACCAGTTATGCTGTCCCGGACGTCTCGTGCGCAGCTGACATGGAACTAACCGCGGCAGTTCCTCGTTTACAGACGAAGCTCTCTGGTCAGCTGAACAAGAGCGTCGTTGATGAGGACGACATGGCATTGACCGCAGCAGTTGCTCGAGTGCAGACGAAGCCTTCTGGTCAGCTGAACAAGAGCGTCGTTGATGCGGATGACATGGAACTGACTGCAGCAGTTCCCCGGGTACTGACGAAATCCTCTGGTCAGCTGAACAAGAGCGTCGTTGATGGGGACGACATGGAATTAACCGCAGCAGTTCCTCGAGTGCAGAGCAAGAGCATCGTTGGTATGGATGACATGGAACTGACCGCAGCAGTTCCTCGGGTGCTGACGAAATCCTCTGGTCAGCTGAACAAGAGCGTCGTTGATATGGATGACATGGAACTGACCGCAGCAGTTCCTCGTTTACAGACGAAGCCCTCTGGTCAGCTGAACAAGAGCGTCATTGGTGTGGATGACATGGAACTAACCGCAGCAGTTCCTCGAGTGCCGACGAAGCCCTCTGGTCAGCTGAACAAGAGCGTCGTTGATGGGGACGACATGGAATTAACCGCAGCAGTTGCACCGAAGCCCTCTGGTCAGCTGAACAAGAGCGTCGTTGATGGGGACGACATGGAATTAACCGCAGCAGTTCCTCGGGCGCTGGCGAAATCCTCTGGTCAGCTGAACAAGAGCGTCGTTGATGGGGACGACATGGAATTAACCGCAGCAGTTCCTCGGGTGCTGACGAAATCCTCTGGTCAGCTGAACAAGAGCGTCGTTGATATGGATGACATGGAACTGACCGCAGCAGTTCCTAGAGTACAGGCACAGCCCTCTGGTCAGCTGAACAAGAGCATCGCTGATATGGATGACATGGAACTGACCGCAGCAGTTCCTCGGGCACTGACTAAGCCCTCTGGTCAGCTGAATAAAAGCATCGTTGATGGGAACGACATGGAACTAACCGCAGCAGTTCCTCGAGTGCAGACGAAGCCCTCTGGTCAGCTGAACAAGAGCATCGTTGATATGGATGACATGGAGCTGACCGCAGCAGTTCCTCGGGCACTGACTAAGCCCTCTGGTCAGCCGAACAAGAGCGTCGTTGGTATGGATGACATGGAACTAACCGCAGCAGTTCCTCGAGTACAGACAGAGCCCTCTGCTCAGCTGAACAAGAGCATCGCTGATATGGATGACATGGAACTGACCGGAGCAGTTCCTCGAGTACAGGCACAGCCCTCGGGTCAGCTGAACAAGAGCGTCGTTGATATGGATGACATGGAACTAACCGCAGCAGTTCCTAGAGTACAGGCACAGCCCTCTGGTCAGCTGAACAAGAGCATCGTTGATATGGATGACATGGAACTGACCGCAGCAGTTCCTCGGGTGCTGACGAAATCCTCTGGTCAGCTGAACAAGAGCGTCGTTGATATGGGTGATATGGAACTGACCGCAGCAGTTCCTCAAGTGATTGAAAACCCATCGAGACGAAGCTTACCTGTTGAAGCTGAGAAACAGTTAGCTCCTGCAGTTACTCAAGAGCAGACGAAGCCAGCTGGTGAGCTGAATAAGAGCATGGTTGATGAAGCCGACATGGAGCTGACCGCTGCTGTTTCTCAAGTAAAGGCGCAAGTTTCAGCTCAGATGAACAAGAGTGTCTGTGACGGAGATGGCATGGAATCAAGCGCGGCAAGTCGTCAAGTAACTGAGAAACCATCAACCAAGAACGATGATGATGAAGCTGAGATGGAGCTAACTGCAGCAGTTCCTCAACTTCAAGAACAGATCGAGTCGTCAGGGCAGGTGAGCAAGAGCATCCACGACGGAGCCGGAGGGGACATGGATTTGACCTCTGCAGTGTCCCAAATAACTGAAAAGTCATCAAACAAGAACGTGCTTGAAGCCGACATCGAGATGACCGCTGCTGTTCCTCAAGTAACTGAGAAGCCATCATCCAAGAGCATCGGGATAGAAGCTGACATGGAATTGACAGCGACTGTTCCTCAAAAGATTGAAAAGCCATCAAGCAGGAACACGCTTGATAGAGCTGACATGGATCTGCCCGCTGCAGCTCTTGCAGCAGATACGAAGTCATCAAGTGCCCTGAACAAGAGCATCGTTGATGGAGCTGATATGGAGCTGACTGCTGCGGTTCCCCAAACAATGGCAAGACGATCTGTAAATGCAAACAAGAGCATCTGTGGAGGTAACGACATGGGATTGACCACGGCAGCTCCTCAAGTGACTGAGAAGCCATCGAGCAAGAGCTTGTCTGATGAAGCCAAGACTGCGACAATCCCACAAGTACAGGCGAAGTTGTCAGGTCCGCTTAACAAGACCGTCCTCGACGGAGGGGACATGGAATTAACCACTGCAGTTTCCCAAGTACCGGAACAGGCAGCAGGCAAGAGCATGCTTGGAGCTGACATGGAGTCGACCGCTGTTTCTGAAATGAAGCTGAAGTCATCAAGTCACCTGAACAAGAGTATCGTTGATGGAGCTGATATGGAGTTGACTTCTGCAGTCCCCCAAGCAACTGCGAAGCAATTAAGCAGGAGCGTGCTTGGTGGAGCTGACATGGAGCTGACCGCTGCTGTTCCTGAAACAAAGATGAAGCCATCAAGTCACCTGAGCAAGAGCATCGTTGGTGGGAATGACATGGATTTGACCGCGGCAGTTTCTCGAGTATCTAAGACACCATCAACCAAGAGCATCGTGTCCGAGACTGAGATGGAATTCACTGCTGTAGTTCCACAAGTGACCAAGAAGTCATCAAGCAGAAGCATGCTTGATGTGACTGACATAGCAATGAAAGCTGGTGAGCCTCAAGGACGGGCGAAGTCATCTGGTCAGTTGAACAAGAGCATTGCTGATGGGGCAGACATGGAACTAACCGCAGCAGTGCCTGGAGCAATGGTGAAGTTATCAAGTGAGAGCATGGTGGATGGAGCGGACATGGAGCTACCTCCAGCTTATCCTCAAGTAACGGAGAAGTCATCAAACAAGTACACTGTTGAAGGAGCTGACTTGGAGTTGAGTGCAGCTCAGGAGCCTGGAACGGCTGCTTGCATCCAAATATCTGGGGTGATGACGATGAGTGTGGAGGATTGGGCTGCCCAGCAAACTAGTGACCAGCTGCTACCCAGCAAACTCGATGAGATTGAAGAAGACACAGGGGGCGTGCAGCCGAGTGGATCTGCCTCGCAACGGATAATGAAGTCGCCACGTGATGAAGTCATCGTGAGTGAAGCCGAGGTGAATGCTGCGGCGGCTGGTCCAAAGCAAGTTGTTGCAAAGCCATCAGGCATGGTGAAAAGTTACGTATTGGAAGCAGAAGATACTGAAGCTTCAGCTACTGTTGAAAACAAGTCTGAAATTTCAGGTGGATGTGTCTCAGATCCATCAAGCCAGGTTAACGAACCTTGTGTGGCTGAGGACCGCGAAGTTGTCACTTCAGAGATCGATGCTTCTTCACATGAAAACAAAAGTGCTTATGCATTCGGTGCTGAGTCGGGCTCTCCTGATATTCCCAACGCCTCTTTGAAGGCTGGCACCATCGCCCAGGCTGAGGGAGAACCAGATAATACTACCGGCGCGGCCTCCTCAAAAAGGTCTTCCAATGGAGTGATTATAGATGGCGGGGAAACTAACCAGCTGGACGTGGCATCTGACGTGCAGGACTCAGTCAGTCTGAGATACGCTGAGCCAGCACAGGCCAACTTGTGCCAGGATGTGCGCCCCACTTTCACTCCGCACACAGTCTCCTCACCTGACCCGTCCAAGTCATCTGGTGATGAAGACGCCACTGAGACCCGCACTCTCACGCGCGGTAGAAGCTTATCTCAGTCCTTATCGTGTGACATCAGCAGCCTTGCTGGAGTAGCTGGCGAAGTAGTGGATCCAGCACCGAAGGAACTTGGCAGGACATCCACTTGTCGTCGTCCAGCCGTTGACTCGCCCTGTCGACCGTCGTCCAAACGCGGTCGGCTGTTCGAGTGTACCACGACTCCCAGTCCGCCGAAGCGACCCCTCGAAGGATCGGATGACTCGCCTCGGTCGCCGAAAAGCCCGCGGTTGGAAATGACTGATGGTCTGGAGAAGAACGAAGCCCATCCGGTAGACAGCTCACGGGACATAGCGTCCGATCAGAAGGTGTTTGAGGAACGAGAAGAATGTGGCAGCACTGATACGAGGCTGCCTTTAGCTGCTCTGAAACCAGTCTCGTCTCCCACTTCTCGACCAAGGGAGAGCATTGACAACGTACCAGGTGATGTGTCAACCTGTCGATCCACCAGTGACCTTCGCTCATTGGGTGAACACGCAGAGGTGCAGCCGGCAACAGCTACACTCGAACGGGATGCCGAGTCGAAGGCACCCTCAGATGCTTCCACTATTCTGCAAAGATCCGTGCCTGTGGCAAGCGACGTTTGTGAGGTAAAACCGGCCAGCTCTGCTAGCGAGCAAACTCTAGATGAGCTCCAATATCGAATCCAATCGAGTTTTTCTCTCGAGAACCATCAAGACGTTCTTCCTGCAAGACCAACTCCGGTTGAGGAGAGTAAAGTCTTCCATCAGGGATCTCTCATTCCTGATCATCGTGACGAGCGCCGCTCGCCGAGTCGCGTTCGAGCTAACCCCGGGTCGTTGTTGGCCGAAAGCAGCGTCAGTGACATGTTCTTGGGAACGCCGCCGCGAGCTGACGACACCCTTCTTGAGCCTGACCTCAACGACGAGAAGTTCCCAGACATCAGTGTCATCAATGACTCGCCATGCGCTGGCAGCCACAAGCCACCGACAAGCCCTGCAGCACACGCCATCAGCCGTCGGTTAGACGATCGTGACTCGAGTGGTCCACCAGACCGTCGATCCGGCCGACCACCGGTCGAGAAGACACCGAAGGCGCCTCAAGAGCCGTCACCACCGGTAGAGCTGCGACGCACAGTCTCCGCGCACGGACCGTGCTGGGCTTCGGACGGAGCGTCCCAGTACCGGCGCACTCGGGCGCTGGATGACTCACCCAAAAGTCGTCGTCGTGCCGGGTCTCCAGAGCGGCGGAGTGGGAGGAGACATACGACTGCAGTTGACCGGGTCGGTGTCGTAGACGGAGCTCGTGGCACTGAGACAATCACACCTGGTCGAGGAGTCGGGGACCGGCGTATACCGGCCCTGCCGCCCCCGTTCCGCATGCCTGACTGCAAGTCCCTGGTGCGTGGCCTCCGCGCGCAGCTGGAGGCCTATCGGCGTGCGCGCGAGGCCAGCGAGCGAGAGACACAGGCGGTCGTGGAGGCGGCGCTAGCTCGCATGAGGTGTTAATCGAGGACAAGCTGGTCCCGATCTCAGCATAGCCAGGCGTAGATCTCGAATCGTGTAGAAGTGTTCTCTACGCCGTGCCATTGGAGTTGTCGCATTTTTTACTGTGTGCCTTGTAAATATGAGCATTGAAATGTTCTTCATGTTCTGTCAAGCCCCATATGTGCAGAGGTTTTGGACTATTCATTGCTGAGTGGTGATGCAATTCTTCAATTCTGAAAAGCTCGCAGCCTTTCCGCTTTAGTTATGGGGCCACTCTGTGACCACTCTGTATAGACCAATGCTACACCATCCTGCAGTATATTGATTTGTTTTGTGAAATTTACGTGCGTGGTGCCTTAGCATAGACAAAAACAACAGCCTGTCTGCATTGGTTATCGGGCCGCTGTATGAGTAAACTTTATACAGTGTTGTGTCACACAAAGGTATGTCTGTGTATGAACCCTGCTGTGTTCTTTAATATATAACTAGGTCATGCCCAACCAGTTTGCTTGCGTTTCCTTGTTTGAGTTAGAAGACTCGGCCGCCCTTATCGACTACGTTGTATGCACGAATTGAGTGATTATGCAACAGTGACGCGGTCATGTGCTGATACGGATATCAAGACAGTACACAGGTTATTGGTCCACTGCTGACTCGGTTATTGGTACATCGGTGAAGGACATTTCGATTAGGCAATGCCACACGGCACCTTATACCTGGCACACCATACCTACCTGACGTGCGATGCGCTTTGCCTAAGACCACTAAACGGTGTCTTCCTAACCTCGTTGGGCTAGTAACAATGCGTACAGACCCGTCTGCAACACATGCTGCTCAACACTCCACACGACACCCAACCATGACATTCATTATCCACTGGTAAAGAATGTGCCACCGCTATGCTGCGTTGCCTTTCATACGCCTCAGCTTCAAAGAACCGTTTGCAGAATAGTTTTTTATCTTTGATTTTGTGCAATCTTTTCCAATTTATAATGCATAGCTATCTTCTAAGCCATGTCCTCGAAAACGTTTGTGACACACGCGTGCGCACCGATATTGCTATCATACGGGATAACCGTGAACGATTTCTGCGTATCAGCGTCGGTCGGCGCGCCCGATAGCCCTATCGCCGTCACTCTGAGAGCCTCAGTGGTTGACGCACGGCCTCGTCGCCATGGCCTCGAGGAGACCTCAGTACACCAATCAGGCGGCAGACGCGTACGAGGACTCGGCAGACGGCGGCCAGCGCTGGCACCAGCACCGTCGCTACGCGGAGGAGCAGCGGTACACAGAGGGGCAGCGATACTCAGAGCAGCAGCGGTACACAGAGCAGCAGCGGTACCCGACAGCGCCCGCCATGGCCGGTAAGAGAGTCGACTACGACGACCCGCAGCTGGAGGGCGGTATGGCCGGTTCTTCCGGCTCGCAGTACCGTCGCCAGCAACAGCAGGGTGTCGTCATCGGTGGCGACGGCGACGACAGCTCGATGGACTGCTTCTCGGTGATCCTGATCGCCATGTCCTACCTGCTCTTCCTCATCACCTCTCCCATCACCATTTGGAGCAGCATCAAGATCGTGACCGAGTACGAACGGGCCGTCATCTTCCGGCTGGGCCGGCTGCGTCGTGGTGGAGCCGCAGGACCCGGATGGTTCTTCGTGCTGCCCTGTGTCGACAGCTACATGAAGGTCGACCTGCGGAGCATCGCCTTCGACGTCCCGCCGCAGGAGATCCTCACCAAGGACTCGGTCACCATCGCCGTCGACGCAGTAGTCTACTACCGCGTCTCGAACCCGACCGTGGCCGTTGCGAACGTCGAGGACTTCGCGCAGAACACCCGCCTCCTGGCTGCGACGACGCTGAGGAACGCTCTTGGAACTCGCACGCTGGCGGAGATCCTGTCTCAGCGCGAGGAGGTGTCCGCCCACATGCAGGAGACCCTGGACGAAGCTACTGATCCGTGGGGCGTCAAGGTGGAGCGGGTCGAGATCAAGGACGTGCGCCTGCCGATGCAGCTGCAGCGCGCCATGGCTGCCGAGGCCGAGGCGGCCCGCGAGGCCAAGGCCAAGGTGATCGCTGCCGAGGGAGAGAACCGGGCGTCGCGCGCGCTGAAGGAGGCCGCGGACGTGATGGCCGACAGCCCGTGCGCGCTCCAGCTGCGCTACCTGCAGACGCTCAACACCATCTCTGCCGAGAAGAACTCGACGATCGTGTTCCCGCTACCGATGGACATCATTGGGCCGATGCTGAACCGCTCCTGAGAAGGGTGGACGCTCCCGGTGCTGGACGTCCGAGAAGGCTCAGACGGACGTCTTTCTGAGACGGACGTCAGAAGCAACATGACGCCCTTGTGAGACGGACGCCCCAGGTCGCTCTTAGTAGCAGACAGACGTCCTTCTAAGAAAAGCGCACACCCTTTGGATTGTAGGGATGCCAGACAGACACACCCTTCATGTTCTATATAGCGTTTAACGTCTTTGAAGTATGTATGCAGGCATACTGATGGCTGGAATATCCCTGTGACTTGTCGTGTAAGACAGGTGCGGATTGATAACAAATTATAAGTAGGTGGGTTTAGCATTGTAGTTAAAATTGCATTATTTTTAGCGATAGGTATGCCTACTCCCTTACTCCGCTTAGATACCTCATTCCAGTATTGTATGTAGCGTTTTTTCACCACTCAATTGATCATTTTAAAAGCAAATTCCGAAGATATCGGATAGATATTTGGTCATCTTGCATCTTGTAACGCTTGACCAGGTATCGTTGGTTTAGGTCTTTTAATTTCCACATCATTCATTTATCGATTCAATTTATTTTCCCATATTCGCTCTTTCATTTTGTGTGTACCATATGCTTTTAGGCATAAATTTCACAGTGTCAGCTGATTAAAATCAGGCTAAATATATTTTTTCTTATGTTCATAACTGTGTTTGCTCGTTTTTTCTCGTTTTTGTATTCTTACAGCTTCTTCGTGCTTCTAGCTTAACCATAAATGAAACAATTTTCGCACACGACCTTTCAGCAGCAGTCCTTAGTGGGTGCCTAGTGTCGAATGACCTGCGACTCGTGAACGTTTGGACCTTACGTTCGGTAAACAAACACCCTCTCTGAAACAATCTCAGTCGAAGGGTGCTCACTGCCCACCCGTTTATCGCTGCACGGCGTCGGTACCTGCCGTCAATGCGCCGAGGTAATCCGTATAGCGTGTCGCGTAGTCCGTATGCGCTGTACAGCATTCCGTATCCGCTACCAGGACACTGTGAGACACCAGGCTGTCCGTCATCGGGCCTGTCACTCAGCTCGTCGATATTGTGCACAGTGTGCTTAGCATTGATGCAATTGACAGTTAATCTGATTGCATCAACTATCAACACCTCCACCCATTCACCCTTATTTTGTACTTAGCGGAACAGCATGTCATTACGTCAGCCTGGACTTTCCGCCACTGAGTTCCCGTCATTGGTCACACCTTCTGTCTCATGCGCTGGCCGCCCTCACTAGGAAATTATGGGCTTCCTTGTGATGCATTTGGCTCAGAGTCTGGTACCTGACACCGGGCCAAAGTCCACCGGGGCCTCCTGGGAAGGTGCGCCATGGGCTGCCCCTGGCTGTGCTGTGAAGGGGGTCGTTCTCGTTACGGAAAAGGTTGGCAGCGGTGGGTGGGTCGCACCTGAGAACCCTTTCGAATAGACGGGTCTAAAGGGCGATTGATTTCATTGCTTCTGTCCAATATTTCTATTATGCACCCCAATCTTGATTTGATTTTGAACAGTTATTTGCGACTAGGACATTCTAGCGCTAAACCCATTAATACCCCATATAACTAGGGTCGGAGTGGTGGGTGATCCAGCTGTGACGACTGTGCGACCTGCAGCCAGCGCTATGACTCACACAGGCGACACCGCAATGCACATTTCACAAGCAAAGCGGTCTGTTTGAGCAATGTTAGTCGACCGACCGTCTACAGTTCAGTGGCCGTCTGTTCCAGTTCAGTGGCTGTTTTGGTTCCGCGACTGTTCACTACAGTCAGTGACTGTCTGTTTCAAGTCCGTGGACAGCCTCTTCTACATATGCAGTACATTGACCGTCTGTAACATAGGCGCGGGGGGGGGGGCAGTGGGGACAGCTTGCCCCCAAACTCTGGGACCGTGGGGGCGATGCCCCCACAGCTTTGAGATGGAATACCACAGTTTTTTTTTTTTTGCAAATGTTTTCTTTTTTGTTGAAAAAGCCAAGGAATGAAAAATAAGTGGCCTAAAACCGGTGAGAAAACTAGATTTGGGGGTGCCCTAGGTTGATCTCTATTATGGCGTGCCCCCCCCCAGTCTGAACGTAGTCCCCGCGCCCCTGGTCTGTAATGTAGTGACCGTCTCCTGCAGTCGCAGTGACCGTCTATCTATTGTAGCCCCCCAGTGAACGCTTATGGTCAAGTAGCCGTCTATAGTACAATGACTTTCGTGGTCCGTCCGCTCACTCATTTATATATTATTCATTTGCTCATTCATTCATTCATTCATTCATTCGTTCATTCATTCATTCATTTTTTCATTAACTTATTCTGACTATTGTGATGTATCTAGGCAAGGTGACCACTTTCGCCGCTCAATACCCACAGTGCCTCTCACCGTGCTCAACCCCTTCTCACCGCTCTTTCTCACGTCCCTTCTCACAAGTTATCACCACTGACCGTTTGTGTAGCTCGACTCGGCTGTTTCGCTGAAGCGGCCTGGATGACGTGACGCCTGCGACTTGCGACAGCGAGTGGGAGGAAATGTCCCAGATACACCGATAGACTGATAGCGTACGGAACACAGATCTAAGTCGGTACGGCAAAAACCTCGCGATACATGAGATTTGGCGCTCAAATGCGCATTACGGACTATGTTTGCATTGAGTCAGGACCATGCAGCGCCATTTTACATATGCGCACTTACATTGCTCATGTAAGATTTGGGCGGATTGACGGATGGTTCACAGTTTCATACAGAATATGCGATTGGCGTGAAAATATTTACATTAGTGGGTGTGATGCCGACAACGCTGACATTATCTTGCATGAACGGTTAGCACTAAAGAGTGGGGGACTAGGGTGACCCGCGTGCTCCGCAACGCGAAAAGGGATATTTTCGATCGGCGGGTGTTCGGTTGTTCTTGTGTCGGTTGGGTTATCTATCCATTTCGGTCGATTGCTTTTTGACGGCTAAACGTTTTGGTTTGTGGAAAAAATATCCACCGCATCGAGGTGCCCGTGTCTGATAAGCATGCTTTCCACTTCAGAATCTGTCAAATGTGCTTTATAATTGAGGTGCGTAGTTTTAAGACAAATGAAAGGCGTAGATAATTTTCGCTAAAAATCGTTTTGCAGAGGTTTAAAACATTTATATTTTTAAGAATACTGTTGCTTGTCATGCAAACGTGATGATTGGATCTTGAAGAGAATTGAATGCTCTTTCTAATGATAGCATTTTCAATTGTCAAGCGTATCAGGTTAAGCAGCAAATCCCGTGTATCTTTTTAGTGGCACATTGTGGACAAATACCATTTTAATTCAGCGATTTTTCCACATTGTTTTTGATCAATTAGCTGTCCACAATTTTTCCATGAGAGGCGGTACATTTCTCTTGGCAATTGACGTTGTTTCAACTCTCTCAGTCTGATGGTCACGGGAAAATAAAATAAAATCCAAAATACGTCTAAAATGGCACTTTTTGAAATGAAATTGCCCTCACACTTGCACGTGGCGCGTGCCACCCCTGCACCGCACACTATTCGATTGCCCGTTCGATTCTCTACACGATGCTGTTTTCCCCGTGCCGATCGGGCGCACGGCTACCGAGATATTGCACGGGGAACGGACCCGTGTCGGGCAAATTTAGCCATTTTCGCCCGTTTTTGCCAGCCGATTTATACATGTAAAGTCTATGACGCGAATTTGCACTTTTTGGGCACGCGCCACGCGCTCGCTATCGATCCGATCGAGCCGAGACCGCTCAAAGGCACGTTGTCCATCCTTGTTCTATAACTTGCGCAAATTTCAGCGCGGTAGGTGCAACGGTGTGACCTGTAACCCGCGCTACGTAGCACCATGTCGCGACCTTCGTAATAGACAGAAACTACGCCTTCCTCAAATAGTAATATAGACAAGCGGCTGCGCCACTTGCTTTGCTGCGTGGTAGGAAAAAATTGCGGCACCAGCCAATTTGCTTTCGAATGGTGTTTGATTCATGTCGATGTGTCGTCTAGAAGCATAGATATGGACGGAAATGTGAAGAGAATTTAAAAAGAGCTGTTCTGAGGGCGTTGTTCGATGAAATTTGGGTGATACGGGGTCAAGACGGGTCAAAGGGGTCAGCCCCGGTCACTTTGGGTCAGGCCAGGTCACATAGGTCACCTCTCGTCCGCTGGGATCAGCCCGGGCCACTGTTCTGCTTTTGCCTCCACCACTACCCCTACCCCTATCACTACCCCTACCACTACCCCTACCACTACCCCTACCACTACCCCTACCCCTACCACTACATCTACCCCTACCCCTAACACTACTACTACCCATACTCCTACCCCTACCACTACCCCTACCACTACCCCTACCACTACCCCTACCAATACCCCTACCACTACCCCTACTACTACCCCTACTACTACCCCTACCACTACCCCTACCACTACCCCTACCCCTACTACTACTCCTACCACTACCCCTACCCCTACTACTACTCCTACCACTACCCCTACCCCTATCCCTACCACTACACTACCCCTACCACTACCCCTACCACTACCCTACCCCTACCAACACCGCTGGGTCATGTCAGGTCACAGAATAATTGGATCCAATCAGTACTAAAATATCAGACCTAAAGTGTTCTCAGCCCTGCCTCTATTCGTGCCATTCCATTACCCTTACTCGATTTTGTCGGAAATGGCGCTTTGTGGCAAATGTGGCGCATTGCGGCAAATGTGGCGCATTTGTACCTGTTGGTTGAGCATGCATCCTGGCACCAAATTGTACCCTTATCGGGCCATATTTAACAAAACTGTGCGATTTGCGGCAAAAATGGCGCCCTGTGACCAATGTGACGCATTGCGGCAAACGCGGTGCATTTGTATACTCGTATCACAAACTGTTTCCATTGAACGAAAATCAACACATTTTTTCGCCACTTTTTATTCAAATTAATAACTTGCCGATCCGCCAATGCGAGGCACTCGCCGCCGATCGGCATGCATTTAGCTCACAAAGTTTGTCGACCCCGGCTCTCAGTGAAGATCTACGAACCGATCAAAATTTCATTGGCGTTCTTCCGGCGCGCCCCACGCGCGAACCGTGCACCCCAGCGAGCCGAAACCTAGAAAAGGCGCTGACCCGTTCTGTCACCTAGAAGGTGTGCAAATTTCAACCCCCTACGATATACCGTCTGCCCTGTAGGCCGGCTAAATTGAACCCACTACACGGCGTGGCGGACAAACAAACAAACAAACAGACGGATCCTGTTCAAATAGTAAGATAGACAAGCGGCTGCGCCACTTGCTTCGCGGCGTAGCCAGAAAATGCGGCAGCAGCCAATTTGCTTTCGAATGGTGTTTGCTTTTAATTGATCTGTCGTCTGGAAGCAGAGTATGAACAGAAACGTGTAGAGGAAAATTTTGAACATAATAACTTTTCTGATGGCTTAGTTGGATGAATTTGGGTCATACGGGGTCAAGTCAGGTCAAGTTGGTCACCCCTGGTCACACTGGGTCAGGCCAGATCACCTTCGGTGAGGCCAGGTCGTATAGGTCACCACGTCACATTGGATCGGCCTGTGCCACACTTCTACTACTTCTACCTATACCACTACTCCTACCACTACCCCCACCACTACCCCTACCACTACCCCTACCCCTACCACTACCCCTACCACTACTCCTACCACTACCC